GTGTGTGTGTGTGTGTGTGTGTGTGTGTGTACGTACATATGTGTGGGCTTGCTGGGGTTTGAACATAGGACAGGATCTTACCCATGTTAGGTAGCCCTTTATCACTGACTGACCTGCCAGATGTGCTATTTAAACTTTCCGAAGAAAGCAGAGACTGTAAATGAATTTTTATAACTATCTACGTACTCCTCGACTCAAGCGCCACAGTAGTGAATGTCACACAATTCCCTTTTGGGGCCAGGAGTAAGCACATTTTCTGACGCCCCACAATAGCTCTAGCTAACCAGCTTGCCTCTCTCTGGAGTATAAGGTCATCCCTAATGGCAACACCCGAAGTGTCATAGTACAAGATGTGTCAATATAGTTTTCCCGTTAATTTCTGGTGTTTGTCCAGAGCCTTGCCCTTTATCATTCGACGAGATGGATAAGAATTATTTACAACTGAAATGGAAATTTGACAACAGACCACTCATTCTCCACGGCGAGTATATAGAATTTATTTGTAAGAGAGGCGCGTACGTAACCGAGACATCTATTATTGGGTCTGAACTTCGAGTGCAGTGTGATAGAGGAAGGCTGAGATATCCAAAGTGCACACAGAGAGAAAGGTAAGGAAACACACCATATATATATATATATATATATATATATATATATATATATATTCAGGTTTTTATTCAAGAGAGTAACTGTTTTACAAGTTCCATAAATATTGTGCTCTACAATACTCTGAATACTCTGTCTTTATGTATCTTGGAAAGGAAACATCGTTTTTTTCTTCTTCACATCTTAAACCCATAAATGCTGGAAGCTTTTGAGTTTCCTGGAGTCAATTTTACCACTTGATATCTGTGATACTTTTGACAGTTGGAAAAGAAATCCATTTGTACGCACAGCATTTAAATGTGCGAGATTTGACTCATATTCTTTAAAGTAAGGGGGGGAAATGCACATTTATCAAACTTCTTACTGGCCATAAGTTCACATACAGTTTGGAAATATGTGTACAGCTGCAGATGACGAGGCAACTCTGGGAACTAACTACACAGCGATGATCTTTCAAATGTATTTACGTGTTCGTTACAAAAGCTTAGGGTGTCCACCTAGAAATATTTTTTTATGTTTAATTATGATAAAACCCGAGCAGAAGATTTCTGGATAATACTAAAAGCTTTTGGTAACTGGAACCATCCTCTCCAAGAGGGGGGGGAAATAGCAAATCACTTAAAGAAATTATAAACCTGGTGCTATTTAATAGCACTAATAGACAACATTAAGTTTTTCTAATGGAACCAGCAGGTTGCCTGCTCGAGCTGTTCCTGCTTAAGACATTGCTCACATGAAATGTTAGTGACTAGAATTGTTTCAGGCACTGAATTATGACTAACATTATTTTACATTCTCTTCCTTTTCTCTCCCTTTCTGGTCAAGGAGTCTGTCTTTCTAAGATGCTTTACAGACATGAAAACAAATGGAAGAGTGTTTCAGCATGGATTCTGCACAAAATAATTTGAGGAAGACTGTGCTGAGTTTGGTGTTCTGAGGCTTTACCTCTACGTAAAAATGTGCTCAATATTTTCCTTATTTATAAATCAAAGCAAAATGTGTTTCATTTTAGTTTGATTTCACGTTTAACCTGGACTTCATTGCATCTTTCACCTGCTGAATTTGATTTAGTTCAGCAAATCATTCCTGTTCCCTATTGATCATTGAGTTTATATGGAAAATACATCTTTATTATATTCATTAAAATTTAGGTTCTCTGTCACTTTTAATTCAATATTCATATTAATATCACACACACACACACACACACACACACACACACACACACACACACACACACTGGAAATAAGGCAGCTGCCATGATATAGTGAGGAGAGATACTTTACAAAATACTACTTTTCAAAATGTAAAGAACGTTTAAAATGGACTCTAACAAGGATAATAGTCAAATTATAGCATAGTATACTACTTACTTGTCCAAATAATGAGTTTTGCTATTTTAATAGTTTATACTTTCCGCACAATATGTTTAAGGCCAGGTAGCTGTTGGAGTCATGCAGACCACACGTTAAGAATGTGGAGGTTCCACAGGCCAGGTGATCAAGTCAGTTACCTAGCTCGGTGGGTTCCCCTGAAATAGTAACACTGCTACCTTCTTTTTCAGTTGTGACTCCTGTTTGCTCACAGGCATGTGGCATTATTATCAGGGCCATGGAGTCCCCGTTAGGACTGTCTGATAGGATAAAGAGGGGGATAGCTTTGCCGCGTTCATTTACCTAGAGATGTTAAGTTCCTTATTTACACGGTGCCATTTACCACCCGGCGGGTTTACAGTTCTACATCTCTTGACTTGCTGTTGCAAAGACTACCAGACAGCTTCTGAAGAAACGAGGCCATGAAATGAATGGGAAAGGATGCTCATAAAGTGGGGGCTCAAAGGCGAGTGTGCTCTGCTCGGTGACTGGGGAAACAGAAAAGGAATGGCCGGCTTGGCTTCAGTGAAGGTCAGTGGAGATGGAGTAAACACGCTGTGCTCTGCATTGCCTCACAGAGAACGGGACTGTGTGAACTTTACACTGTTGTAGGTCGAAGCACAAATGCAAGGCACAGAAAAACAAGACGTTGAGTGTGAGTTTGTGGGTGGGTGGGGGCCGTGCATGAATGAGGACAGAATGATGGAAACGGGGGGGGGGCTTTTGGAGTAACAGGAGAAATATGGACACGTTAACATTAAATAGAATTAATAATGACAGACATGTAGGAAATTCTGGGTAGCCTGGCGGCGGCGGCGGTGATGGTACATGCCTTTTAATCCCAGCGCTTGGGAGGCAGAGGCAGGAGGATCTCTGTGAGTTCAAGGCCAGCCTTGGTCTGCAGAGCGAGTTCCAGTACAGCCAGAGCTACACAGAGAAGCCCTGTCTCAAAAAAAGAAAAGAAAAAAGACGAAGAAACTTCTGGGTAAGTATCACATAATATATTGTAGAGAGTGTCTGGACAAACAAGAACAGAGATAAGAAAAACACAGGGCAGGAATGACATTTGTGGAGAGAGACAATGCAAGTATGGCTGGAATGAGGACTATTATATGCTATGGTTTCTGTTTTTTTCTGTGTAGTAAAAGGGACAGTTTACATGCTGAGAATGGGGCATGATCATAGACAGGGATAGAAATCCACAGAAGCCCGACCTAAAGTCAGGGAGCTCGGCACTGAAAAAATTTTAGCAAATTATCACAGATAGGTAAATGTGGAAAATAATGTCACGATAATCACCATTTGCTATTCAAGGGACACTGTGTTCTGAGTTCCATCAAGAAGAATATGACGAAGCAAACTTTGCTTAGTCCATTTACCACATTTGTAGTGCGAGGATAAAAGATCAGAGAACCACTAACACTATGGTTACCCAGGGGTTATTACAAAGTGTAGAGGGGGTATGGCTCAGTTCTTCCCAGAGGAACTTAAAAATTTCAAGAGGAAATTAAGAATTCATAGATATCTACCCTTTTCTTCATATAAAGGAAGATCAAAAAACTAGAGAACATTATGCATTAAAACTGAGTTTGGGGGAACTCAGCTTGAGTCCTTTGAGGAAGAGTAGAGAAAATGTGGCTCTAATAAGTCGAACCAAGTGGCTGGAGAGACGGCTTTTTGTATAAAAGTGCTGGCAAGTCTTCCAGAGAGCAAGGCTAAAGTTAACAGCATCTACATGGCAAGTTACAGCCGTCTGTAACAATTCCAGGGCATCCCGTGCTGGCTTTTGGTCTCTGCAGGTTTTGCAAGCATTGTGGTTCACAGACATATATTTATGTGCAGACACGTTCATGTCAAATAAATAAATTAACCCCCTTTTTAAAGAAAGGTTGGTAGAAAATGTAAAAGTCTCTTCCCTATCGATCCCCAACAGCCATCCTTATTTCCTCAGAAAATGTACACAAATAGAATCTTTGTACTTTGTCTCTCCCTCCTGCCTCTAGGCTAAGGCAGTATCCCTCCATGGGGAATGTGCTCCCAAAGTCCTTTCATGCACCAGGGATACATCCTGGTTCCACTGTCTGAGGTCCCTTAGACTGCCCAGGCCTCCTAACTGAGACCCATGTTCATGGGGTCTGAGTCTATCCAATGCTGGTTTCCCAGCTATCAGTCTGGGCATCCATGAGCTCCTCCTTGTTCAGGTCAGCTGTCTCTGTGATTTTCTGTAGCCTGGTCTTGACCCCATTTTCTTATCACTCCTCCCTCTCAACTGGATTCTGGGAGTTCGGCTCAGTGTTTAGCTGTGGGCGTCTGCTTCTGTTTTCTGTTTCCATCAGCTAATAGATGAGGGCTCTATGATGGTGGATAAGTTAGTTATCAATTCTCATTATCAGGGAAGAGCGTTTTAAGGTAGCCTCTCCACTATTGCTCAGATTGTTAGTAGGTCTCTGAACACTTCTCTAGAGTAAGTTTTCTTTTCAAACAAAATATATATAGGCTCCCCATATTATGGTACCTCTCTCTCTCTCTCTCTCTCTGTCTCTCTCTGTCTCTGTCTCTCTCTTGCTCTCATATAGGAAGACTGATCGAGGGATGAATAGAAGCAAGTCTCAACAGATACAAATAAATTGTTTAAGGTCATGTTAAGGGGTCCTTCCTGTATCTGAAGAAAAACAGTGGAGAAGGAGTAGATAGGGTTAGGGGGAGAGGGGAAACTTTGGTTGGGATGTAAAAACTAGAAAATACATGAGCAAAATGATAGTTTGAATGTCTAGGAGGCTGGCACAAAGAAATTGAATGCTTTTTATTGTTTAATAAATGTAAAATAAATAGTTTAGAGCACTAATATGAAAGCAATGTTTGAAAGTTGTTTATTTTAACCCTCCTCCTGTGAACTTTGATATTTACCAAGCTAGCTTCCAGGAATGCACCGAATTTCAAAGTCACACACAGTACTGTCAGTGACAGGTCCCAGAAGTACCACCTCTCCTGGAGACCTTTAGGTCTTAGAAGAAGGGTTGGTCTGGCATGTTGCTCTTAGCCAATGTCTTTCTAAGCCTATGGCTTTCTACTGCCAAAGGAGAAGGTAAGTGGAAACAGATTTGAAACATATACTCTCTAGCCAGATATATTTATCTGTTGTGTGTGTGTACGAGAATATTTTTAATTTTAAATTTTATTATAAAATATTGGACATAGAAAATAAACTATAAAACTTTAATTGAAAAATTAGAAAAAAATCGAATGATAAAATCTTTTTGATTCATGAAGTTTTCGGTAAGTGATTAAAAAGAAAAAAAATTAGTAAAAGAGCTGTTCTCTGGCCTCTAAACCTCAAAGTGTAAATGGCTTCTAAATATAATTTGTAGAGACAAAAAGATATTCTTTTTAAAAATGTGTTAAAATAAAAGTAGAAAGATGAATTTTCAAAAAGATATTGAATTTAAAGAAAGACACTGAAAAGACAAAGTTTCCAATAGACTCTAAACATCTCTGAGTCCATGTGGGATTTGTTTTATTTTTACAGATTGGACAAGTTTTTAAGTCAAAGTCACTAAAATGAGAAACGTTTCGCATTTAAACCAAATTATCATTAGTCAAATGGAAATGCCTTTTAACAAGTCAATGAAGAATATTGTTATTTCACATGTAAGGCACCAAAGTGCCAACAATTTCCTCATTTTGGATCTCTCCAATGAACTTAGAAAGCAGGAAATTGTTACCTCAGTATTAATGGTGTGCACTTTACCAGGATTTCACAGCTGTCCCTCTAAAACATGGCTAATTCTTTCACTATTTTTTTATTGCATTCATGTGTGTATATTTATATATTTATATGTATACATATATACATAAATATATCCCTAAACACACCCAGCTAATTTTGCTCTATGGTATTTGTAAATACAGTTTGTCTTGTACTCTGTACAGTCTGAAGAATGACCTACAACACTCATAATTTTCCTTTTAAATTTGCTTTTAAGTTTACTATGTATGTAGCAACAATAGAAGAATGCGGTAGATAGAGAGGCGACAGCCAGACAGCAGAACATTATTTCAGGCCCTCAAGATAACAAGCATTGGTCCACTAATGTGGCTCACTTATGGTGGGTATCTGGACTTCCACTTGGAGAGCCTTTTGGATGTGGTTTCTAAGAAACAGAACAAAGAGCAATGGACTGAACAAATCAGGTGCTCACAACATCCAGCAGGAACTTTCTGGAAGAATAAGCTGGAGTTTCCCATTGATTCCCCGCCCCCCTCACCCATAGATGAACTTGCCAAGGTTCATCTGTCATTCTTCTCTCTGCTCTTCCTGGGAATCGGATTGGGGAACTCCAGCCTTACGCCATGCTTCCTCAGTGTGTGCTGGCATCTGCAAGGAAATTTGATGAGTTTACCTTTCTGTTGGTTTTGTTTTTTTACTTGGACGCCTCATGTAATAGGACACTGCTGTGCCCTTTGGAACCTCAGCTGGCTGCAATAGAACAGCTTGCCTCATCTATGTCTTCAGGTTATACTCTGGAGCCAGTCTGATAACATTTAACTATCTGTTTTGTTGTCTGTCTGTCTACATTTCTATCTGTCTTTCATTTTAATCTATCTATCTATATCTATATACGTAGATCTGTCCCTCATCTTTATCTATGTCATCATCATCATCTACCCCTTGTAGTTGATTCTTTTCCCTTTTTATCTTGATTACAGTTTCCTCTGCCTCTATTTCTCCCAGTTTGTGCCCATCTCCCCTCCTATATTCCTTTTTTGTTGATCTTCAGAAAAGAACAGACTTCTAAAAGATAATGACAAAACTCATTTGGATGTAAGTAAGTCAGTCCTTGTACTGAAATCTTCCTTCTTAGGAATGCTTTCATCGTGTCCCATAAGTTTGAGTATGTTGTGTGTTTATTTTCAATCTGTTGTATAGTCTTTCATTTATTTCTTAATTTGTATCTTGACACAATTTTATTTTTTATTCAGTAGAGAGTTGTTCAGTGTTCATGAGTTTGTAGGCTTTCTGTTGTTTCTCTTGTGGTTGACAGCTAGTTTTAAACTGGAGATCTCATAGAATGCAAAGAGTTATTTAAATTTCTTGCATCTGTTGAGAATTACTTTGTGTGAACTTTGTTTCTCTTTTAGACTGGATCAATTTTGTGTAGCCCAAGGTGGCCTTGAACTAACAGAGATGTATCTGTCCCCCAGTACTGAGATTAAAGATGTATACCACCACTGCTGGTCTCTAGTGTCTTCGCTCTGCACTTGAATCTACAGGCAAGTTTTATTTGTTAAAACACAAACATAATACCACTACATTTCCCCCTTGTGTCTAAAATAAAAAATAAGGCTATAACTAATATAAGAAAAACTATATACAATAAGTACAATAACTATATACAATATATACAGGCAATTACTACACCACCAATATCTAGTGCATTTGCATTTGAGAAATCAGAGAAAATACTCCATTATCTGTCCAATCTGTGACTCCAAAGTGATGTTACTAATTCACTTTCTTGTTTTTTATTATTTTACATATACATCCAAGTTCCCTCTCCCTCCCATCCTCCCATGCTCCACCCCACCCCACTCCCCGACCACCTCCCCCATCCCATTCCCGTTCACTCCCCAGGAAGGGTGAGTCCTTCTAGGAGGGATCATCAAACTCTATCAAGTCATTTGGAGTAGGGTCTAGGCCCTCCCTCATGTCTCTAAGTTAAGGGAGTATCCCTCCATGGGGAATGTGTTCCCAAAGTCCTTTCATGCATACATCCTGGTTCCACTGTCAGAGGTCCTTAGACTTCCTAGGCCTTCTAACTGAGACCCATGTCCAGGGGGTCTGGGTCAGTCTTATGCTGCTTTCCTGGCTATCAGTCTGGGGTCCATGAGACCCCCTTGTTCAGGTCAGCTGTCTCTGTGGGTTTCTTCAGCCTGGTCTTGAACCCTTGCTTATCACTCCTCCCTCTCTGCAACTGGATTCCAGGAGTTTGGCTCAGTGTTCAGATGTGAAGGCTCTAGGACGGCATATAAGGTAGTCATCAATCTCATCTCATTATCAGGGAAGGGCATTTAAGGTAGCCTCTCCACTATTGCTTAGATTGTTAGTTGGGGTCATGCTTGTGGGTCTCTTAACATTTCCCTAGTACCAGATTTCTCTTTAAACCTATAATGGCTCCCTCTGTTATGGTATCTCTTTTCTTGCTCTCCTCTATTCCTCCTCTGTCTCAATCTTCCTGCTCCCTCATGCTCTCCTCTTCCTTCCTCTTCTCCCCTTCTCTTGCTCCTAACTCCCTCTCCACTGACCTCCCCCCATGAATCCAATTTTCTCAGGAGACCTTGTCCCTTTACCCTTCTCCAGGGGACCATGTATGTCTCTCTTAGGGTCCTCCTTGTTTCTTGGCTTCTCTGGCAGTGTGAATCATAGCTGGTGATCCTTTGCTCTGTGTGTAAAATCCATATATGAGTGAATACAAAACATGTTTGTCTTTTTGTGACCTCACTCAGGATGGTTTCTTCAAGTTCTATCCATTTCCCTGCGAATTTCAAGATTCCATTGTTTTTTTCCCCCTCCTGAATAGCACTCCATTGTGTAACACATTTTCTTTATCCAGTCTTCAGTTGTGGGGCATCTAGGTTGGGTCCAGGTTCTAGTTATGACAAATAATACTGTTATGAACACAGATGAACAGATATCTTTGTTGCATGGATGCCTAAGAATGGCATTACTGGATCCTGTGGTAGACTGATTCCCATTTTTCTGAGGAACTGCCATACTGATCTCCAAAATGGCTGTATGAGTTTGCGCTCCCACCAGCAGTGGAGGAGTGTTCCCCTCTCTCCACATCCTCTCCAATGTAAGCCATCACTGGTGTTTCCAATTTTAGCCATTCTGACAGGAGTAAGATGATAGCTCAGAGTTGTCTCGATGTGCATTTCCATGATGGCGCTTTCCTAAGTGTCTTACAGCCGTTTTAGATTCCTCTATGAGAATGTCTTGCTTAAATTGAAAATGCTCACTATACATGGTGTTAATAAATCTCTATTTTCATAATAATTTACTGCAAAAGGAAGACGTTTCTGATTAATGTTGACTGTCTCTAAATGCGAAATATATTCCTACAAGATTGTTCAGTGTTGTGTAATTTACCTTAATAACAGAATTAATGCTCTCTCTCTAGACCTTTTGAAATCCCTCCATGGATTTTGAGTAGGTTTACAATTCATGTGTGAAATCAGCGAGTATAGTAGGCCCCACACTAGTATGTGGTTAGGTTCCACATACTAGATCTACCCAAATATATCCTGACTGTCTGTGGCCTGAAAATAATCTGAATTTGAAATTTTCAGCATGGAGTTTCTGATGTTTTACTGAATAAAATAAAGACAACTAATTTCTGTTATTTGTTAAATAACTTTTCTACTTAAAATATTTAGTGCTCTCTTCTCCAGCCTGTTCAATCACTCATTTCTTTCATCAGATGGTTTGTTGTTTGGGGGGAAATACAGTAAAAATTCACAACTGGAACAATACAAGGAATGATGATCTTGATTCTGCATGAGGAGATTCTTCAAACTGATCTTTTGTGCCATGTTAAATTTGTTGTTGGAAAAAAATTGTCAATAATAATTAGAAGATACGGGACTAGGTAAGAAAAAAATGAGCCAGGCAAGTGTTTAGTTAGTTAGAAGGGTTGTAAAAAAATCAGTAAATATGTGAATCACTATTATGAGTAACCTAAATCAACAACATTGTGATGGACCAACCATCAGGGCTGGTTATTGTGGCTTAATAAGGATCAGGAAAAACAAACAGTCCAAATAGATGTTTATTCAGGGACAAATAACTTACAACAGAGGTAGATGAACGCCAGCAGGTTCCTGGTCCCAGGGATGCCTTCGGATACTTTTCTGTCCCCTTGCTGAAAGCAAGAGAGCACTCTGTGGCCTCTTTCCCAGACCTAGTACCCCCAGATAACCTCTGCCCCTGTCCCCACCCCAATGGGCATGGTCAGTGTCACAGGTGTGCACAAAGTGAATATCTCACTACAGCTGGGACACAATCTGCATCTGGAAACATACACCACAGCAAAATGGGCTGCTCTAAGTATTGATCACCTCGGCTGATAATGCATTTTAAGTAATATTACGTTTGTTTTGAGGAATTGCCAGTAAAAGAGACAAAGACAGATTCACTTGTGCCCTTATGAGAATGAAGATTACATAAGACCTGGACTGTGGTAATGAGGATATTTCTGTTTGAAACAGTGCCTATTTGTGGTACCCTTGAAAGAGAAATCTCAGTGAGCTAACTTAATTTATTAGTGTTCTATGAAAAGTATAGTTCTCAAATTTATTGAAGAACAGTTATGACAGAAAGAATCTACATTTATAAACCATGAACCGAATTTCTGGGAAATCTTCCCTTATAAAACAAAAATAAAAGAACAAGGAAGCTGTAAGAAATTTGTGTGCACTTAGCAGTTGTATTTATCAAAATTCTTTTAACATAGTGGATGAGGGTCCCTGAAGTAGCATTATACTTCATGCAAAGATTTATGCTATTCTTATATTAAAAGAGCTAATTACTTATGAATAAGAACATGAAGAAAAATTTAATGAAACATTACATATAAAGTTACTAATACACTCAATAATAGAGTACTTCAATATGAAGATAAAAATGTTCAATATGATGTAATCACATTAGGTTTCAGTTACAATTCAAATTATAGATAAGCAGTTGTCATAATGGATATTAATAATTCCTGACCTGCTTCTCTGGTGAGATGCATAACTTGATTTCATTGGGAAATACCTCCCCGCATACCTCAGTTGTCTGAGTTCTATTTGTCTTCTTCTCCCAGATACTCACCAGTCAGGTCGTTATTTTAATTAATAGAAAGTAATCCACTGATCAAGTAGTGAGTGTTTTTCTGTTTGCTTCTTTTTATTTGTAGTGAAACCTTGTGATTTTCCACATATCAAAAATGGAGGTCTATATCATGAGGGGAAATACAGAGCATACTTCCCAGCATCTGTAGGAAAGCAGTTCAGCTATTACTGCAAGAGAGGATTTGTGATTCATTCAGGGACACACTGGGGCTACATTCGCTGCACCACACAAGGTTGGGAGCCTGCAGTCCCGTGCCTCAGTAAGTCAACATCTACATTAAATCATGCTCTGCCAAAGAAAGGAACATGAAAAATAGGGACTATGAAAATGTCTTTATCGCTTGAATATTTCATTTATAAAACTAAATATAAATGGTACTTCCTAAAAAATTTGGAATTGGCTTTATTTTTGAATGCCACACATGTGCTCATTTAACTATTGTGAGATAAATTTTAATTCCGTTTTTTTGAATAAATGAATGTTATGTTTTTAATCATTATATTTATGGTCCTTAGGGCAATGTAGTTTCCCTTATGTGGACCATGGTGTACTTTTAGAACGGAAAGCCAGCTACGTACAGGACCAGTCTGCAAAAGTCAAGTGTTACTCTGGATACAGACTTCCAAATGGTCAGGACACAATTACATGTACAGAGAATGGCTGGTCTCCTCAACCCAAATGCATCCGTGTCAGTAAGTAAGCAGCTCTGAGATCACAAGATGCTCTTGACTTCCCATTCTAATTATATTAACTGTGGCAAAATGCTTCTTTTAAAGTGTATATAACTGAATACTAAGGAGTCTTTGTAAGTATAATAGAGACTTGTTCAGTTTCCATGAGTTTGCAAGCTTTTAACTACTGATATCCAGCTTTAATTGTTGGTGATCTGGGAGGACAGCATATAGTTATTATAATTTATTTGTATCCGTTGAGACTTGCTTCATAACTATGTATCTAATCAATTTCTTGGAAAGTTTGGTGAAGTGCTTAGAAGAAGGTATTTTTTTTTTCTATCTGACTGAAATGTTTTTTAGATATCTCTTCAGTCCATGTGGTCTATCATGTCTTTTAACTCCAGTATTTCTCTGTTTATTTTTTTGGATGCTCTGTCCCTCGGTTAGATTGTGGTATTGAAGTCTCTGACGGTCAATTTGTAGGGTCAATGTATGTTTTAAGCTTTAGTAATGCTTCTTTTACAAAAGTGTATGCCTTTGTGTTGTATGCATAGATGAAAAGATTTGAAATGTCTTGGTGGATTTTTCCTTTGATGACTAAGTGTCCTTCTCTGTCTCTTTTGATAAATTTTGGGTTGAAATTTATTTTGTTAGATATGGCAATGGCTATGCCAACTTGCTTCTTAGGTGCATTCACTTGGAAAATCTTTTCCCAACCATTTTCTCTAACATAATATTCACATTTGATGTTGAGGTATGTTTCTTGTATGCATCAGAAAGAAGGATCCTGTTTTCACGTCCATTTTTATTGGGGAGTTGCATCCACTGATATTTAGAGTTCTTGGTGGCAGTTATGATGTGTGTATGTGTGTGTGCATTCCTTCTTTTTGTTTTGGTGGTGTGGAATTTTTTATTTCCTTTGATTTCATAGGTGTGGTTAATCTCCTATTACCTTTTGTACCATTGGTTTTGTAAATAGGTATTGTGTGAATGTGACTTTATCATGGAATATTGTGTTTCTTCTCCTATGATTATTGAAAATTTCACTGGTTATAGAGGTCTGCACTTGCAGCTGTGGCCTCTGAAGATATCTGTCTAGGCTCTCTGAGTTTTAGTCAGAGAAATCAGGTTTAATTCTAATAGGTCTGCCTTTATATGTTATTTGCTCTTTTTCCTTTGCATATTTTAGTATTCGTTCTTTGTTCTATATGCTCAGTGTTTTGAATTTTGGTGGGGAGTGAATTTTTGCCTCTGATCTAACCTATTTGATGTTCTATATGCTTCTTGTACATCCATAGGCATCCTTTTCTCTTTGTAAGAAAATTTTCCTTGTATGATTTTTTACTATCATATTTTCCAGGGGTGGGGGAGAGGCTGGAGAGATGGCTCAGTTGTTAAGAACAATTGCTGGTCATCTTGATGTCCTGAGATTAATTCCTGGCAGTCACATGATGGCTCACTATCATCTGTAATGAGATCGGGTACACTTTCCTAGCCTTCAGGGATACATGCAGACAGAACACTGTATAAATAATAAATAAATATATCTTTAAAAATATTTTATGAGCCTTTGAGATGGGTTTTTTTTTTTCTTATTCTATTCTATTCTTATTCTATTCTATTGGTCTTTCCATAGTGTCCCAGATTTTTCTGGGTGATTTGTGTTAGGATTGTTTTTAGATTTAACATTTTCTTTGACCAACATCTGAGATTTTTTTTGTTTTCCATTATTGTACTCTATTGCTGAAGTTCCTCTAAGTAGTTTCTGTTTTCTTACCTATATTTTTCATTTCCAGATTTATCTCAGATTTTTCTTTAGTGCTTTTATTTCCTTAGTTATGTCTTGTGCAATTTTATTTGTTTCCTTCAAGAGTTTGATTAGCTTTCTTTCTTGGTTTTCTTTAAGGGATTTACTCATTTCCTCCAATTTGTCATTCACTTCCTCTTTAAGGAACTCTACCGTCTTCATACAGTTGGTTTTAAGGTCTTTACCTTGTGCTTTAGCTTTGTTGGAATATGCAGGGCTCACTGCAACAGAATAATTGGGCTCTGGTGGTTACATTTTGCCCTGGCTGTTGTTGATTGTGTTCTTAAGTTAGCATCTATAGCTCTCAGATTAGCACATTGTAGGTCTAGGTAATGGTTTCTGAGTTTGCACTTGTTTGATGGGAAACTAAACCATGTGTTCTTGTCTGGTCTTGTGTTGTGTGTGACCTGTGGTTGAATAGGGCTTCTTCACCCAAGTTGGGGGCTGGGGCATGGCAATGAGGAGAGGAGAGGGGATTGAGGATTGTTTCGGGGGTGGGTAGACCAAAGGTCATGCTGGATGATTTGACCAACCTAGAGTTCTGTCATGGCCTTTGGTCAAGATCACTTACCTGTTATTCTCATATGTGTGGCCTGCATTTGAGCACAGGGTCCACCTGAGTTGGAAGCAGGGATGCAGCACCTGGGGTGGGGGTGGAGGGATGGTGGAGGATTGTGTCTGTGGGAACCTAGGAACAGCCTACCTCCTCTTCTTGCTGGAGTTGTCTGCTCTTGAGCAGAGGATGCCTGCCCCAGTTAGGGACTGGGACATGACAGCATGGTTGGGGATGGGGAGAGGAGGGATGTGGTAACTGAATCCAAGGAGTAAGAGAGTTCCTTGGATAGACTGCATACCTGTTCCTCAGATTAGTATGCCCTGCCTGCCTTATTGGTCACGTGTGTGTGTGTGTGTGTGTGTGTGTGTGTGTGTGTGTGTGTGTGGTGTCATCTAAAATGTCATTGCTTAAGTCAAAAGCAAATATTTTCTAGAAGTTCATATTTTGCCTTTAGATGTTTGATCAATATTGGGTTAATTTTCATATAAGTAATAAGAAAGAAGTTTAAGCTTCTTATTTTGCATTTAATGCCTAACTGTGGATGTTCTATTTGATAAAAGATTCTCTTCTACTGGGAAATTGCTATTGATTCTTGACAAATATATCCTGGTCCTATTTGTGTCTGTTTATTGACTTCCTGTTTCTTTCCTACTGCTCTGTGTGTTTCTACATCCACCGTCATACAGTTTTCTTTAATGACTGAGGCAGACTTGATATCTCCTAATATTAGACAACCACATCCTTTCTTTTTAAACAACTAAATTTAAAATATTTAAGTAATAAAGTATAGGTTGTAGAAATCTATTGTTTAAGAATTATAATATTTCTATTAATCAGTACAATATATACTCTTTAAATTAGGTTTGAAATGCCTATATCCTTGAGCATTTTGAAGAATTTTCTTGCTACTTTAGATTCTAGCCTTGTGAATTTTAGAATGATTTGCTCTTGAATGTAAAATTTTTTTTGAGAATAATTTGGAGACAATTTATATAGTATAATTTAAGTTTTCTATCCATTCGTGTGATTTATCATTATATTTACTTACGTGCTTTTTTTCCTATAGTTTTTTTCTGTTGTATGCAGCTGAAATATTCTGTGTGTAATCAATAGATGTTTACTTAATGCATGTTTTTCATACTAAAGCAACTATATTCACCTTATCTATTTTTCTTGAGTGAGTGGTATAGTCTATGGCTTTTACTAACTCCATTAGTTGTCAACTTGTCAAATTAATTAACATGAATGTCCAAAAGATTTCCCAATTTGTCTTTTAAAATAGGTAAAAGAGTAAAATACTATAATTTCCATATTTGCTGATATTGGTAATCTGTGCCATCCCTACTTTTCATGTAATAAATCTGTTTAAAAATTTGTTAACTTAAGGTTTTTTTTAATACTTTGAAAATTTACAGTTCATTTTTTTATGGAAATATGTCAGTGCATTACATATATACTTTCTTTTATTTTCTGCTTGGTTATTCCTCCTCTGGGCATGATCCCCCTTACCCCATTTACTCATTTTTACTTTAATTTCTGCTTTTTTCTAATTTATTAACAGAGCCTCAGTTAACTCATGAGGGTCTTTGTTCCTCTTCAATATGTATGTTGAGTGCAGCCAGCTTCCTACATGGTCTTGGTTGTGATTCCATGGTGCCATTGATACTTGTATGGTATGTGAGCATTGGCAAATGTTTTTCTGGGGAGTTTCAATGGGGATTAAGATGTTGACACAAATGTATATTCCTTTCAGTTTCACCTGAGTCCTTTAGTAAAGGATTCTGCTAGAACTCTTGCCAGCAGGGCTTAGGATTGGAAACCTACAGGATAAGAAGGCTGAGTTTGACAATTTATTAGACCTGTTTGGAAAGGTTTTGGGTTTTTTTTTTCATCTTCTGGGGGACTTTCTAAAGGATCATGGTACATGCTTTTGATTATTCTGGATCTTCATGTATAATGGCTAATGGTTATTTTTAATAACTTTTTAAAATTTAATTTTATTTTGTCCTTCTTTAATTTATTTTTAATATCTTTTTTTATAGTATAAATCCTTAAGCTACCGAGCACGCACTCATGTTTTTCTTACTTCCTTCCCTTTTAGAGACATGTTTAAAGTCAGATATAGAAATTGAGAACGGGTCTCTTTCTGAATCTGATCTTACATATGCTCTAAATAAAACAACACAGTATAGGTGCAAAGAGGGGTATGTAACACCGAATGGAGAAACATCAGGAACAATTACCTGCCTCCAAAGCGGATGGTCGTCTCAACCCTCGTGCATCAGTGAGTACTTCATTATATTGCTGCCATTATACTGGTGCTGTATAAGGGTTTGGCTTTATTCTCTTTTGAGCTGGCTGATTTTTATTTGAAAGATGAGTTTTAAATTTCAGGAGAAAAAACTTCACATGATGACTATTTGGTTTTCCTCTTGGACTCATTACTATATTGCAGAATTTCTGCTCATTTCCCTTTTCAATGCTTTAAAACAGCATACAATTTTAATCTAGTGAAGGATTCTTTGACCAGCTGACATTTCAAAGATGTTCTGCCTTTCGTATCCAAGATTTTCTTCCAATATGCACTGGTAAACTTTTTAGTGAGGATATATGTTCATGTTTTAAATCACAGAATATGTGGTACCTTCATGATATGTATTTGACACTGCCCGTTAAGATCCATTTTGGAACGCTTCCCTCTTGGAAAATCTTTCCAAATATCTTGATATTGGAAAGACAGGACAGTTTCCATATAGAAGCAAACTTTGATGTTTTGAAATTTTCCTTGTTATATGACCTACAGTTAATGAAGGCCTTCTAAGAATGATTAGTTCATCTTATCAGAAAAATAACCAGTGGTGTTTTTCAAGAACTATTCAACTTACCTTAAATGAAAGGGCTCTTTTAAATATTACTTTCTTAATATATATTTTTCACTCATTGTGCTTTACAAGATCTAGTTAAAGAAAAGGCCATTAATAATATTCCCTTGCAGTATTCATCTATATTAAATTATAATTAGTAAGTCTACATTGGATTTTATTATTGTTAAAAATAAAACCTTTGATATAATAAATGAATATATCAATTTTAATTTCAGTTAATCTACTTTTCTGAACTCTATGTTTCATATTAACTACTAAATGTGAAAACTTAATTCACAAAACACTATTATACATTCCTAAAAAATACATCTGCATTTGTCCATTTCTTTGTAATTTGTGATAAATGTAAGGAAAACTGAGCTGTGAAATTACTTTTAAAATGAAATTTTGTGGCCACCTTGCCTGTGTCCACGCGAGCCCAGGAGATCTCCATGCACTGAGCATCCAGAGCGTCGTGCCGCACGCCAGTGGAAGGAACATGTGCAGAGCTATGGTGGCCAGACTGGGGCTGGGGTTGCTGCTTCTAGCACTGATTCTGCCCACGCAGATTTATTGCAACCAAACATCTGTTGCATTGTTTTCAAGTAACCAGAATATCTCTACTGCCCCAAATCCAACTAATGCCCCTCACCAGAGCAGGTGGCAGTACCCTGCAGTCAACAGCTGGTCTCCTCACCGTCTCAATTTCTCTTCTACATCTCTACTCTTAGAGACTCAGGCCAAGAAACGTCTCTACTTCCCCATCTTCTAGACCCAGCCCAAATGGTAACCAAAAGTCCAATGTGACCCGGAAGAAACAGGTCCACATCAGATCTACTATTACCACACCTTGACAGAAAATTCATGTGAAGGGTATGACAGATGATGAATGCCAATATTGAATCTGCTGGAGTTCTATGTTCAAGATGAAGAGCGATAGCATCCAACGCTGACGTGATTTCCTTGAACGAGGCTTAGGAAATGTGGACACTTACAACTCTATCTTGAAATCAAGCATAGGTTTTATGTAGTGAGATAAGGATGGGATGTGGGATGAAGGAAGATTCAGTTTTCATTGGCTCATTCAACCTGTAAGGCCATAACACAGCTAGGTGACATAAAGGTCTCTCTGATGCTATTTGTGTAAATGTTAGAAAGAACTACCAGGTGTTTCTTTAAATCCAAGCTGTATTGTTTCATTACTACTAGTTTAATATGCTGAACTCTAGGTAAAGTTCCACGTTGTTGAGCTGTTCTCTTTGGAACTGAACATTTTCCTTCTGTGACTTTGGGTTCGACATTATATTTGACCTTTTTAAGTAATTGACATGTGCCAGGAAACTATGGATTGGAATCCAGCTCCAAATCCAGCCATCATTGAATAAATCTTATTACAAAAGGAAAAAAATGAAAAGATATTTTGTGAAATCCTAAGTGAAGAGATAACCATTATATAGGAACCTATTTTTCATTTTAATAACTGCATCAGTAAACTTATCTGTTGTTGGTCTTCTGAGATGGTTTTATACAGTATTTAATTTGTTACCACATATTAACTTATAAATCCTTTTGTTCTTGTGGGAATTGCTCAGATTACCCATTGACATGTTAGAAATGAAAACTTTTATTTATCTTGTATTAGAGTCTTGTGACAGGCCTGTATTTGAGAATGCTGGAACTGAAAATAACAGAACATGGTTTAAACTCAACGACAAATTAGACTATGAATGCCATGTTGGATATGAAAGCATACATAAAGATACCAAGGGCTCCATAACATGTAATTATGATGGATGGTCTGATATTCCTTCATGTTATGGTGAGTACTATTTTGGAAAACAAAAATAAAGATTTACATTTTACTTTTTTAAAAAATTTAATTTCCTGAAATCTTTCTTGTAATTTAATGTAAACTAAGAGAGAGAGAGAGAGAGAGAGAGAGAGAGAGAGAGAGAGAGAGAGAACTATTTGAAAGGCCAAAGATGAGAATTTTGTTTTTATTATTTCGTTACAGTGTTTATTCTGTGTATTTGTATGCATGTGGGTGTTAATGAATGAATGCATGCTACATTGTGCAGTTAGATGTCTGATGCCTATGAGAGTAATCTCACTCTTTTTATCATGTGAGTCATTGGGACTGGACAGGCTTAGAGGCAAGCACTCCCGATAACTATTCCTTCTCATTGGCCTGATAATCTGTTTTTAAAATAGTGCATTCATCAGGAGTGATGGCCTATACCTTGATTCCAGCATTTAGGACCTTGGAGCAATATGCTTTAAGTTTGAGGACATATTGGGCTACATAATGAATCCCTAATTTTAAAAACAAACAAATGAACAAAATGTTAAATTAATGACTCACGTATATGACCTGTGTGTCATATATCTCTGATTAGAGTATAATTGTTTTATTATCATTAGTGCCATCTCCTATTTAAAGTAGGTCTATGTTACCAAAATTATTATTTGCAGTATGAAGCATGGTCACTCAAACGTGAACAATGTGAGGGAAGAAGATGAAGGACAATAGAAGAGTTGAAAATTTAAAAGGATGGCAGTACACTGACAAACTTGATTTTAAGCTCAAGGCTCCACTCAAATTTAATTCAGTAAGGTGGCATACACCTGTAATCATAGAATTTGGGAGACAAGAGCATGATGGTCTTGAATTACAGACAAGTCTGGGTCTTCTAGGAATATTTATCACAAACAAACAAGAAGAAACATATAACCCCTAAGTATATAAAATGAAACTAAACAAATGATGATTGTTAATTTCTCTCTGATTATAAGCAGTTCAGGATTACGAAATCAGGGCTTTCTACACTACACTGTTAAAACAGAATGGAAGGGAAGGTATTTTAGTTCATTAGTACAACACTTGGCTAAGCCATAGCCTTAGGGTCAATTCTAGCATAAACGAAAATATTTATATGTATAATTCTGTTGTGTGACAAAAATTTTCCTGTAAAGATGATACACAAACATCTACGCACCCCAGATAAGGAGACCAGAAATGACCGATGTACAGATATCACCAAAGTCCAAAGTACAACTTGATGAACCATGAGTTTTATTAAAGTTACTTACAGAAATATAAGTGAGAGTTGACTTACAGGAGCATAAATAGCTCAAATAAAATTATGTCAAAATTGTCCACCTCCCCCAGCATTGGTGACAACTCACAAAATCTGGGACAAGGAGTATATTTCACAGCCTCCAGGCAGCTCAACAGTGACTCAGTTGGTCTAAAGATCTACCAGCTACTTCCAGGAACTATCAGAAAAGTATAACATGGAGATGCCTATACTCACCTTGACCCTATCAGGAAGCCAACAGGGCTCCTTTACCTCTTGTCAATGAATATGTGTTTTTACAAAAATGATAATGAAAATCAAGACTATTTTGGTAGAGGAACAGTAAATGTCCCAGTGTTTTAAAAATAAAGTCTGCCTGACTGGATTGTCTTCTTTCTGTTTAGCAGCTATGACATTTACCAGCACTGGAAGGCATCAGTCTATGCTTATTTTAATTTAGTTAGTGCTTTAGGTGAGAAGGAAGAGATTGCCCTTTAACTCTCATTTTATATGATTTAAAACTTCTTCAACCAATCATCTCTGTAGCCACAAATCACTAGAAACATACTGTGATGGGAGATGTCATTCTATATATGTTTCTCATGCTGGTTAATAATAAAGCACTGTTGGCCAATAGGAAAGGAAGATAGGAGGGACTAGGAGACAAGGAGGAAATAGGAAGTAGGAAGGAGGAGTCAAGATGGAGAGTCTAAAGAAAGCAGTATGCCGCCGGCTCCCCGGTAAGAGAAATACATAGATCAGCAGAAATGGGTTAATAATTAAGGCAGAGCTAGCCGATAAGAAACAAGTAACAGGGCCAACAGCATTGTATCAAATACAGAGTCTCTGTGTGTTATTTGGGGCTGGCGCGGCAGCGGGACAATACCAGGCGGCGGGTGGAAAAACCGTACACCTTACAATACTGTGTTTACCACTGCACTGTTTTTGTTTCTTTTGTGCCTGTACTTTGACTTGATCTCTCAAACATCAAATATGTGTTCTCAGATTCGACAAAGACATGTGGACCTCCTCCACCTATTGACAATGGAGACATCACCTCCTTCCCTCTACCAGTATATGCACCATTATCTTCAGTTGAATATCAGTGCCAGTCCTTGTACCGACTGCAGGGCAACAAGAAAATAACGTGTAGAAATGGAGAATGGTCAGAGAAGCCAAAATGTTTACGTGAGTACCTTGTTTTCGTAGATCCTGAGAAAGTTGGTATTCAATTATGAAGATAGAAGACAACTCGTTCTATTTGAAAGTATGTATTGCCATGTGATAAGTCCTGAAGGGGTACCCAAATATAAAAACTGAAAACAAATCTAATAAACAACAAATGTGTATCATTATACAAAAAAATCAGCAATTTTCTATATGTCAATTTCAATTCCATTTTAATAAGAATTAACAACAAAAGCAATCTCATTCACAGTAATTTTAAAAAATTATCCAGCAAAGAATTTAACAGAATTGAATGACTTCTGAATGCTTAAGTTAATTGATGAAAGAATCTCACAAAACAAAAGCAATGGACAAATCTCACATGTTAGTGGGTTGGAAGAATTAATATTAAAACATCTGTGTTGGCCAAAGCAATTAGCAGACTCTATGAAAGTCCATTAAAATATGGGCAACATTCTTCATACAGGTATGGAAGTACATGGAAGTACAATGACAAGGAACTTAAGCATAAAGAAAAATATGGAGATACCATAATATATTGTTTCAAGATACACTAGTAGCAATGCAACCAGAACATTGTGACATTGGGTAAAAATTGATGCACAGAAAGAGAATATATATTTGAGAAACTGATCTATGAATATATGGTTATTGATCTTGATAGAGTTTTAATAACATTCAATGGGGAAAAAGATCTGCGTTCTCATCAACTGTTGAGTACATAAAGGCACCGTGGTATATTTATATGATGTAAGCCCAGGGTCCAAGGTAATGGTTGGAAAGCTGCTTTTAAACCAGGATTGCCATTTGTCCAATGATTGGTTGATATATTTATTTAACAAAAAAACCTATCAAAATAAAATTCATTACACATTCATAGTTACTACTTTGTGAATATATGATGGATATTGTAAAGACAATTATGATTAGGCTTCCTAATCATAGAATTTTAAAAATTCTTTTAACTTTTACTGATTCTTTGTGTGCCTTAAAACCTCTCCCCCAAGACAAAACAAAATCTACAAGAAAAGCAAAAAATTAAACCAACCGAACAAAAAACATAAATATATAAACAAAAGAAAGGAAAATAATGTCATCATAGGAACTATAGTGTGGCCCAATGAGTAACAAATGTTATCCTTTAGTCCACTCATGTTTACTTGTAACTGTTCATTGCTATGAGTCATTGATTTAGTTCAAGGCCCCTGGCTTCTGCTATACTGTCAGTAAGGACCTACAGACATCAACAGAGCAATTGAGGTATTAGATTCAATTATCATACATGTCATTGCTCAAATTGTATAATTCTTCCCAATACCTAAATGAAGGTATTTTTTTTTTAATGATTGTCGTATCACTGAACATTAGATTCGATTATCATACATGTCATGGCTCAAATTGTATAACTCTTCCCAATACCTAAATGAAGGAAAACAAACATGAATGTTCTGAAATGCAATTTACTGGTGTTAGGAGTGCTTCATGTTGAATCCAATTGTCACATCAAACATGAAATTTTTACATCAGGCCATGCCCCTCTATTTACTTAACTTCATGTGCTGCTTTTATAATTTTTTGTTAAGAGTTTAGCAAGGAATGCCTCAAACATAATACACTCTACTTGAAGACTGACTCTCTGTAGGTTTACGTGATGACGTTGTAGAATATATTTTTCTTCTTCTTCTTTTAGATCCGTGTATAGTATCAGAAGGAATTTTGGAAACGCATAACATAATTTTCAGATGGAGAGAAAAACAAAAGCGGTATTACGAATCAGGAGAGATGCAAGAATTTAGGTGCAAAAATGGATATCATCTGGCAGCGTCTCAAACATTAAATCCAGTGTGCAATGATGGTCACATTGTTTACCCCACTTGCACAAAATCACATTAAAAGCATTAATAGAATTTAGTCATGCACGTTTGTTCAGTTAAGGTGCATGCAGACTATCAATAATTTCGAATTTACTTGTGAAGTATTGTTTAACTCCACTTTATTCATAAGTATAAGCTTATATTGATATATGAGCTTATTCGAAGTTCCCAAAACATGATGATGTGTCTTAGCACAAAGATCAGTGACAAGGAAATAGATTTAATTACTTCCCTATCTGTCTCTGTCCACCATTTTTTCCAAAGCTTCTTGTAGACCTTTTGATGTAAGCCTCGGTGAACACAAGACATAATTGCCTCAGTCTTTAAAATGTACCATTTCACAAATATGAAAGAACAAAACATCATATTTTATATTACTAACAAATGTAAATGATTTGTGTATGTTTTGCTCTTGTTGCTAATTAATAAATAGGAAGAATTTTGTGAATGAACTTCCAAATATACCACTTTTTAAATATTCAAACAATTATATGAAAGCCTTAAATATTAATTGGGCATGAGTATATTCACTATCAGAATATTGATATTTAAAACCTCTGAAGATTTTGTATAACACAAATAGGCAATTGTGCCCCAAAATAATAAAGATACATTTGATGGTAAAGATAACAAACATAAGACTTGTGTTTTCCTTAATAAATGGGAAGGTTACTAGTTGCTGCCTTTCCTTCCAGTCTGCCTCCATCCCCTAGTCCTTAGCTTTCATCCATTCCTTCTAGCCCTTCTGTACTTCTCTGTAACTACATATACACCTACTGAACAGTTTTCTATCAGGGATCCTGTAACCAATACACATGCCTGGGAATCAGGGATCCTAAAGCCACTACACAAAGTTATAATCCAGAGTGGGTAACAGCAACTTGAGTGTGAAAATCCCACTCAACAAAGGAGAGACCAAATATCTGCAACAAGGGGAATGGTGTAATTCTAGACCCCTAGATCCTAGCACAAAAAATGCAAGCATGAATAAACAAGGAGATATCTTTCTCCAGAAGCCAGAACTCTCACTGTAGCATGCCATGAGAAAAGCAATAAAACAAGAGCTTCAAAGGGGCAAGTGTGAACATGCTGGATAATCTTAAAAAGAACATCAACAAAGGCCTAAATGAAGACAGTGAAAACAATATATAAACAGTTGAGTGAAACACTAAAACAAAATTCCAGATATGAAAGTAGAATTTAACAACAACAACAAAATAAAGTTACTAAAGAAATGCCAAACTGAACTAAAACTCAAAATAAAAAGCTCAGAAAGTCAAACAAAAATTGAGAGGTGAATCTCTCCAACATACTGAATGAAGTCAAATAGAGAATTAAAAGCCTTGAAGAGATGATAGCAGAAAAATGGACAGTTCAGTCAAAATAAATATTAAATTTTTAAAAAGGAAGGGAGGGACGGGAAGGAACGAAGGAAAAAGGAAGAGATAGGAAGGAAGGAAGGAAGAAAGAAAGATTGATTGACTGATCCAGGCATCAAACATTAAAGAAATCTTTTTTTTATGTGATAATATTTTTTATTTAAATTTGAAACAAGCTTGTTATTCATTCCAATCCCAGTTCCCTCACCTCCTCCCCTGTCCCCTTCCCAACCCTCATCCCATCCCCTTTCTGCTCCCCAGGGGGGCTAAGACCTTCCATGGAGAGTTTCCAAAGTCCATCTTATCATTTGGAGCAGGGCCTAGGCCAAGAGAGACTATCCCGCTATGTGGAATGGGCTCCCAAAGTATACTTGGGCTAAATACTGATCCACCACCAGAGGCCCCATAAATTGCCCAGTCCTCCCAACTAACACCCACATTCAGCGGTTCTGGGTCAGTCCTATGCTGGTTTCCCAGCTATCAGACTGGGGTCCATGAGCTCTCCCTTGTTCAGGTCAGCTGTTTCTGTGGGTTTCTCCAAATTAATTTGAGATTCCATCTTACAACTCTGAGAATGGCTAAGCTCAACAACACAAGTGATAACTCTTGTTTGAGAGGATATGGAGCAAGAACACTCTTTCATTGCTCCATTGCCCAGAGATCTTGGGTAAAACTAAACACTACTCATCTAAAAAAAGTGCCAATAAAATGACTCCTACTTACACTCTGTTATGCTCATCAATCAGTGCCTTATTCAGTCATCATCAGAGATTATTCCTCCTGCAGCAGACTGGAAAAGATGTAGAGATCCACAGGCAGAAATTATGTGGATACTGAGTCCTTGGAATGAATACAGTTCTAAATGAGATATCTCCTTCAAATTCTGCCCCCCCCCAGAGTTCAGATAACCTGTAGAAGAGGAGGCAAAAGGAATGTAAAAGCAAGAAGGGATGGAGGACACCAAGAGCACAAGGCTCTCTGAATCAACTAAGCCAGGCTCATATGAACTCACAGAGATGAAAGCAGCAAGCACGGGACCTCCATGTTTCTTCCACAGGTCCTTTATGTGTACATGATAGCTTTGAGCCTAGTAATTTTATGGGAACCCTGAGTGAGAGAATGAGCCTGCTCTTGGGACTCTCCCAAAGTTAGGCATGCCCAACTTTGATGTGATGGCTTTTGTTTTATCTTATTATAGTCTATTTTGTCTTGTTTGGTGGCTTTACTCTTAGAAGCCGGCTCTTTTCTAATGGGAGACAGAAAGGGAGTAGAATAGCTAAGGAGGGGAGGTGATGTAGAGAGGAACCGGGAGGAAAAACTAAAATCAGGATCATTGCAAGAGAAAATAATATATTTTCAATAAAAGGGAAAAAAATAACTCAGAAAACAAAGAATCAACAAAACAAAACAAACAAACAACCCATTCAAAAATGGGCCTTAGGTCTGCGCAGAGTTCTCAGAAGAAAAATACAATGGCTAAGAAATGTCTTAAGAAATCTTCATGAACCTTAGCAATTAGGGAAATGTAAACGAACGCAACTTTTAGATTTAATTTCATTCCACCAGAATGGCGAAAACCAACATCAATGAAAAGCTGGTAATGTATGCTGAAGGGTGATGAGGAAAGGCAGAACCCTCTTCTGCTGTTAACCTCATTCACAGTATTGCATGAAGAATTCTCAATACATCTAAAACATATCGATGTTATAGTATAGCGATACCATGACCTGGCATATTCTAAAATGGCTTTACATCCTAACCTATACATTCCTACTCAGCTATGTTCATCCCTGCTCTATTCTCAATAGCTAATGAATTGAAACATGATAATTAGCCTTCAAATGAAGAATGGGTTGGAATACCATTCAGCTGTAAAAAAAAAATAAATAAATAAAAAAAACCAGAAAAAATGAAATCATAAACTTTTCCTGTAATTGGAATAAGAAAAGGTCATATTGAGTTAGGCAACCAAGGCCCAGAAAGATAAATGTCACATGTACTCTCACTGGAGACTCCTACCTCCAAATCTTCCCATAAGAGTCTATATGCTGGAGTAACTGAAAAGGACAGGAAAGTAAATACAGACCAGAGGAGTAGGATGGTGAGTAATGAAAATGTGAATACCAGCTTGCAAATGTTCCATTAGGGAAAATGAGGGGGGAAAAGGAGACGGCTATGATTAGGGAGATGGGGCACCATCTTTAGCCGGATGTTTCTCTCCCACCTGCCAATTCACAAATAACCACTCCGAGGTTATTAATTGCAAACTGTTAGGCCTATTAGCTCAGGCTTACTATTAATTGGCTCTTACAGTTGAATTAATTCATTTCCATTTGTCCATGCGTTACCACGAGGCTAGTGGCTTGTTACCTCACAACTTGTTTCCCTAGCAGCTGCCGCCATCTTCCAGTCTCCTCCTCCAATACTTTTTTTGATTCTGCCTTGCTTGTGGCAAAATAAGCTTCTTCATTAACCAATGGTAATAAAACATATTTACAGAATTCACAAGGGCATCCCCACATCAAAGGAGAGGGTAAAATAACAGTAAGGTTGCACAGAAAAGTCATAAGGAATTATACTATTAACTATCCACCCCCTAAACAACCGTGATTGGTGTAAGTCCAATATACATAGAGTTAAAATGAGATTTTCTACTGTAGGGTGACAGTGTTCTTGCCACAAATCAAAGGCCATCTAAAAATACTGCAATACCAGGTAAGAGAAGAATGCCTCAGAATTCTTGACCACAAATGTCTAATAGAGCCAAAGCATAACACTACTAGTATTGCGGTTCCTTGTCCCCGAGAGACTGAAGGAAAGTCATTATTGCTGAAGACACCATGTACTTCATTCACCACAGGGTTCGAAGGCCCCTGAGCTGGAACTGTTCTGGAAACCCCCTCTCTGAGGACTAGAATTCGTGGTACCAGAAGTTGCCATACAGTCTTGCAAAGAAGAACATCAGCCAATGCTCATACACAACTATGATGCCTATAAAGAGGCAAAAAGAAATTTAGTCTCTCCTCTTTCTTCCCAAATACTTCAATTTAACTCTCTAGGAAACCGACACAATAAAAAGAAATGCTGTCGTATTGTTTAATGAATATAAAATGAATTCATTTTATATTAAATGAGTAAATATAAAATATGAAACATTGATTGAACCTGTGGCATAGACCACGCCCATTGGGGGTGGAGACAGGGCTGGATGTGACCTGAGGAGGGGGCTCTGAGAGCTCTCTTGCTTGCAGCAAGGGGACAGGAGCACTTCTGGAGGCATCCTTGGGGCCAGGAACCTGCTGGTGTTCATCTGTCTATGCTGTGAGTTATTTTTTCCTGAATAGACATCTATTCGGCCGATTTGTTTCTCCTGATCCCTATTAAACATCAATATACTTCCATTACAACCACACCTGAGAGTATTTCCTTGCCAAGATTCCAGCAGGCAGAAGCACTCAGGAACGAGAAGGCAAAACCTGACACCACATCTTATGCCATCATCATAGATAGATCTTGTCTTAGGTTCTAAAGTTCAGAAATTCATAGCAGGAGTACAGTTTATGCTAATTCACTACAGTGGTTCTGACAGATAATTACCTCCACAAGTGTGAAATAAACACAGTTACTTTTGCTTGTTGTTTTTACTAGTAATAGTAAAACATTTCCTTGATGTTTGAGTCATTGGTCTAGCAACTATTCATCCTCATATAATAGAAGGTTGTAAGATACCTGTTCAAACTTGGCCTTCTTAATTACACCCGTATTTGAGTCTTAAAGACTCAAAATACTTGAAAAGTTAAAAAAAAAATCTTTAGACATCCTTTTCTTAAAAGAACTTTTATTTATTATTTTACATATCGATCCCACTTCTTTCTCCCTCCTTCCTTCCCTCCCTCCCATCCCATCCCCCCCATCTCCACAGGTAGGGTGATGCCTTCCAGGAGGGGTCAACAAAATCTGTCAAGTCATTTGGAATAGGGTCTAGGCCCTCCCTCCTGTCTCTAGGTTAAGGGAGTATCCCTCCATGGGGAATGTGCTCCCAAAGCCCCTTAGCCTGCCCAGGCCTTCTAACTGAGACCCATGTTCACAGGGTCTGAGTCTGTCCAATGTTGGTTTCCCATATCAGTCTGGGGGCCCATTAGCTCCCCCTTGTTCAGGTCAGCTGTCTCTGTGGGTTTCTGTAGCCTGGTCTTGTCCTCCCTCTCTGCATCTGGATTCCAGTTTGGCTCAGTGTTTAGCTGTGGGTGTCTGCTTCTGTTTCCATCAGCTACTAGATGAGGGCTCCATGATGGTAGGTAAGGTAGTCATCAATCTTGGGCATTTATGGTAGCCTTTCCACTGTTGCTCAAATTGTTAGTTGGGGTCATCCTTGTAGGTCTCTTGACTTTTCTCTAGAGTCAGTTTTCACTTCAAACCTATAATGGCTCCCTCTTTTATATTATCTCTCTCTTTTTTCTCTCTCTCATCTATTTCTCCCCAGACTCAATCTTCCTAGTCTCACGTGCTTTCCTCTCCTCTGATTATGATAATGATAGAGGTGTTGATAAGTAAAGATAAACATTAATACTTCCTCAGTGTACACTGGAGTTACATCCTTAGTAGTCATGATACACTGAAAACAATGTCAGTTTAAATCCATTATAAATACCCAATATTTTATCAATCAGAGTAAACCAACACGGGGCTTTTGGAATGTTGTCTGGTTACCTTGGCCAAGTAGGAACTATGGTGAGTTACTGCTGCTAGTTTTCACAGTGTCATAATTGCATATAGAGACCTAAATAATTATCACGTTTTTGCTATCATGACATTAGTAAATCATATTAATCCACTGTAAATTATAAACTGTCTTTAAAATTATTAAATAGCGACTAAATACTATCACCTCTAAAGATAAATACAGTGGTTCATTTTATAAATTTGGCTCTATTCATTGTTATTTTCCTTTATTATTTTGGGCACAAAGTATGTATATGCTGATTGCCTGTTAATAAATTATATAGAGTATTTATAGGTTTATGACAGTGACAGAATCCTATACACAGTTATGGTTTAATTCCTTTGTATAATTGCTTGAATATTTTAATATGCCAAATTAACATATTCAGAAGTTCATGCATAAAATATTTCATAGATTTATTAATACAAAAGCAGTATGTAGCAATTACTTTTAATCATTACTAATGTCAAGTATTACAGTTAATCTACATATTTATGAAATAATACTGATTTTAAGATGAAACAATATCTCTTCCATTTACCTTGAATCAGAGCCTTCAACCAAAACATATGGAGGAAGACTGGAGAGATTTGAAAACTGATGGGTAGACACAGACAATGAAGTAATTATATGTATTTTATGGCCATTGATTACTGTGCCAGGACACAACGTATTCTGGTTTAGGAGTTTTGAAGGCACTGCTTTGCCTTTGTGGCAGTGATCTCTCAGGCTCCAAATTAATCACTACATGTCAATACAAGTTTATACCCATGAGAAGAAACAAGTTAAACAATGCTTCAAAGATAAATTGAAACTATATTCGTAGTATGAATGCATATTTCTAAGCAAATGTCCATTCATCCTTCATACCAATAACGTTTTTTTTGAGCAACTGGGATAATCGGTGTGACCATCAATGCACATTGTACGGAATGGAGGTGAAGGATTTGTTGGTTTATATCCAGATATACATGTAAATTCTACATAGTCCCCTGATTGGATATAAACCTTTCGGTTTTCTATCCATCTGAGCATTATGTTATGTCTTTTCATGATATCTTCTGATATTACACATGCCTCTGAAAGAAAAATTAATAAAATTTATCAATACATAAACCTACAGAGACTCACCTTTCAAGCATTATTCCCCAAAGTTTTTAAAAACCTGTATTAAACCAGCACATAGAATTAGTTCATATTGAATAGCAAATGGTGTCAAAACAATGTTTTCAATGTTTCAGGAAACAAGGACTCCTGAGGTCATGAAAGAACGCACTTATATTTCAGGACATTCAGGGTTGTTTGCATTGATTTATGTACCACAATAAATAAAAGGAACCAGAAGTTCCAGCTTCAAGCTGCTGATCACAAAAGCAAAGCAGCTGGTCATTAGCTCTTACTCTACCTCAGAATGAAGGTTGATCCTGGCTCTACCGAACCTCAGACTGTAACCTCTACTTCAGGTTCCTGGAGAATCCTGAGACTTCAATGTGACTGGAGAATGAATGCCTGATACTGTACTGAAGACCCTGCTCCTATCTTTGATACCCTCTAGTGCTGGGATTAAAGTGTGATGGCTGGTGCTGATATCATCTATGTGTGAGCATTTTCTCTGTAGGACTGCATCAATCTTCTGTAGATCTGGGTGGCCTTTGACTCTCACGATTTCATCTACCTCTTAATCCTGAGTCATGGGATTAAAGGTGTGTAATCAAAATCACCTGACCTCTATACTTTGTGACTCACTTTGCCTTTTAAATCCTCAAGCATGCTGTAATAAATCATAAATAATACATCAACACAGATTTAGGTACTGGGCAAAAGTAGAAAATTTGAACCTTGACATGTATATGCTATTCAGACCTGATGTTCAGTGAGATGCATACACTTCAAAATGCTGCCACTAGAAAAGGAATCATAGCTACCTTCAAAATGTTCATCATTCACTATGAACAGTGGTTTTCATAGTTATAAAAACAAATCTACCAAATTAACGGGACTGGATGAATGACAAACCTGCTTGGAAAACAGCTTCTATGACCACCACCCTGCCCCCACCCCGGGCTTCCTTACATTTCTAGAAAACTAAGAGGATACAATATCCAAGTTCATGCTGTCTGCAACCATCTCATTTAGTGGTGTCATCCTGCCCCATAACACATCTGCTCATACAGTTCTTAAAGGCTGGGACTAAGCGCTACAGAGTGGATGCCAAATTCCCATGTCCACGTGTCCCATTGTAAATGTGGTCTCATGGCATTGTCTAGTCAGAGGAGAATTTGACTGACCTCTCTCAGAGGAGGCTTCCAGGAACAATAGCCATTGAGAGTGGCAGGTTGGCCAACCACAGTTACTGGGAAAATCTGCATCTTCTAGGAGCCACCAGAGCCACTGTAGAGGTTTTAACATAACACACACTCTGAACTGTCTTTTCTACCACCCATATGAGCTCATAAATGTACTAGTTTAAGCATAATTCACAGAAACAGTGGTTCATGCTGTGCCAAAAGTTGTTAATGACAGAAAAATAACCCATAGGAGCTACATGGAAATAACTCCTTCATTGTAGCTCAAGATACATCTCCAGTAGAGAAGTTCCTCTTAGTAAGTCTCCATACATATAGTATAGAAGAAAATCAACCCAGCAAGCACACATACACACACACACACACACACACACACACACACACACACACACGAAATATGAAAAAAAATTGAAGACAGCAGTACTCCTTCAAAGTTCCATTTTTCTTCCCATTACAGACTCAAAACTAAACTCTTAAAAAAAAAACTAAAAATGGAATAAATACACATCTCACATAGCCAGCTCAGAAAATATGCTCGAGAGAGAGAGAAGTATTCAAAAATGAAATATTGCTACCAACATCACCAACATCAAATATTAAGTACGTATAAATCCCACTTGAACAGAAGATGCAAAAAAGTAAGCATAGAGAAGAGTCAACTATAGGTGCAAAACTTCTCTTAAAATATGTTTTAGAGCTGGGTGGTAGTGACTCTTGCCTTTAATCCCAGCACTCAGCAGGCAGATATCTTTGCATATGAAGCCAGCCTGGTCTCCAAAGTGAGTTCCAGGACAGCTAAGACTACATAGAAAAAACCTGTCTTGAGAAAAACAAGACCAAACAAAAACTTGTTCCAGATACTTCAGAATTAATGTTTTGAGAATAGGTATACCATAAATTAATTTGCAAATTTAAGGAAAATTTTTATGGGGCTCCTGACTATGAGAATAGCCCCTGAGTCCTTTGCCTGCTCTTGAAAACACCTGTCTTCCTGTTGGGTTGCCATGTCCAGCATTTATGTGATAGTTTTTGCCTCATCTTATTATATTTTGTCATGCTTCAATTTTATCTCATAGAAGCCTGTTCTTTTCTAATGAGAGACAGAAAGGGAGTAGATCTGGAAAGAAAAACTAACATTCTTTTGAATGTCTGACAGCGATCGATACAATTTAGATGATTTATCCCAGAAAACTGGAGCTTATATGAGGGGCATGGATTTAATAATTTAGAGGTGGGGTGAGTTGAATAAGAATGGCCTCTGTACTGGCTGGTTTGTATGTCAACTAGACAATTGACAGAAGCTGAAGTCATCAAAGAAGAAGGAGCCTCAGTTGAGGAAATGACTCCATGAGATCCAGCTGTAAGTCATTTTCTCAATTAGTAATCCATGAGGGGAAGGTAGGCGGTGCCATCCCTAGGCTGAAAGTCCTGGTTTCTATAAAAAAGCAGGCTTAACAAAACATTGCAAAGCAAGTCAGTAAGCAGAATCCCTCCATGTGAATGTTCTGTTATTAACAGAAAAATATCTGTATCGTGAAACTGAATGCCCTATGGTCTATGCGAACAATGTACTTACGTAAACATTTTGGTGGCTCAGACCACTCTCCATTTCTACACGTTATTTCCTTGTTGCCCTGCAGTCGGTACAAGGACTGGCACTGATATTCAACTGAAGACAAGGGTGCGTATACTGATAAAGGGAAGGAGGTGATGTCTCCATGGTCAATGGGTGGAGGAGGCCCACATTTCCCAGTTGAATCTAAGAGCACAATATTTGATTGTTTGAGAGATCAAATCAAAGTACAGGCTTAAGGGGAAGCAACAAAATTTCAGTGCTAAACAAGTCTTTAGTGATTTCTAGCTACGGAAGTGATTACTTGAAGAAATGTCAATCATATAAACTGAGAGTTACAAGTTCTTCCTTCTCACCAAGAGCAGTTACTGAACTGGAGCAAGCATGTCTGCTATGAAACCTTCCAGTACTAGTAAATGTCTTAAGAGGCTAAGCATACGGAGGCCAGTGCAGACAGGCAGGATTTCTGTTCTCAAGACAGTGGATTATTTATTGCTCTATATATTCTGGATCTTCATCATTATTTTTATAAAAACACGCATTTATAGACAAGTGATTAAAGCTTATAAATTTACAGAAGGCAAAATAGGCTTTATAGATTCCTAATAGGGGTAAAGTGTGTATAGGTATAGTTTTGCTAAGTATAACTGGAGTTCTTGGACATAATATATGTAGTAAACAATATAGGAGGAGTAAAGGCATTGAGAACTCTAGTTGAGAAATTCAGGACTCAACTATCTGAACAACACTTTATGCCGTTTGTTTCTCTTTTGGACAGCATATTGTCCTGGTGAGGCCACGGGAAAAGACAAATCAAATACTCATGCAATGTTCTGTTGAGTAAGATTTCAACAGGAGCATTATGAAACTGAACTCCAATGATATTTAGATGAAAAATAAAATGTTCAACATCCAAAGGCAGGCAGTGTTTTATCATGAAGGAAAATGAGAAAAGTTGGGCATAAGGTATGAGTGTGCATATCTATTAACTGAGTAAACTCAAACAGGACCAGCCCCATGAAGTCCATACAGATACCATGTATTAAAACTGCTTAAAGAAAACATCTGGGGAAAATCAGAGAGATCACCACCAGCCCCACTGGATTAAGATCCAAAGGAAGTAACTTTCCATCTCCCAAGTTGTTCTTTCCTAAGGAAAGACTGAAGGGGTATGGGTGTAATCAGAAGAGAAGGTGGGGAGGAGAAAAAGGTCTGTTTTCAATATAAAGGAAGAAAACCTTTTTTCAACAATACTAAAGTTATAACAAAATGATGATCAAATGAAATATCCTAACTGAGTCCTGGAAATGAGATATGCAGAACTTTTGTTGAAAGGTGATTCTTTCATTCTGTATTTTCAAATTTTTATAGTCTACAGCAATAGTTTCCATACTGTGTTTTCAAAGAATCCCTTAAGGAAATTATAAATTACTCAAGGTCTCACATCTTGGTGTGTTTCTATGTACGATCCCTGGGATAAACTACTCAATGTTAATTTACGTTTATAAACCCTGGTCCAAAGATACTGATGATGCTGGCCATGGAACCGTACTCTGAAGACAATCACTCTATTGGCTTAGAAACTGGATTTTTAATTCCACGCTTTTATTTTAAAGATAAATCAACTTCATCTTGCTTTTTAAAAGCTAACCTTTGTCCCCTGAATGTGGGTATCAGTTAGAAGGCCTTGGCAGTCTAAGGGGACCTCTGACAGTGGAACCAGGATATATCCCTGGTGCACTAAAGGACTTTGGAAATGCATTCCCCATGGAGGGATACTCCCTTAACCTGGAGACCCGAGGGAGGGCCTAGACCCTACTCCAAATGACTTGACAGATTTTGATGATCCCTCCTGGAAGTCCTTACCCTCCCTGTGGAGTGGGTGGGGAATAGTATGTGTGTGGGGTTGGGGGGGCATGGGATGAAGGGAAGGAGAGGGAACTGGGATCGATATTTAAAGTAAGAAAAAAAAATGTATATATATAACCTTTGTCCACATCTACATTTTGGTAGACATAAAAGTATAATACATACGTGTTAAAAATGCATCAAGCTACCTTTGCATACCAGCTCTCCAATCCACGTGCGATTGACACACGTCACAATGTTGGACCCATTCATTTGATAAGAAGGTGCACATTTGAATGTCACTTGTTCACCTGACCTATATGAAGCTTTCTTCTCTTCTGTGAGTATGGCATTTTCAAACCTGGGTAAACTGTCACAATCAGTTCCTGAAAGAAAAAGAGTATGCAACATATGAAGGAAGAGTAAGGCAGTACTTCTTTTGTGCTAAATTTCAGGAACAAGCAAACCATTGAAGGGAGAGCACATAATCAGTCATACGGTCTGTTAAAAGCTTTTTCAAATATGTGCTTAGTTGGACTAGAGTTTGACAAAATAAAGTCTCTTTCCTTAAGTGTATTTTCGCTACTTTAAAATCACATTGCATTCTGGTAGAAGCCGTGGAAACCTGAGTTGGAAATGGAGAAGTTACAAGTTGAGTATTAAAATATTTTGAAAAGCAAGAATGAAAGTAAAAGTATACTTATGCAAGCTGGTGGCTGGGACCAAGTTCCTCCTACACATTTCATAAATGCATGTCCAGAAATTCCAAAACCTTCAGAACAGCTGTATGTCACCTCTTCACCATATTGGTAACTATCTAGCTCATGAGACACAATCCCATGATGGATTGAAGGTGGAGGCCCACAGGGAAGTCCTGAAAATAACACAGTGAAGGAAGAGATCAAAAATGATTCCACATTGTGCTAATTCAGAAACTCACACACAAGTGTGAGTTTGTTAACAAGCAAAATGTGCCATCACAGAGGAGATGGACAGTGTTTCCTGAGAGCACCTTCTGTTTCTCTGCTCCTGTTAAACTGCCTCAACACTGAGCAAGACCTTGGTGTCAAAATGCCTGACAAATTATGAGTGACGAAAAGAATAAAAACACAGAGAAAAAATAATTTCAGAAACATGCCTTATATTGCAGGTGTAGTACTTTGTGGGAAAAGGACACTGATGAGTTAAAAAAAAAAAAAAAAACCCTGGTAGCTAATCAAAGGCAAATCAAAAACTACAACTCAAATAAGCAGGTAGATAAGCAGTAGACCATCCAGAAACACCAGAGTTAAACATTTAAAGATGAACAATACAATTAATAAGAGCAGTAAATACTAGACTATGCAAATAGTAATTTATTGATAAGAAATACAAACAATCATGTGTGGTAATCTAAATGATGCTTCCTCCTCGTTTTGATGAGAGTATATCTTTGATAAAGACTTGTTCTAGAACCAGAATTGTATTTGCATGCTGCTCTCACCGACGCAATGAGGTGGAGAACTCCACTTTCCCATGTGGCAGGTTACCCCATGATCCTCAGCCATCCTAAAGCCATCATCACAACCATAGCTGAGTATAGTGCCGTGTTCATAACTTCGGGGCTCAAGTGGGTATCTCGTTCCTTCTGATGATCTTGGTAATATAACAGATCCGTGGTCTATTTCAGGAGGCTCAGAACATGGGATTTTTGCTATATGAAGGTCAGAAATGAAACAATGATGCATAAATAAAACGTTTCTACTGGATAATAGAAACAAATGGAGTTGTGTCTCCTCTGCTTTTATGTTAAGCCCTAATTTGTAAATACCCTCCCCCCATCATTTGAGTTTTCTTCAGTATTTAAAGAAAGAATGTTGTAAAATAAGTCTTGACTACTGACCAACGCAGCGTGGCAATGACTGCCACCTTCCATCTCTGCACACCATTTCTTCTGTGTCCTGTATTAGGTAATTGTCCTGACAAAGAACAGACACTTTTTCTCCATTCCCATATTTCACTGTGGTTTCCATCACTTGGGCATTTGGAATTTGCGGAGGAGGAGGGCAGGATCCTTTCTGTGATCCTAAAAATTATTTGAAATCAGAGTTCTTGGCTAAAGGTGGTATCTTCAATTATTGAAGCAATACATTTATTTAAATATTAAATTAATTATACCAATGTGACATTCGTATATTTTATACTTTTGAAAAGTTCTGTCTAAGTCACTAAAAAATCAAGATACCTAGCATTCCTCTTTCAGATTCATAACTTGAAAGTGTACTTTACTAGTAGTTATTAATAATAATTTTTCTTCTGTTTCTGCTTAAGTAGAGTAGAATGTCTGGAAAGGTATTAACACTTATGTAGTGAATACATATTTTTTTTAACAATTAGCTAGGCATACAGGAAAGAAAAAGAATTACCACTTCACCCTATTAACAAGACAGTATTAGAAATAATAAAACGAGAGGCAACTGCAAGACAACATGCCTACTTCATGAAAATGTGTTCCATTAGTTGAATTTGTAATTGTTTGGGAATGCTTTCTGTGAGTTTTAGTCTTTAAGATAAAGTTTAAAATATCAAACTGAGGCATGGCATTCAAAATGGCAATGACAAATACTTATAGAGAAGTAAAAAATAGTGGAGATGCCACATGGTCAGTTTTGTAGATAAACAGGTCAACTATTACAATAATGAATAAATTATTTGATTGATAATGTATTCATACAGACATGCATGATGGTTAAGGATGTGTAGAGGAATGGCACCACACATTTGTTGTAAGAAAAGAATTTGCAATGATGGGATTCTAGGAGCAAGGGCATTAGAACAAAGAGATGAATTCATGTTGAACAAGTTTGCTTGAGTATTTTATATTACAGTTCACTAACAGATGTAACAGCTATCAATTTATAAATCATCTACTCTATTAAAACCTGTGGGTTTTTTTCCACTAGTCTGTTATGAGACAGTGTCTTCTTATATGATAGGGTATTTGAACCCATGAAATCTCAGAAGCATGGTCACCTAAACAAGGCCTGCTTGATGAAAATACCAGTTCACAAGTTGACATGGATGGAGAAAATCAGAAAGGGTCTTCCCTAACTGCTATCTAGAGAGGTAGAATTAGTCTTCACATAGGATCAGAGAGAGCTAACCAATAGGTTATCCAATACCAAACATTTCTTCCTAATCAATCAAAAACACACAGAAGACACACTAAGTAGTTTCATCAGGCTCAGTTTATAGAAACAAGTTGGAGTAGAAAGAGGGGTAGGTAGAAATAGTGTAAATACAGACTTCCCATATGAAATCCTCAAAAACTTACAATGTTTAAGGAACTACTAAAATTACAGGTTGTAAAAGACTACAAAGAGCTTACTTGTACAAGTTGGCTCAGGCTCCCATCTTCCATTAATGCAGACTGAGTGTTCATACTCCCGCTTCCCTCTACATTTGTAACTCATTCTAAAGTTATGATTAAATTCACTCTTTTTGGGGAGTATCACCTCCATTGCAGTTAATCTTGACATTTTGCACTTCTCCACTTGATCTGTTACTGTATGAAAACAGTTCCATGATAAATAAATTATAAGAAGTGAGCTAGCTACTACGTAAAAAAGAAAAGCAAAAAAAAAAAAAAGCTATGAAATTTATATCTATAAATTCTGCCAATGCTAAGGGTCACCATGCAAAAGTGGTTTATGAGACCAGAACCGGATCTCATGTCCAGTCTTGTATATCTCAAAGAATCTGTGTTGCTAAGTGACTTGGGTATTTGGCAATGGCAAGTATGTAGGAAATCAGTATCTCAGATGTTCTACCGATTGTACTGTAAGGTTCACATTGTAGCACAGATTGTGATAACTAGAGAGGATCATTTGACGATCACTACGGGCAAATCAGCCATCACAACAAAATCTGTGAAGTCTGGACAGATGATAAGGCAGGTCTTTGACACTAATAATGCAGAATGGAGTTTTCATGTCTCACATTATATCTGATTTTTCTACCGTATGATACATTTTTAAAAACAGTAATGAGCATAGGTATTAAGGATTGAAGGCAGTGTTGTTTTTTTACAAAATGTGCTTGTTTAGCAAAAAAAAAAAAAAAAAAAAAAAGAGTGAGGACTAATAAGCAGTAGAGGTATTGCTTTACATGAAAAACTGTTATGGAGTTCGTAGGGCTTCTGTGTATGGAGAACATTTCACTAAGCAACACAAATATGCATGCCCTTTCTAAGGGAGATTCACATTTCCCTGGCATGATGGAACACCTATTACTCTGATGGATACCCATGAACATTTTAGAGCAACAATACAGGAATACTCTAAGAAACACCCCAGTTTCAAGGAAAAGTAAATGTAGGCACCAAAATGCTTTCAGCTATTCATTACATATTCAATATCCAAAAGAACGGGGGAGTTATTGCAGACCCAAGTGTAGATGGAAGTTTCTGTCCCACCTGATCCGGCAACTGCTCAGTCCCAAATAAATGCACAGAGGCTCATATTAATAAACCTTTTGACCTATTGCTCAGGCTTATTACTAACAAACTCTTACAACTTAAATTAACTCGTAGTTCTTGTCGACATTTAGCCATGTGGCTTGATACCTTTTTCCAGCAGTAAGGCATTCTCATATTGTTTCCTCTGGTAACTGCATCTCTGCCTTTCCTCTTCCCAGAATTCTGCACGTCTGGTTGCCCCACTTACACTTCCTTCCTGGCTACCGACAATCAGTGTTTTATTAAACCAATATGAGTGACAAATCTTTACAGTGTACAAGAAGAGTATCCCAAAGCACCCAAGTCACCCACGTTTTCCATCCAATCCCAAACATTTTGGGTTAGCTGACTTCTACAGACAACGAGAGGAGCTAGGACCATACCCACGTCATAATGATTTCAGGTCCAAGCATGCAGAATAGAAAGAAGCATCATAGGAGTTCTGAGAGAGAGAAAATTGTTGTGGGAGAATAGGAATAGGTAATTAGCATGCGTTATTTCTTAGCTTTTCATGATACATAAGGAGAGTGTTTCTGTAACGTTGTCATATCTTCCTGGGTATTTGACTGAAGATAAACAACAAATATTTATTGATTATATTATCAATTTACATCCATCTGTAGACATGCATTGTAAAAATAAATGTTTGGATTCATATTATTTAAGACTAGGTAAGTTCTAAGATTAAAACTACAAAAATATATATTAGGAAATATTACTGCAATAAAAATATTACACTTCATGAAGTATCAATTTGAGGCACATAATGATCTTACCAACACACTGAGGAAGCTGGGTCCACTTTCCACCAATGCATGACACTGACCCATGTCCAATCATTGTGAAGTTTTCCATGCAGGTGAACTCCACAGAATCCCCATGGTCATAGGGAGGGAAAGAATACTGGCCATATCCATGCTCAAGTTCAGGAATATCTCCACATGTTCTTTTCTCCTCTGTAGATAGACATTTCATAAAAGTGTGTTTATGGTTAAGGCATCACATGATACAAAACAGTGTTTAAGTACTGATGCTTTAATTACCAACACATATTGGCAAGGTTGTCCACTTTCCATCAACACACTGGACTCTATTGGGTCCCTTCAGTAGAAATCTAGGCTTGCAATCATACTCCACCATGTCACCATGGCCGTATTCTTCTTTCTTTGTCCCCTTAACTTCCCCATTGAGGAGTTCAGGAGGCTGATCACATGATCTCACTTGACCTATTGTGGAAACACTGTGTAAGAATGAATGTAAACGTCCAACTTACAGTCTAAAATGATAGTGTATGGAGAAATTTTAAAAATTGTCTTTCCCATATAACCTTTCATAAGACTTTTCTAAATAAATAGTATTTACACTAGGCTCAGTTTTCTCAATAGTAATGTGCCTGTTAAAATAGCATTGAAAGCTGAAACAATGTTTGATAAGCATGCCTTGAAGATGAATACAAACCAGTCAGCAATAGTAGTTGTGTGAATTTAGTAATTTTCATATTTTCTGGCAATGTTTCCTCATATAGTTAGCACTTTGCAGAAAAATGTCATCACTATACCAAGTATCTAATCAATGTTTCAATTTTTTAAATACATGGTATTGAATTACTAAGAATCTGCTTTCACACTGTTAGGAAAGACTCTATGCAATGGGATGGAATGCTTATCCTATAAAATTGCCAGCATTAATGGTAATTTAGATAAGATGAAATAAATCTTGTAGTTACTGCTGTACATGTAAACACATTAATAAACAATTTAGGAAACAAGTTAGCCTGGGGTTAACCTTGTAAATAAGTGAGTGTGTGTTAGCCACACATTACACAGCTTGATCATGGCTATCCATGTATATGCTTAAGATCTTAGAGATATTGGAAGGCTGGGGGATATTAGGAGAAGGATAATAAACTTCTGATCCTCATTCATCAAATGTAGAGCAGATACTGACCTTTACATGTTGGGAAACGTGGGGACCATCCAAAGTCGTAGCATTGAGCTGAATCTGGTCCAACTCTGTGTCCTGGTCGGCAAGAAAATCTCAAAAAATCTCCAACTTTATATTTTTCTTTCTTGGGATTGACAATTAAGTTCTCTCCTAGTAATGGAATGCTGCATTCTCTTTCTTTTAAAGTAAGAAAATCATAATACACAATTAACTATTGTTAAGTAGGCTGTATATATCTCATGTATACTCACAGGGAAGCATCAGTAAACCTCTTCCTTACAAAAAATGCTGCATATCAGTTTTGATATGGCACTCAAATATACATGGATTCTCTGAGAAATGCAGGATGGTGCAATATATTAGTTATACAATATATTTTTCATTTTAATAATTTAAGAAAGTATATCACATAAAAGCAGTTCTAATGTAAATGAACTTAGGAAAATGTACTTTACATATTTTAAATTAATGAAAGTAAGAAACGTGTAAGACACATTACTCTAAACTATTAAAATTAGGGATGAGGGATATTCGCCATTAAAACTAAAACTTTCTTCACTATTTAGTGTTGTTGTTACAAAAAACAACTAAACAAATATTTTTCCTCCTTGATATTTTCCTTTTTGCTAGTTTATAAATCTTAAAAAATAATCACAATTTTAAAATCAGAGTGATACATAAAAGATAATTTATACTTTCAAAAGTCAATTGTTAGTACATAATCAGCAACAGATTTAAGGAAGTGCTTATAATCAGAGAGAAATTAATGATCACCGTTTTTTATTTTTATTTTTTTTAAATTGGGGGACACTGTTTCTCTTTGTTTATGATAGGTCTTCCTATGTAACCCAGCGCAGGGAACCTTGAAGTCGATTCAAGACACCCCAAAACCAAGTTCTCAGCACAAATATTTGTTTGCCCCAGAGGGGAAAATGTCAGAGAATAAAGAGACAAAGACAACAGGTAGAAGGCATAGGACAAGGGATAAAGGAGGGGGAACAAGGGAAAATAAGAAGGGGTATTTGCCCCAGAGAAAAGACAGACGTGGAACCTAGGAATATGGTGGTTTATACAGGTAAACTCCTTGTTAGGATAAGGTGTTTAATTTTAATTGGGTCTATTAAAGAGAACTTTCTATGGCTGGGCTTCAATATTTGAGAGCTGGACCTGGGTAGTCAAACCTCAGGAGGAGGAAGCGGCCAAATTAAGAACTTGATCTTGGAGGTTGGCTTTACGAATATAATCTAATGGTTTTTAGGCAGGCAATGGCTACTGGAGAGAAGGCCAAGGCCTGGCAGAATCATGTTTGCCATGCTCAGGCTGACTAGAGTCCCTTCACCAAGACTGGGGTGGAACTCAAGACCCTCATTCTTCTACGTCCCAAGTACTAAAATTAGAGGTGTGTACCATACTTCCAGGCATAGACATCTGTAATGAATTCTGTTTGAGATCCTTGACTGAGACAGTTTAAATTATGAATACCTTGCATTTATGATAATAAGACATTAATCAGAGATGTGATATACACAGGCCATATGAAGAATCCACGAATTTAAGATACATTAATTGATTATTTTGAAACAGGGACTTGTGTATCCCAACATTTCCTCAAATATAATCTGTCCTGTGCCTGCTCCTAAATGCTGGAATCACAAGCTTGTGCCGTCTACACTTGTTGAATATATTATTTACAAATAGAATATCAGGGCAGTGAGATGGATCAGTCTGGTGGCCTCCAAAGTCTGGTGACCAAGGTTTAATCCCTGGGATGGAAAGAGGGAGCTGCCTACCACAGACTTTCTGATATCTACATATGCAATATGATCTGTGTTAGTTCTCAAACTCAGGGTGAATGGCTGAGGTGCCTATTTAACACATCAAAGCAGACACTGACCAGTCCCCCTCTGCATCACCAAAGCTTGTTACAGAGGCCTGTGATGGGAGACATCAGTCTGTAAATACGCTTCTCACACTGGTTAATGAACTAAGCACTGTTGGCCAATAGGAAAGAAAGATAGGCGGGACTAGGAGACGAGGTTTCCGGGACAGGTATGAGGAGATTCAACTTGTAGGACCAAGAAAACAGAGGTTCCGATGATCCTCTCTGGTAAGATAAGACCACATAGAAACACTAGGATTAATAAATGGGTTAATATTTAAGACAGAGCTAGCAAATAAGAAGCACTAGTAACAGACCAATAGCTTTATAACCACTATAATGTCTCTGTGTTATTTGGGGCTGACGCGGCTCTCGGACCAGGCCGGCGGGAAAACCGTACTTCTAACAAAACGGTACTGCAACCTGGACCTGAGAACTTTGGCTTAAAACTTGACAAAAGCTTAAAAAAAGGGTTTTAGAAACAAAAGAACAGAGACAAGCAAAGCTTCTTGGTAGCAGCATTTTTCTCGGTTGGGCTCTGTTTTGCTAGAGACAAGCAGAGACTTGGCGCGGCTCCTTTAAGGGAGATTCCCTGACTCAGCATAAGCGGCAAAAAACCACTGGGCTTTTAAGACGGGCTGCTAACAATTCAATGGTGTGTATGAGGAGATGGAGAGAGTAGTTGGGTGTGGTGTCACAGGCCTTTGATTTCAGCACTCTGGAGACAGAGGCAAACATATCTCTGTGATTCCAAAGTAAACCTGATATACAGAGTAAATTCCAGAGCATGCAAAAGTTACCGAGAAACCCTGTCTCAATAAATAAAAAATGAAAATAAAACAAATAGAGTAATTAAAAAGCCACGTAAAGATGGAAAACACGAAAAGAGTCTGGATACTATATGCCGTCATGTTGCCTTTGTGTTGTTTGACTGCTGATAAAATAACAACTGTTAAAAAGAAATACTGCTGTATTAATCCAGTTTATGTATTTTAACAAGGCCTTGACTCCAAAATTTAAGTCTAAGGACAGGTTAGTGGGTTAAAGGATTTCTATTTTTGTTTCCACAAATGGAAAGCTGTGGATTCCTTCCAGACTAACATGGTTTGACCAAGCCAGACCCCCTAAAGCTCCTCTCAGCATACTCCCTACCCCCAGCCTCTCCAGACCCCGAGTTTCACTGTCTTCTCCCAGCTGCTCTTCCCTATACCACATTTAAATATGTGGTTCTGGGTTCCCAGGTACTCTCTCTGCCCAGTCTCTCTTCTGTTGCTGTTTTGCTTTCTCTACCTCTCTTGCCTGGCTCAGTCTGGATCCTTTCAGATACCTCTGGCTGTTTGCCCCCTCCACAATTATCTACCATAAACATTCTCCTCCACCCATATCTAGTCCTCAGTGCGTTTATCGGTCATTCAGTGTGCACACCTTCAAAGACGTGCACACACAGGATGAATCAACGAACAAATGTGAGGAAATAATAAAACAAACACGATCATTTTTGGGCTTTCTTCCTTCCTTTCTCCCAGATTACATTAAATACGAAGGAAAACTCTCTGCAAATTTATGGTTTTTTTTTTTAAAGTAACATAAAAATATTTAATTTTGTTTTTGTAAAGTTCAGTAGAAAATAGTACTCACCATAACATGTGGGTTTATCAGACCATCCATCATAATTACATGTTATGGAGCCCTTGGTATCTTTATGTATGTTTTCGTATCCAACGTGGCATTCATAGTCTAATTTGTCGTTGAGCTTAAACCATGTGCTGTTATTTTCAGTTCCAGCATTATCAAGCACAGGCCTGTCACAAGACTCTAATACAAGATAAAATGAAAGACTTTGTTTCTAATGAGTCAGTGGACAATCTTAATGATTTACATGAGAACAAAGTATGCATAGGCTAATATATGTTAACAAATAAATTAAATACTTTATAGAAACATCCTTAGAAGACCAACAGTAAATCATTTCTCTGAAATAGTCATTACAATGAAAAATACACTATTATATTGTATTTATAACCTCACTTAAGCTTTTGTAAAATATTATTTTAAAAACAATTTCTCAGCTCAAATTCTCTAATATTGATCACATACCACAAGTAAATAAACACATGCATATGTATTTTTTTTAGCACAGTAAAATAGCATTTTGTGAATTCAGGTCACATATTTAGTAGTTGCAATGGTTCGTAAAATATAGGAAATTTGATTAGCTGAATTAGTACAGGTGCATTTGTTGTATAATTGCAAGGGTTTTCTTTTTCACAATAAGAAAATCCAATAAAGGCTTCTTAATTATAACTTAATATGAATGAATATTACATGAGAATAATCTTAATTGCTTTTCCTTTAACTAGCACAATAGATTTCTAAAAAGAAAAATTAAGAAATTAGTGACTATCTTCAATTTCCTTTTCACTTAAGATATATTGAATAGTTATTTTAAAAAATACAACTGGCTAGCTTTCTCATAAACAAGATAAGCTGAACTAATTATTATTCTTAGAAAAATCTCATAAAATCTAAAACAAGGAAAACTTTCAAAACGGCAAAATTTGCTGCTACCTTGATATGTTTCTTTTCAATATGAAAATATTTAGGGAAATTTTCTAAGAGGGAAGTATTCTGAGATGGATCTTAACTGATAGTGTTGAATACATGAATACATATTCTTGGGTTTAGAACAAAGAGATACATATTTACTAGAAACTTCATCTTACATCTAGGAGCAAAGGTTTGATATCCAGGCAGACCTTTTAAAAAGGAAGGAGGTCAAAGAATCCTTCACTAGATTTAGAATTATACATTCTTGCTTTGGAAAGGGAAATGAACTGATGTTCTACAACAGAAACATTGAGTCCAAATGAAAAACAATTGCTGGTGTATTTTTTCCTTGAAGTTTAAAAGTCATCTTGCAAATGAAAAGACATCAGACAGCTCAAAGGAGAATAAAGCCAAACCCTTATACAGCACCAGTATAATGGCAGCAATATAATGAAGTACTCACTGATGCACGAGGGTTGAGATGACCATCCGCTTTGGAGGCAGGTAATTGTTCCTGATGTTTCTCCATTCGGTGTTACATATCCCTCTTTGCACCTATACAGTGTTGTTTTATTTAGAGCATATGTAAGATCAGATTCAGAAAGAAACCCGTTCTCAATTTCTATATCTGATTTTGAACATGTCTCTAAAAGGGAAAAAAAAGTAAGAAAAAAAAAATGAGTGTATACACCCCCAGTCTGATATCTGGGAAACGAGCATAGGACTGACCCAGACCCCCTGAAAGTGGGTGTCAGTTAGGAGTACTGAACAATCTATGGGGCCTCTGGTAGTGGATCAGTATTTATCCCTAGTGTATAAATGGACTTTGGGAGCCCATTCCAAATAGATGGATACTTTCTCAGTCTAGACACATGGGAGAGGGCCTAGGCCCTGCTCCAAAGGATGTGACAGACTTTGAAGATCCCTCATGGAAGGCCTCACCCTCCCTGGGGAACAGAAAGGGGGTGGGATGGATGTATACTCAGTAGTAAAAAATATTGAAAATAGCCATTAGTCATTTACACATGAAGTCTCGGTTAATAAAAGTCATTCACATTACTGACCTGAGGAAAACAATTGTAGTTTTAAAGATACACCATAATCCTTTGTGAATATTTTTCCAAGAAAGCAAGATTTAGATTAATCATAAAATATTATTTTTATCCAAGTGAATCCATATCCTTCAGAATGTCAGCGCTCTTAAAGTATGTTTTTCTTTTCTTGTATTTTCTTTAAACCTCAGAGAAAATTGGCTACCTTAGATGTATAGAACTACTTTAACCAATTAGAGTTCCTGTGTTTAGGTGATTATCTTAGGAAATACTGGTGTTACATACTTCCAGTAGCAAGAATTTTAAATGTCCTTATAACTGTGTGCTTAAAAACACAATGGATGTTCAAAGTTTACAGAAGTTCAGAACAAATAATAGGTTTATTCCACATTCTCATTCGAAGAAGGCCTTCCAAAATCTTGTGCAACTGAACATGAAAGCATAAGAGAAAATTTATTAATTTTATTTTTATAAGCTAAAGAACATTTCATTGTGAAATGTACCAGATAAAGACATATTATTACACGTGGACATTTAAGCTGCACTAAAAGGACTCAGCAGACTGTGCAGATGTGTGTGTGTGTGTAACAATTGTACTTAAAGAAGGGGTCAAGAGATTGAGAAGGGAGGATAGAAGAGGGGTAGGTGGGAAGAGAGAGATGATAAAATGATGCGCTCATGGGTGACAGACACATCTTCAAAGATGTCTACAAGTGATCAATATGCAGAGAATAGGAGACTGGAATGTTCAGTGCTGTATGGATATTTTACCACATCATCTCCCGCCAAGGCTCAAGGAGCACTGAAGATGAGGTAGAAGCAACGTAAGAGCAAAGAGAAAAGTAGGTGAACATGAGGAATCAGTATTTTCCAGACACAGCAAAGAAGATGCACGTGTGGATTAAGAATGGGTCCATACACAGCAAAGAAGATGCACATATTATTAAGAATGGGAGTGAGGCCATGTGAAAGACCTACAAGTTCAAGAAAGACCAATTGCCGCACAGGGAGAAAGATAGGCCACAGGCCTGGACCCTAGCTAAAGAGCCATTGGCTATAGACGACTATTGGTAAATGGAGAGTCTTATTTCTTTAAGAATGTACCACGGTAGATCAGCCACTATTCTCCATTGTGATAACCATGCATCCAAAAACATAAGCTCATTATAAATTTGACTGTATTGGTTTATTGAAGAAGGAAGAAATAGAAAATAGAAAGGACACAAGGTTGGGTGGGTAGTAGAAGCGGCATATACCTGAGAGGACTTAGGGATGGGAAAATATGATTAAAACACATTGTATAAAATTTTCAAATAAGGGCAACAAGGATAATCTCAAAATACTAAAATTATCTTAAGTGTCAAATATCAGCAAAAATAAATCATGAATAATAGTTACTTGGACCTCATTATACATTAAAATATACTTAGTGGAAATAATTATTAGAAAGTCATGATAAGCTAGGTTATGCAAGACATTCATAAATTTGTTTTAAAAATTATATCATAGGTAAGTAAATGATTATAAAATAAAATACACAATTAAATGTGTAATTCAAAGGGGCTTTTTTGATGATTGCTATTATTAGTATATATTAGTGTATATATATATATGTGTGTGTGTGTGTGTGTGTGTATGATAATACACTCCTCTGCTGATCTGTTTAGAATCTAAAATTTGACTCTCCTGCTTTATAGAGGGAAACATGTCAACTAGTGGCCTTTCCCCTTGCTCTTATGGATAGAAAATATTCCAAATATCCTGAAAATCCACATGCCAGATTCCCATAGCCATGAACACACCACAGTTCTCACTGATTTCAGTTTTAGGTATTTATCTAAGAAATATTTTATAAGTTTAAATACAATGACAAGTTCACTTTTCATAAGTAGCTCAAAAATTGTCAGGATTTAAAACATCCAAAATGTTAATTAAAATGGTGAAATAGCTTAATTATTATATATCAATGAAAGTATATATCTTTATAAAGACTAGTTCCTATCCAACTCATTACATGGGAAAGTGTCACAAATATTCTACTGAGAAATAATGGAATTGTTAGAAAAAATTGATGCAGAAATCTATTGATATCATGTAGTAGAAACACAACACTGCAGTAACAAAAGAAAAGATTTACATAGAGTGATGGAGATGATCATAGACTGAAGAGGAAGGGAAGAAGAGAAATCCTAGAGGTTTTAAACTTGTTCTAACTTAGTGGGATTAGTCATATAAGCACACTCATTTGTCAACGCCAGTGACCCAAACACTAAATATGCATGGACTGAACTGATTCCTGTTTCTCAAAGATGAGTTCTTAGAAAGTGACAATAAAGATGCCAGTTGCTTTAAGATCTTGTTGGGTTACTTGAAATGAAAAAGCCAAAGCAATCTACCTAGATGGAACATAAAAAAATGTAAATCCACAGGAACAACAAAAGAGAGTATGTTCAATATAAATCACCCAATTAACAAAGACCCTAGAAAGAATATGCACACGCAGTAATAAGAGCAAAACTAGCTTAAAGGAAAGGCTATCACGTACAAATTTCAAACCTGTCACTAATATAATCAGATAGGATCACTGAAGATAAACATTCTCAGAGATAAATATAGAACAACTGTGGCTCCCAAAGGGAGTGGCACTCTTAGGAGGTGTGGCCTTGTTGAAGTACATGTGACCTTGTTGGAGGAAGTGTGTCACTGTAGAGGTGGGTCTTGAGGTCTTTTCTTTTGCTGAAATTTTCCTCAGTGTGATACTGGTGTTACCTGCAACGTGAGAACTGCCAGCTACTTTTCCAGAACCATGTCTGCCTGTATGCTGCTGTGTCCCACCACGAGCTTCTGAAACTGTAAGTGAGTCACCTCAATTAAATGCTATCCTTTATAAGAGTTACTATGGTCACTGTGTCGCTTTATAGCAGTAGAAGCCCTAAGACAGATGTTAGAACCAGAGACAGGGGTATTGCTGTGACAAGCCTAACCATGTTTTGGTTTTTGACAAATTTTGACTTTGGTCCTTTGGGTTAGGAAATCAGTGGGATGCTTTAAGCACTGCTTAAAGGGTCATACATAGTAGTAGGAGCATGGAAGACAGCGATGTTAAGAGTAATTTGAACTGTGGAGGGCTGGTTTTCTTTCCTATGTTTTGGAACAGTGATGTATTTATATCCTGTGCCTTTATATATTGAATGTAAGTGATCTGATTTTTTTTTTTTATTTTATAGAGGATTACAGCTAAGAGTTCTCATTAATCTCGGAAAAGATTTGAACTTTAGATTTTTAAATGTGTTTGAAACTGGTATGGACTATGGGTACATTTGAAGTTGGACTGGGTACATTTTTGCATTACGATATGGCCACGAGCCTTTGGGGGCCAGGGAATAGAATATGGTGGTTTGAAAGAAAATGATCCCAAAAGGGATGGCACTGTTAGAAGGTGTGGCCACGGGCTTTTGATGTCTGTTTTGCTCAAGTTTCTCTCAGTGTGATACTCAGAACATTTCCTGTTGTCTGCAACATGTAGGACTATCAACTACTTTTCCAGCACCATGTCTGTCTGCATGCTGCTGCCATGTCCCACAATGATGATAATGGGCTAAACTTCTTAAATTATAAGCTATCCACCTGAATTTAAAAGAATTTTCCTGTATAAGAATTGCCATAGTGTTCCTTCAGAACAAAAGAAACCCTAAGTTAAGACATTGTTTTCAGATAGTGGCCACACTCTCTGGAAAAGAATAAAGCTAAGTTTCTTATCCGCAGGAAAAACACCGTAGAACACTTCTTTTCTATATTATAAACATGCATTACTTTCATTGGTTAGCAAAGAGCTGACAGGCTGGAAGTTGGGTAGGAAAATACCTGCAAAAGCCAAACTGAGAAAGATAGGAAAAAAGGGTGTTGTCAGGAATCACCAGACAGATGCAGAGGAAGCAAGATGAATGCAGTACTGAGAAAAGGTATCAGGCCACATGGATAAACACAGATAAGAATTATGGGCTGATATAAGTGTAAGAGCTATTTAGTAGTAAGCCTGCGCTATTGACCGAGCGTTTATAATTAATTTAAGCCCCTCTGTGGTAATTTGGGAAGCAGCTGTTGAATATTTGAGAGTTGCTGTCAGGACAGAAACCTCCACTTATACAAAATGGTATAAGAGAAGGCATTTGACAATAATTCAAAAAATGTTTAAAGATATTATCGCATACATATGGAGGAAGACTCAGTTTTACTATGTGATTAAATATTTCAAAATTGTTTTGAAAATTCAAGATAATGTCAATCAAATTTAAACAAGGTTATTTAAAGGAAGTTGGCAGTCTGGAGTAGACAAAATACACACTTGTGATATGTATAACTCAAGTAGATTGACTTTTAAAATTCTTAGATTTCTAGAAAAATAATTATAAATGTATGAATTAGAAAAAATTGCATTAGAAAAAGACAGACCTGGGACTGTCTTTTGGAAAGACAAAGCATAATAAAATAAAAGGACGTCTACAGTATTATGCTGTACTATTTATTAACATTTATTTGTGAAAATAAAGTATGACATCATTTGCAAGGATACGGACAAGAAAAAAGAATCGATACAAACACATATTAGTACAGATTTTTAGAAAAAAAACCCCATGAAAACAAGATAATGCAAAGTATCTCAGAATTCTTTTCCCAATTACATATCACAGAGAATTCAGATACAACTATGAGTACTTTAAAAAGGCATGCTACTACTTGAATATATGAATGATGTGTTTAGGTATTATCGTATTAGTTTGATTTTAAACTATTGTATAATTGTTCTGAGTCAAATACCCAAGCGGTTTCAAAGTTTATTGTGGTGTGAATTAAATGAAAGTTTACAAAATATATTTGTTGTATTATATCCAAATGTCAACTTACTAAGTGTGTTTACTTTGCTATACACCAGTATTCATATATACACACTTGAAAAGAAGTGTTGTGTCACAGTTAATATTAGATGGAATGGGAAGTCAAGAGCATCTTGTGATCTCAGAGCCGTTTACTTACTGGCACGGATGCATTCGGGTTGAGGAGACCAGCCATTCTCTGTACATGTAACTGTATCCTGACCATTTGGAAGACCGTAGCCAGGGTAACACTGGATTCTTACAGACTGGTCTTGTATATAGTTTTCTCTCTGTTGTAAAAATTCTCCATTCTTTACATGGAAATCGCATTGCCCTAAGGGCCATAAGATGATAAATTAAAAATATACCAACATTCCTTCATTCAAAAAAAACAAACTATAACTTACCTATACAATAGGCAATTCCATGTGTGACATTCAAAGTAAAAGCAATAATAATTGTTTAAAAAGTACCATTTTTTTGTAATTTTATAGATAAAATATACATGAAACAGTTTTGATGTGTGTTTCATGAAGAACTTCTCACGAAGGACAGAAACTAGTCTTTCTGCTCATAAACACTTCCGTTGGTCTTATGTTTGTCGTGAGAAACTTATGTGATCTTCTCTTTCCACTCTTCGATAGGATTAAACACATTTAATATAGATGTTGACTTACTGAGGCACGGGACTGCAGGCTCCCACCCGTGTGCGGTGCAGCGAATGTAGTCCCAGTCTTTCTCCGTAGGAGTCAAAAATCCTACATTGCAGTAATAGATGAATTGCTTTCCTATGGGTGCTGGGAAGTAGAGTCTGTGGTTCTTTTGATTGTATAGACTTCCATTTTTTATTTGTGGAAAATCACAGGGTTTCACTTGCAATAACAAAAATAAAAACAGACAGAAAAGCACTCAGGCATAAACCATTTGATCAGGGAATTACTTTCTATTAATTAAAATAAGTATGTGACTAGCCAGTTTCTGAAAGAGAGAGAGACAAAATGAATTCATACAGCTGTGGTGTGTGAGGATGTCTTACATCACGAACTCAATCTAACCCTTACAGTTCACCAGAGAAGTGTGCCAGGGATATTTAATACTCAATATGATAACTGCTAATTTATGACTTGAATTTGAACAGAAAAAATAATGCTATTACATCAGAGCGAGCCGTTGTAACTTCACACTGAAGTGTTGTATTGTGCATTGTATTAACGAGTTTATATGAATTGCTTCATTAACTCTTGTTTTCTTTTTCCTGTTCTTATTTATAAATGATTAGTACATTATTATCAGAATAGTATTAATTAAAAAAAGAATAGTATTAATTTTTCCATGAAAGGTGATTCTACTAGGGAGCCTCATCCAATGTGTTAAAAAGAATTTCAACAAACACTGGACAGAAACACATGCGTTTCCTCCTGCATTCATTTTGTTTTGTTTGTTTGTTTAAAAACAGAAACATTTCAAGAATATTCTCTAAATTTAGGACATGGCTAATAAATTCAAATTCTTCATATCCTAAATGTTTTTCTTTGACATATTTAAGAATTATACTTTTCATAAAGCATCAACGAATTGGATTAGCTCACTGAGGTTTCTTTTTAAAGTGTGTATCGAGAGGAGCCATGGTTCAAAATAGGAATATTATTATTTCCAGTGTACTCAGACTCTTAGCTAATCTTCATTCTCTTGTAGGCACAGATGAAACTCTTAGTCTTCTTCTTTTTTTTTTTTTTTTTAAATAGGTGATTCCTTGAAATAAACCTAATATTCCATAAAGAAAATGACCAGAAGATGTGGTCAATCCCTAAAGTATTGAATATTATACTTTTCTCATGACATTTAAATGTCATGTTCTGAAGGTCTATGAAGTGTTTGAAGATCAAACATCTATGTGTGACCAATTTCACAGGTATAAGAAACATGGGTGAAGATAATCTGTAATACTCAGGAACCTAGCTATAAAACCGGTTGAAACTTCCCTGAATAAAGCAGGGGCAATTATTTTTAGCACTATAACTAAACTATACATATATATATATATATATGTATATGTGGATATGTATATGCGTGTGTATGTGTGTTGTGTGTGTGTAAATCACTAAAACAGAGGTGGAACTGTATAGTGTAACATGATAAAAATATCTGAAATTGTATCAATATACAAAATGTCTTGAACATGTGTAAAAGTATCCATACATAAAATATGATAAAGATATTATGTACAAAACATCATAAATAGAAAGATCTTATACAATATGACAAAAATATAATATAGAAATCGTCTGAGAAAGAATACAAACTTAATTTTACATAGGTTACAACATATAAAAATCTATAAGAATGTAAGTTGTATATAACTAATAATTACTACCATAATTCACAAGAAGATAAATCTACCTACATCCCATCTATATATCCTTTTCAACCATACCCTATACCCATCTAAAAGAGATACCCAAGTCAAGTCTGAGCATCATCTTTTTTACCCAACCCTAAGTAAATAAAACTAACCCTATGCAGATGAATATTACCCCTAAAAGCCAACAGTAGAAAAAGGGGGCTTCGTTATCTCAAGATCGCTTTTGGGCTGACTTGGCTGGTGGGAACATGCTCTTAACAAAAATGGTGCAAACAAAGTGGGTACTAAGAACTTCCACTTAAAACTTAACAAAAGCTTAAGAAAGGATTTTAAAAAACAAAATAATGGAGACATGCAAGGCTTTTTGGTAGCAGCATTTTTCTCAGACTGAGACTTTCATGGCTCCTTTAAGGGACATTTCCTGACACGCTCTACTAACAATTCACTAGTGTGCATGAGCACCTGACAGTGGCAGTGACCACATCTCCAAGCTGGCAGCATAGACCACTGCAATGAGCACAGCTCTCATTGCTGGTGGTAAACATGCCTCTGCCATATAGGAAAGCAAGATAGGTGGGACTAGAAGACAAGGAGGATTCTGGGAGTTGTAGTACAGAGAAGTCAAAATATAAAACCAAGAGGATTAAGAGGTCCAGACCCTTTGTCTGATAAAACCACATGGAAACTCTTATATTGATAAAAACCGGTTATTATTTAAGACAGAGCTAGCCAATAAGAGACGCTAGTAATAGGCCAGCAGTTTTAAATTAATACAGTGTCTCTGCATGTTATTCGGGGCTGACAGGGACCAGGCTGGCGGGAAAATGCTCCTAATATAACCGAACTTACATCATCAACCCAAAACTCTTTTCCATGTCTCTCAAATTTATATACTTTACACCTCTTCCCTGGGTGTGTTTTCTGAGTTTGCTATAAAGAAAAACTATCACTGTAAAAATTTCAGCTCCAAGAGAGACCTGAGAAGGATATAGTATTACCTGAGTAAGAAGGAAGTGAGAGGAAGTTACTTTAAAAAATGCGAGAAATGTAAGAGAGGGCAGCCTGTATGGACAGTCAACAAGGATGCCTCTATATTCTCCGGGCATCCATCTTCAGCCCACAGGCCCAGCATATCTGGCAGACTTATCTGTGAAGCCGGATTTTTGAAGGATTGTCCTGCTTACTCTTGGCAAGTTTTAGCAGTTATAGCAACTGTCATTAGTAGAGGCAAGGGCAGTTTCAGGCCCAGGAGCTAAATTTGCCATAAGGAAAATAAACTCCATATGGAGTTTCTTATATGACATCATCTTCTTTGTAGTAAAATGGTGCTGTCAGGAGCAGACATGTCTCATTATCACAAGAAAAATAACTGTGTCATTAAAACTTTTAAATGCCATATTCTATAGATCCCCAACGTGCTTGAAGACCACCTACTTGCCTAAAATATAATTCTGTTTGACTTTGAAAACATACCTAACCTGACTACAAGTTTGATTGTAACAGGTAACTAACTACTAGCCTGCATTTCTTCATATACTAAATAGTTTTTAGTGATAACTTTCAAATATTAGAAATTTATATTACATTTTTATATGAGCTGTATACATACAATGCCTTGACCAAGCCTAGAAACACATGTACAGTATCTTCTAACCAAAATAACTTTAAATTTTATCATTATACAAACATCCATATCAATATAAAATATTAAACTAGTAGTTGCTTTTTTGGTATAAAAGTAGATTCTTTAATCTACCTCTATATCCTATCATTTCTAATATATATATATTTCTAATATACATATAATTATTTCTAATATATGTGTATATATAATTATAACAAAAGTGTATATGCCTCTCTTTATTTTTAGAATGTGATTTCCTGAATCTAATCTCCTTTGTCCAGCCTTTTTCCTGACCATTACCAATAATAACTTGTAACCAACCACCCTAACTATCCATAACCCACTGAATTACCAACCCGCCCCCCTCCAAATTTGTGGGAATGTGAGCATCATGTTCTTAAAATTACTTACTGGTATGTGGGGGTGATGGCATCTTTAAGGAACCCAGAAAATAAGTGGATACATGTTAAGTCCTGGGAGAGATAGCTGTATGGATTGTTTTCTAGTCTCTGTGTAATTAGAAAGTGCAGGACCTGTCTCAAATCCTGGCTACCGTAGACTGTGAGGCTGGCTCATCTCAGCCAGCTACCTTGAAATTGTCCTGAGTAGTTCGCACTCCAAAGCCAATCTTTAGGTGGTGTTTGCCAGCTTAGTGACCTAACCATAGTCAGAGTGGAAACGTTGTTGTGGGGTCCCATCATCTTTTAAAGACTTCAGAGATCGCGTTTGATCAGATTATTCTTTCTCTTGGTAATTCTTTTTTTTCTGGGTAGTTACCTCTTCTGGTTTGGATGCTTATTTTTACAAAGGTCTTTAAAATCATCAAGATGGTTGATTTTATTTTCCTGGAAAGATAAAACCCTGTCCCAAACCTAATGTTGGGGAGTTTCCCTTTTGGCTAGTTATATCTGATCACACACACAAAAAAAAATTGTTAGACTTATAAATTATAGTTTAGATTGACTCATCATGCTGGATATTAACTATCACCTCTTCTAATCAAGAGGTCTGTCTGGTTCAACTCTAATGTTTTAGTTGCTCTGGGGAGAAGTTTCTCCCAAGGTGATAGGAAATGAATAAACCATGTTTAACATGGGGGTCTGTGAGAGCTTCTTCCCCGCAAGGTGTTTCCTTGTGGCAAAGGATTACACTCTTTGTCCTTTGTTGATTTATATCCATTGGTCCAATGACTACCTTTGACACTCTTCTGTGTATTCCAAAAGGAAGGGGGTGTTCTGTTTGTATAATTCCTAAAAAAAAAAAAAAAAAAAATGGTTGTAGGAACACCCTACAATCCTTTTTTCGGTGACCTTGTTTGCCACAATTAAAACACCTGATTTTTTCAATTTTCTTCAAGCCTCTGGAAATCACCTCTGCTATCCAAGCATAAACACAGGTATGAGATTCAATATTGGTTGGCTCTCAGGTCCGTTACTCTAAGGGTGCTGATCTTGCCTTTAAAGACCTGATTACTCTTTTGCGTTGTGAATTTAACATTTTCAAAAGCCAAAGATTCAATTGCTATTTGTCTTGGTTATGAATTTGGTATCATGCTGTTTACAGCTGAAGTCAATCTTTGGGGGGAAAATCAGTGAAGGTTTCTTTTGGGCCCTGTATAGCTTTAGTAAGTGACTCAGTTATCTTTCCAATTTCTTCATTTCTGTCCTCAACATTCAAAGCTGGTGCATGGTCATAGACCCAGGCTGTGGCCATTATATGGAGACTGTCTTACTAGATCAGCATAATCCCTCTCTACAGGAAGCTGGTCTTGGGAGATATTAATACTTGTAGCCCTACTTTATTGTTCAATGGTCCTAGCCTCTCCTTTAACCAGATCTTCCACTGCACCGAGGACCAGGTCCCACCACTTCTGTAACCAAGTCTCTCCAGTCCTGTGGGATGATTCTTTCACTAGCTGGCCATGCATTTAACATCTGCTTCACAGAGGTGCATGTATACCATATGAGACGGTCATGTGTGAACTCACAGAGCCTGAAGCAACAAACAAGGGCGTCAGTACCAGATCTTCTCTGTACATTGTGCAGTTTTCAGTGTGGTGTTTTGGGGAAGTCCTAAGTATGTGAAAGAGCGGCCTCTCTGATTCTTGAGCTGTTATTCTTCTGTTACTTTGCCTTGTCCAAATTCAATGCAGTGATTTATTTTCTTTTCATGTATTATATTTTATTTGGTTATGTTTTGTTGTTATGTCTTAGAATTTGACTCCGTTTCTAATGAGAGACAGACAGATAGTAGATTCAGAGGGGAGGGGAGTGAAGGTGGTGATGGGAGATGTCATTCTGTAAATATGTTTCCCTTATTTGTTACTGAATAAAGCACTGTTGGCTTATAGGAAAGCAAGATAGGCAGGACTAGGAGACAAGAAGGATTCAAGGAAGTAGTAGGGAGGAGTCAGCATGTAGAGACTGGAGAGAAGAGAGGCTGGCCCCACTCTCCTGTAAGATGAGACCACGTGGAAACAGTTAGATGAATAGAAATGGGTTAACAATTAAGACAGAGCTAGCCAATAAGAAACAAGTAACTAGCCAACAGCATAATATCAAATACAGAGTCTCTGAGTGTTAGTTATTTGGGGCTGGCACGGCAGTGGGTCCAAGCTGGCAGGAAAAACCTACTCCTAACAAGGTGGGAAAGAACTGGGAATAGAAGAGATAGAGGAAATGCATAATCGGGATATATTCCATGAGAAAGGAGCTTCTTTTCCATAAAAGAGAAAAAAGAGTCATTTGCAAGATAGATACAAGGTAGGTAGAAAGATCGATAGACAGACAGATGAGAGAGCTGACATCAAAACATCATCAAATTGACTGCAGAGAATAACCTGAAGAAATAGATGAGGCAAGCAAGCTGTTTTACTGCAGCCAGATGGAAATCTAAAGGACAGAGCAGAGTCCTATTGTATGAGACTTCAAAAATATCAGAAAGGTGACATCATGAAACTTGCTTGCTGATATCCAGCAGAAACAGAGCAACTATGTCTAAGACAGCCATCTGGAGTTTCCCATCTAGATTCCAGGAAGAGCAGAAAAAAACAACTGGAAGATTAGCCAAAGCTAGTTTGTCTGGGAGTCGGGGCAATTGGAAACTCAAGCTCACTGTTTCAACTTTTCTATTCAGTTTCTATTGGTAGTTAAGAGCACCTCATTTGATCATGTGATCTTTATCTGTGGCGATTTGTTCTAATTACCAGCCTCATCCACGGGGACTCTCAGAGGGGAAGTCCAGAGACAAATATGCCATAAATTCAATGTCTTAGAGGATTAACACTGGATACCTTGAGGGTCTGCAATAATGTTTTTCTCTCTTTGTGTCTGTCTGTCATTGCTTTATCTACCTCTTCTTTTACTTTCGTTTCTGTATACTTTATAAACTCAGTCATTCAAAAAGAAAAAGTGTGACTATTGTAAGTCATTTTCAACTCTTTAACTAATACCAAATAGACAGTATTTGCAATCAAATTGAATGGATTGATCAGGGTGTATTTAAGGATGTGTGTAGGGAGGATGTATTTGGGGGATGTGTGTATACACATGCATGCAGTAACAATTAGCAAAAAATGACTAAGAGGACAAGGAGGGGATAATGACTTGGTTCAGAAGGAAGGAGGGATAGACAGGAGAAATACGATATTATAATATCAAACATTATAAAAGTACAAGGAATTAAAGGAAAAAATTTTTTTTTGTCGTTTGGCAAGGTGGTGTTTACTCTTTAAAAGACTTCTTTCCTCATGATTAGAAGTCAGAGAGAAACATCATAGCACAATAAAATGGGATTAAATCTCTGAAATAATGGTATAGATCTTGAAATGGGGGATTTTAAAACAAATGTGAGGAGTGATAAGTTAAATGAATCACCCCTAATTACATGTAAACATTAGCAAAATGCAAATGGGAAGAAAAAAGAGACTTCCTGAAAACAGAGTCAAGCACAATGGCTAAATTCCCCTCTCCTACACCTTGTTTAAATCATTATGATTTAATCATATGCTTAAATCATTATTTGTGATTCTGTAGATTTAATGGTTTTAATTGGTGGCTTTATAAAACACCAGGGGACAGTACTTACGTTCTCTTTGGACACAATGTTAATACAGAGGTATTATGATCTCCTAATTTCTACACACATGCATTGATTGGAAAGAGCCAGTTGTTGGCATTTTGGTGGTTTACAACAAAAATAACAGTATTCTCCATGGTATTATTAAATACTTTTTCCATTTGGTGAATGACAATTTGAAGGAAAGGAAAAGTTCCTCACTTTAAAGAATATGAAGTTACAATATCCAATCTGTGAAGATGAAATCAACCTCACAGAGACTCAGATGTTTAGAGTCTGTTGGAGCTTTGTCCTGGTCAGCGGCTTTGTCTTAGTTTAAGTTGAATTTCATTATAAAAGTTCATCTTATTACATTTAACTTACTCATTTTTAATATGATTTTTTTCCTCTTCAAATTGTATTCAGAGGCTATTCACACTTTGCAGTTTAGAGAACAGAGAATACTCCTTTTCATTCGAGTTTTCTCTTTAACTGACTATCAGAAACTATTTCTATGAAAAGGTTATGTTTTATCATTCAAAATATTTTGCCTTTGCTTAGAACATTTTATAGTTTTACTTTCTATTCATAATGTTTTACTAATATTAAAATGAATTTAAAATATGCATACAACAGATAAAGAATTTCTTTCTGCTTACCTTGTCCTTTGGCAGTAGAAAGCCATAGGGTTAGAATATTGCCTAAGAGCAACAGGCTAAAAGACCCCATCTTCTAAAACCTAAAGCTCTCCAGCAATGGTGGTTTTTCTGGAAATTCTGTCATTAATAGTGCTGTGTGTGACTTTGAATTTCAGCTACTTTGGTAAATATCAAAGGTCGCAGAACAAGGCACAAAATAAACAATATCCATTCTGTGTTTTCACATAAGTACTCTAAGTTAATCATTTTACATTTATTAAACAATAAAATTTCTGGTGGCCACTGTGCTTCACATATGGGTTCTCTGGATCTCAACTCTAGTCTTCATGCATGAACCATCATCTCCCCAGGTGTGAAATTTACTTTCATTTTAGAAGACTGATATCACATGCTTCAGTTTTATGGATTGTAGAATTAAGTATTTTTTTAATGATAAATTTCTATATGTAAAAGATATCTTTATACCTATTGTTCTTACTGTTGCATATAAAGTGAGTGTCTCAAGTTATTTGCTCTAATGGTTTCTTTATCCTGTCATCCATTGCTCTCGTTTAAATACACCTGTCATCAAAAGGTTCTGTTCTACACATTCACTGAAGATCAACGTATTATAGAGAATAATTGAAAGACAAAATGAATTTTTGAAAACACAAAGATAGAGTCTAATCTTGCCACGAATCGTCTGTGAGAAAAAAAAGTAATTGAAAACAGAGACTATAGCAATTGATTATCAATACCAAATGGCCAACTTGTAAAAATACACACAACTAAGAATATACTGAATAAGCAAGCTATACATATACGGACACGTACTTTTTTTTATTGAATAAAGAGGCCATGAGTTTAAAATGAGCATAAGGGAGCACATGGGACTATTTAGAGTGAGGAAATGGAAAGATTGGGTGATGTTATATTGTTATAACAACATTTTAAAAAAGATTTTAGTGATAAAACAAAAAGCAAGAAACAGCTAGAGACTGTGGATATGTGAAGTGACTTTTCAAATGAAAAGCATGGCTAGGTTGCTACTAAGTAGATGTTTGACAAGTACCATTAAAAGTCAACTATGGGGCATCTGTTAAAGTGATGATTAATCTGTAATATTTATTCTCCATTGGATTTTCATAGAAGGTAGATTATATTGTATGTGTCAGATTCTCTTGTGCAAACTTGTGGTTTCCAAGACTCACAGTGCCCTCTTACATGCTATTCTCATTCATTGATTCAGTGTTTATTTAAGGATAGACATTTATTGGGCGAGACACTTTGGAATTGGTGGACATCCTGTTTCTGTGCTTGCTATGTGAATCCAGAAGGAAATTGAAGGATATACAAAATTATATTAACAGAATAATAGAAAACCTTCCCATTAGAATAATGCTCGATGGTATTTATTTTCAATATGTAGCTGTCCTTGGTTGTTTTGGAAAGAATCACAAAGCTGTTTCCGTGGGTTTCTCCAGCCTGGTCTTGACCCCTTTGCTCATCACTCCTCCCTCTCTGCAACTGGGTTCCCAGGAGTTTGGCGCAGTGTTTAGCTGTGGGTGTCTGCTTCTGCTTCCATTAGAAGGCTCTAGGATGGCACATAAGGTAGTCATCAAACTCATTAAGAGGAAGGTCATTCAAGGTAGCCTCTCCACTATTGCTTAGATTGTTAGTTGGGGTCATCCTTGTAGATCCCTGGACATTTCCCTAGTTCCAGATTTCTCTTAAAACCTATAATGGCTCCCTCTATTATGGAATTTCTTTTCTTTCCCCGTTCCAATCTTCCTGCTCCCTCATGCTCACCTCTCCCCTCCCCTCCCCTCCTCTCCTCTCCTCTCCTCTCTTCCCCTTCTTTTCTCCTGACTACCTCTCCCCTTCCCTACTGCTCCCAATTTGCGTAGGAGATCTTGTCCCTTTCCTCTTTTCCAGGACCATGTATGTCCCTCTTGTGTCCTAGCTTCTCTGGTGCTGTGGAATGTAGAATGGTGACCCTTTGCTCTATGTTTAATATCCATATGTGATCATGTTTGTCCTTTTGTGACTGGGTTACCTCACTCAGGATGGTTTCTTCTAGTTCCATCCGTCTGTCTGTGAATTTCAAGATTCCATTGTTCCTCTCCGCTGGGTAGTATTCCATTTTATAATTGTACCACAATTATACATCTAGGTTGCTTCCAGGTTCTGGCTATTGCAAATAATGCTGATATGAACATAGTTGAACAGATGTTCATGTTGTATGAATGTGATTTTTTTTGTGGAGGGAGTATATGCCTATGAATAGAAATGCTGGATCTTGTGGTACACTGATTCCCATATTCCTGTGGAAACACTCTACTGATTTCCAAAGTGTCTATGCAAGTTTTCACTCCCACCAGCAGTGGAGGAGTATTTCCCTTTCTGCACATCTTCTCCAGCATAGACTGTCATTGGTGTTTTTTATTTTAGCCATATGACAGGAGCAAGATGGTATCTCAGAGTTGTTACCCTTTGCATTTCCCTGATGGCTAAGGATGTTGAACGATTTCAGTGTCTTTCAGGCATTTTAGCTTTCCCTATTGAGAATTCTCTATTTAGTTCTGTACCCCACTTTTTAATTGGATTATTTGGTGTTTTGGTGACTGGTTTCTTGAGTTCTTTGTGTATTTTGGAGATCAGCCCTCTGTCAGATGTGGGGTTGGTGAATATCTTTTTCCATTCTGAGGTGAGGGCTGCCATTTTGTCTTGTTGAGTGGATCCTTTGCCTTACAGAAGCTTCTCAATTTCAAGAGGTCCTATTAATTGTCATTCTCAGTGTCTGTGCTACTGCAGTTATGTTCAGGAAGCTGTCTCCTGTACCAATTTGTTCACGGGTACCTCCCACTTTCTCTTCTAAGAGGTTCAGTGTGTCTGGATTTATGTTGAGGTCTTTGATCCATTTGAACTTGAGTTTCGTATAGTGTCCTGAGAGTCTGGTGGCATCATATTGGTTTTCCTGATGTTGAATGTGTTCTTGTACTGCTGTTCTCCCATCTTGTCTTCCAGTGGGTGCAGGTGGGTTCTCTTCCTCTCCTGGTGGGTACGGTTCCAAGGTTCTCTTCTGGTGGGTACAAGCAAGGGCATTACACCCATGGGTCTCACGATGGGTGCAGGTGGGTCTGAGACACTCCCTCTCCCAGTGAGTGGAAGTAGAATTAGCGCCATGATGGCAGCAGGCTCTGAATTGCTTGATCCACAGGGGGTGAGTAGATCTGCCCATAGTCTCCAGACCAGGAGACCCCAAAGAATGCAAGCATAATTTGGGCCCATGCTCACCTCTCCCCTGCTTTCAATTATTCTTACTTTGTTCTGCATATTTGGTGTTTTCACTTACAAGAAACAGTAGATTTCATCTTTTTTTTTAATGTCTCTTGTAGCTGGATATGAATGTTTTCCCTTAGATATGGGTATTATTTATTTATTGTAATTTGGCTGAAAATAGTTTGTGTTTTTGATTTGGATTTCTTCTTCTGTGTCCCTATTAAAAGATTAGGTCTTTTCAGAGGGTCCTAGAGTTCATGAATGTTCTGTTTCTGGAGTTTTGTTTAGATTTATCAGTTTCTTTCTTAGAGTTGTCTAACTACTCCACTGTGTGTTCAAGCTCTGGTATTCTCACTTCCGATTGGTCCATTTCACCTGTGAAGCTGTGAAGCTTTCCAGTCGTGTTTCTGTCAGTCTTCCTGACATTTATTTAAACTATAATCAAGTGCAACTCAGAGTATTGTGTACATATGCAGCTTCTGCCTTTGTAACAATGGGTGCCATCACTACTGCCTGGATATTGCATCCCCTATTTGAGTGCACAGTTAAACTTACTAACATTTTTATTTTGGTTTGGATTTATTTATTTATTTATTTTTAGGATTTCTGTCCCTTTATTGAACTTTATTTCTGATCCTAAGTTCTACGTGCTTGTGTTGTTGAACTGTTAGTTTGTGTTTCCCTTTAATTATTTAATCACATCATCTTTCAGTTTTCTCAAACATTTATGTATGTTGCGTTTTGAAATGCGTATGCGTGTGTGTGTGTGTGTGTGTGTGTGTGTGTTTGTGTGATTTATGTGCACTTGTATGCCAGAGAAAGGCATCAAATCTGGAGCAGGAGACACCGGTGTTTTTGAGCCTCCTTATGGAAGTGCTGTGAAGAAAACCCTGATCCTCTGAAGCAAATATACAAAGGAATTAAAATTTAACTGGTTGTAGGATTCTCTCTCCTAGTCATGATGCTATCTGAAGTTGACACCTTTTGCAAAGGAAAACTCAGTTTTCTTCAATGAAGTCTCATTGGTCATGCTAACCACACTTAAAGTTGGGCACTCTGCCCAGTATTAACAGCCAACACACACCAAACTCAATGGAATTATTTTAGACTTTTGATCTCATATTTCTTTGTTTGAACTGGTTATTTTTTGCATTTCGGTTTTTTTTTAATATATATATGGTTTCCATATTATGTTTTTGTGAGTTTTGTTTTTGTGCATGTGTGTGTATACACACATATATGCATGCACACACACATGTGATTCTTCTATATTTTTATTTTTCATGTTGTATGTACTTGAATTTTCCCCTAAGTACTTTTTGTTTGCTTTCTAAATATAAAGAGAAATTGCATGGAGTTTAATAGGTAGGGTTGCATGAGGATCTAGTAGGAGTTAGCTTAGAGAAAACCATGGTCAGGATATATTTGACGAAAAGATATTTTCAATTAAAACAAAAACATGCTCTTACTACACTTACTGAGAAGCTGAGGTGGAAGATGAGAGATAGAATGTGTGAGTGCAAACATAGTGTCAACCAGCACAGAACTTCACACGACACCATCAGTGTCTCAGTGAGCAGGGTGGGCAGAGTACCCCTTCCTGATGTGCTGTGGACTTAGATGCAAGTCTTCATTCAGTCAATGACTGAGGACCCAGGTTTGGGAAACGCTACCCTGCATGCAGATCCTCAGACAGCAGGGGTTTTGGATTGTGAAAAGGTGGGAATAAATACCCAATAGTTTTAAAGAAAAGTTCTGTTGTGTAACATATGGATCCATCCTAGAGAGTCTTTAATATGCCTTTGGAAAGGATGTGTATACTACTCTTGTTAGACAGCATGTTATACACATATCTGGCAGGCTCATTTAATTGAGTTCATTAGTAATGCAAAGTGTGTAAGTTTGGTTTTACATGTTGGTGAGGTAATACAGTTTTGAAGATCAAGACAATGTGTCTGACATATCATTCAAGCCTAATATTGTACTATGTTTCTATCTGATCAATCCACATTTAAAATATCAGTATGGAAGTGGGTACTATACCTATGTTTTTTTCTTATGTCAGGCCTATGCATATGTCTCTCATATTAAGCTAGGTAAACGCATACCTACCTGTTATATATATATATTTAGAGAATAGGTTAACATCATTACACAATGACCTTCATTTGCCTTTATTAGTGTTTTGTTTGTTTGTTCGTTTTACATTATATTTTGTCTGATGTGAATCACAATCGTTCTGTCTTTTGCTTCTCATATCCATGGGCTGTATTTTTCACTCCTCTGTTATGGTGGTTTCCCCATGACATTTGCATATGTGTTCTACATCATGTTCATGATGATAAAGATAATGGGTTTTACTAGAGATTGGGTTTGTAGGGATTATTTCTATTACAAAGAAACCACTGTGTTTCCTTCCCATGTTTCCACCATGCAGAAGTAACCAAGAAAGAGAAGGTAATGTCAGACACCAAATCTTATGCCAGTATCTTAGATATGTTGTCCTTTTGATTCTAAAGTTTTCAACTTCAAGACATCAGTGCCTCTGAAGCTAGCACCTTCAGCTTCTGGTATTTGTTAAAGTGGTGCTGACAGACAACTGTCTTCACTAGTGTCAAAGTTAAACACATTTACTCTTGTATAATACTTTGACTAATAAACATTTCCTTGATGTTTGACTGAATGTTCTAACAACTATCCAAGATTATACAGAAGATTATTAGATATTTGATCAATTTTGGCCTTGTTATTTACACCTATATTTTCATCTTAAAGACTCAAAACATTTGAAAAGTTAAAGATATCTTTAAATGTGTGCTTTTCCTAAAATGACATTTTTTTTTAATGGTTCAAAACCTATAATGTTAGTGGTAGAAGTGGTGTAGCTATCCTAATATCTAACAAATTAGACTTCAAACAAAAATTAGTTCAAAGAGATGAAGGTTGTTTCATATTCATCACAGGAAAAATCCATCAAGATGAAGTCTCAATTCTGAATATTTATGCCCCAAATACAAAGGCACCTACATTTGTAAAAGAAATATTATTAATACTTAAATCACACAAACCCCACACACTTATAGTGAGAGATTTCAACACCCCACTCTTACCACTAGACAGGACTAAAAGAAAGAAACTTAACAGAGAAATAAAGGAACTAATAGAAGTTATGACTCAAATGGGTTTAACAGACATCTATAGAACATGCCATCCAAACACAAAAGAATATTCCTTCTTCTCAGCACCCCGTGGAACCTTCTCTAAATTGACCACTTACTCAGGAACCAACCAAATCTTAACAGATACAAAAAATTGGAGTAACCCTCTGTATCATATCGGATCACTGTGGTTTAATGTTGGATTTCAAAAACAACATAAATTGCAGAAACCCTACAAACACATGGAAATTGAACAATATTCAATTGTATACAGTAAACCAACAGCCAATGTCAAACTAAATGAAGATAAACTCAATGTGATTCCTCTAAAATGAGGAACAGGACAAGGTTGTCCACGCTCTCCATATCTCTTTAATATTGTGCTTGAAGTTCTAGCTAGAACAATAAGACAACAAAAAGATCAAGGAGAAACAGAAAAGGCAAACTTTCACTCTTTTCAGATGATATGATAGTTTATATAAGTGACATGAAAATTTTACCAGGGAACTTCTACAGCTAATAAACACCTTCAGCAAAGTGGCAGGATAAAAGACTAACTCAAAACAAACAAACAAGCAAACATAAAGAAACCAGTACCCCTACTATAAACAGATAATAAAGAGGCTGAGAAAGAAATCAGAGAAACATCACTCTTCTCAATAGGCACAAACAACAAAAAATTTCTTAGGGTAACTCTAATCAAACAGGTGAAAACACCTGTATGACAAGAACTTTGAGATTTTAAAGAAATTAAAGAAGATACCAGAAAATGGAAAGACCTCCCATGCTCTTGGATAGGTAGGATCAAGATAGTTAAAACAATAATCTTGCCAAAAGCAATCTACAAATTAAATGCAATCCCTATCAAAATCCCAGCACAATTCTTCACAGACTTTGAAAGGACAATACTCAGCTTCATATGGAAAAACAAAAGATCAAGGATAACCCAAACAACCCTGTACAATAAAGGAACTTCTGAGGCATCACCATTCCAGACTTCAAGCTCTACTGTAGACCTATAGTCCTGAAAACAGCTTGGTATTGGCACAAAAACAGACAGACCAATAAAATTGAATTAAGAATCCTGATATTAATCCACACATTGATGAACACATGATTTTTGACAAAGAAGCTAAAACTGTGCAATGGAAAAAAGAAAGCATCTTTAACAAATGGTGCTGGCATAACTGAATGCAGACATATAGAAGATTACAGATAGATTCATATCTATCACTATGCCCAAAACTTAAGTCCAAATGGATCAAAGACCTCAACATAAATCCAGACTCACTAAACCTCTCAGATGAGAAAGTGGGAAGAATCTTCGAATGCATTGGCACAGGAAACCACTTCCTGAACATAACACCAGTAGCACAGACACTGAGAACTCCTGAAACTGAGAAGCTTCTGTAAGGCAAAGGACATAGTCAACAAGACAAAATGGCAGGCCACAGAGTGGGAAAAGATCTTCACCAACCCCACATCTGACAGAGGGCCGATCTCCAAAATATACAAAGAACTCAAGAAGCTAGTTACCAAAACACCAAATAATCCAAAGAAAAAATGGGGTACAGAACTAAATAGAGAATTTTCAGCAGAGGAATCCCAAATGGCTGAAAGGCACTCAATGAATTGCTCACCATCCTTAGACATCAGGGAGATGCAAATCAAAAAGAATTCTGAGATATGTATATGTCAGAATGGCTAAAGTCAAAAACACTAATAAAATCTCATTCTGGAAAGACTGTGGCATAAAGGGAACACTCCTCCACTGCTGGTGTGAGTGCAAACTTGCACAGCCACTTTGGAAATCAGTATGGTGGTTCCTCAGGAAAACAAGAATTCATCTACCACAAGATCCAGCATTTCTACTCTTAGGCATATACCCAAAGAAAGCACATTTGTACAACAAGGACAGCTGTTCAGCTGTGTTCATAGCAGCATTATTTGTGATAGCCAGAACTTAGAATCATCCTAGATGCCCTTGAACTGATAAAGAAAATGTGATACATATACTCAGTGGTTAAAAAAAAAATGACATCTTGAAATTCGAAGGCAAATGGATGGAACTAAAGAAACCCTCCTGAGTGAGGTAACCCAGGTACAGAAATAAAAACAAGGTCTGTACTCACTCATAAGTGGATAGTAGACATAAAATAAAAGATACCAGACTATAATACATACCCCAGAGAAGCTAGGAAACAAGAGGACACTAAAAGAGGCATATATGGACACCCAAGAAGGGGATAGGGGCAAGATCTCCTGAGTAAATTGGGAGCATGGGGGAGGGGGAGGGAGGAAGGAGACAAAGGAGGGGAGAAGATTAGTATGCAGGAGAGAATGAGGGGTCAGGAAGGTTGAGTTGGGGAAAGGACAATGTAGGAAAGAAGTACCTTGATAGGGGGAGTCATTACGGGGTTAAGAAGAAACTTGGCAAGAGGGAAATTCCAAGAAATCCTCAAGGATGACACCAACTAGAATTTAAGCAATGCTGGAGAGGCTACCTTAAATTCCTTTCCCCTATAATCAGATTGATGACTACCTTAAACGTCATCATAGAGCCTTCATCCAGTAGCTGATGGAAGCAGAAACAGATTCACAGCTAAGCACTGAGCTGAACTCTTGGAGTCCAGATGTAGAGAGGGAGGAGTCTTGAGCAAAGTAAGTGGTCAAGACCATGATAGGGAAATCCACCGAAACAGCTGACTCAAGCAAGTGGGTGCTCACTGAATCCAGACTGAGAGCCGAGGAACCTGCATAAGACCAAACTAGGACCCCTGAATGTGGGTGTCAGTTGGGGGCTTGAGCAGTGTATGGGACTGCTGGCAGTGAAACCAGTATTTATCCCTAGTGCATAAACAGGCTTTTGGGATCCCATTCCTTATGGAGGGATAATCTCTCAGGGATATAGGGGTGAGGGTCTAGGTTCTTCCCTTCTTTGAGGAGTGGATGGGGGGATGGGAATTTGGTGGGAGGAGTGGGAATTTAGTGGACGGCAGGGAAAGGGAACTAGGATGGATATGTAAAATAAGATTTTTTAATTTTAAGTTAAAAAAACAAAGGTAATATGCAGCAATTGCTTATATTCTTAAGTAATGTTAAACATGAGTTTGATTACCACATATTTGTGATGTAATCCTAATTTGAAGATGAATCAATATGCTTTCTGTTCACCTTGAATCAGAGGAAGACTGGAGAGATTTGAAAGCTGATGGGTAGATACAATGAAGTAATTATATCTATTTTCTGGCCATTGATTACTGTGCCAGGACACAGCATATTCTGGTTTAGGAGTTTTGAATGTACTGCTTTGCCTTTGTGGCAGTGATCTCTCAGGCTCCAAATTAACCACTACATGTCAATACAAGTTTATACCCATGAGAAGAAATGAGTTAAACAATGTTTCAAAGGTAAATTGAAACTATATTGGTAGCATGCATTCATATTTCTAAGCAAATGTCCATTCATCCATCATACCAATAATGTTTTTTTGAGCAACTGGGATAATTGATGTGACCATCAATGCACATTGTACGGAATGGAGGTGAAGGATTTGTCTGTTTGTATCCAGATATACATGTAAATTCAACATAGTCCCCTGATTGGGAATATAGCTTTTGGTTTTCCATCCATCTTAAAGTTATGTTATGTCTTTTCATGATATCTTCTGATATTACACATGCATCTGAAAGAAAAATCATCAAAATGTATAAATATATAAACCTACATAGACTCACCTTTCAAGCATTATTCCTCAAAGTTTTTAAAAACCTGTATTAAGTCAACACTTAGAATTAGTTCATATTGAATAGCAAATGGTGTCAAAACAATGCTCTTAATGTGATAATTGATTTCAACAACAAGGATTCCTGATGTCATGAAATAAGACACTTAGATTTCAGGACATTCATGTTTGTTTGAATTGATTTATGTACTGGGCAAAGGTTAAAAAGAAATTATATTCAGACCTAGTTAGTATATACTGAAAAATGAACATACTGTGAGACGTGTGTACTGAAAAATACTGCTCTTAGAAAAGCCAAATCTGAGCTACCCTCATAATATTCATTATCCACTCACAGAGTTGTAACTATGAATAGTGATTTCTGTGTTATGAACTTGAGTTTCATAGTTTTAAAAATAAAATTTTCTGGTTAAGTGACTAACTTTGTCTGGAAAGTAGCTTCTGCAAATACCACCCTGACTCTTGGCCTTCAATACACAGAAATCCAAGAGGACCCAATATCCAAGTACATGCTGTCCCCAACCAATTCATTTAGTGCTGGCATCCTGTCCCACAACACATCTGATTATACAGTAATTTAAAGGCTGGGAGTAAGCATTACAGAGAGAGAGAGAGTGCCAAAGTTCCATAACCACATCTCTCTGCTGAGGGTTCCAGGAACAGTAACCCTTGTGAGTAGCAGATCTGCCAATCACAGTTTCTGAGAAAACCAGCATCATCTTCTATGAGCCACCACAGCCACTGTAGGATTCTTGACACAATAATCACTCTGTAACCTGTGCTGTCTACAATCCACCTGAGCTGATAGTGTCTTAGTTTAAGCATAATTCATAGAAACAGTGGTTCAGGTTGTGCCCAGGGGTGTTAATTACAGACAAATAACCTGTAGGTACTACATGGAAATAACTCTCCTTCATTGCCACTCAAGATTCATCTCCAGGAAAGAACTTCCTACTAGGAGAGTCTCCATAGATATAGTGTTTAAAAAAAATTGACCCAACAGATGTGTATAAAAATCAAGAAGTATAAAAAATAGAAGGCAACAAGATTCTTCAAAGGTGCATCTCATACTCCAAATATACTGACATGAATAGATGATCAGTTCAAGAGGTTTTAAAAAATCAATTTTAAAAACACTTATTGCCAAGGAAACACAGAAAATAATTAAAGAGGTAAAGAAAAACTTGAGGAATACGAGTGAAAGAAATTTACAGAGAAGATACAGTTTGAAACAGATTCAGATCTGAGAACTGGAAATTAACAGCTGTTCAATTTAAATAACAATGGGTCAAAAAATCATTAGAAGCAATATCCTGACCATTCTAAATGGCAATTCTGGCTGTTTAGAAATTCACTGAAATGTATTAACTTGGAGTTAATCAGCCAACCAACCAACCAACAAATAAAGCTTAAAAAATTAAAAACTGAATGAATACATATCTAACATAGCTAGCTAACAAAATATGATAGAAAATTCTGTATAGAGAAATGTCAACTATAGGTGCAAAAATTATCTTAATTTAGTTTCAGAGACAGGCAGTGGTGGCTCATGACTTTAATCTTAGCTTTTAGGAGTAGAAACAGGCAGATCTACAGAAAGAGGACCAAGACAGCAAGGACTACACAAAGAAACCCTTTCTCAAAAAAAAATGTTTCAGATATTTTGGAATTAATCTTTTAAAAATAGATATACTATAAAAATTAGTCTGCAGCTTTATGAACATTCAAATGTTATTTATATGGGCTTAGAAAAAATATCAGAAATCTTACATAACAACAAAAGAGCCAAAAGCAATACTAAGTAATAAAAGCACTGGGGGAGGAATCCTAATATCTGAACTCAATTTATAATCAAAAGCTATAGAGATAAAGACATACTAATACTGGTATAAATATGCACAGATATATTAAAGGACCAGAATAGCAGACAAACCATGACTATCAATTTTGGAGACAGGAGCCAAAAACATGTACCAAAAAGAGAGCCTATAGAAAAGAGTTGCTGGAAAAACGGGATTGCTAACCATAGAAGACTGAAATTAGACTCTTATCTTTGAACTTGTACAAAAATCCATACAGATCCAATCAGAGACCTTAAATAATAGCGAAATCACTGAAACTTTTAGAATAAAACATAGCATAGGGCATCTACTTCAAGACACTGGGATAGATAAGAACTTTTCACTAGAACACCAGCAGTATACAAACTAAAACCAACTATCAGCATACACTTCTGATAGGAGTAAATATATATGCCATTGAAAGAAAAAAAGATGTTTAATATCATTAGCTATCATTTCACTGTCAACCAAAATTCCAAGAAGATACCTTATCACCCAACTAGAATGGTACATCAGAAAGGAACCCTTAAAAATCACAAACGTTCAGGAGTGTGTAGTGGAAAAGAAAGTCCAACACTCTTCATTGAAATATAAATTTGTGCAAATACTTTGGAAAGCAAAATAGAGATTTCATGAAAATGTAAAATCTGGTTTTCTATATACTCCCTCTCTATCCCTCTTTAGACATGCCCCCAGAGGAAATGAAACCAACCTACTCAAACTTCATGTGTATATTTATTACTCATTGCTACGTCACAGCAGCTAAGATGGGAAAACTGTGTTTCCTCCAATTTATGAATTTATAAAGACAATGTGATATGATTACATATGAAATATTTTTCAGATGTTACAGTATTTTTATTATTTCAGTTAGAAAAGGGCATTGAAGAACATTAAGTGAAATGAATCAAACACAGGAAGACAAGCCCTTGGTGTTCTTTCTCACACAGAGGAAAGAAAATCTAAAATTCCTCTTGAATGCCTGACAGGGATTAATACAAGTCAGGTGACTTATCTCAGAAAAGGGGAGCTTATATGAAGGGCATTTAACAACCCCAAGGTGTATACAAATGTGGTGATTTGAATAAGAATGGCCTCTGTATGTCAGCTGACACTTGACTAAAGCTGGACTCATCAGAGAAAGGAGCCTCACTTGAGCAAATGCCTCAAATGAGATCCAGCTGTAAGTCATTTCCTCAATTAGTGATCAATGGGGGAGGGACCAGCCCATGGTAGGTGGGGCCATCTCTAGGCTGGCAGTCCTATATTCTATTAGAAAGCAAGCTTAGCAAACCATGAAAAGCAAGGCAGTAAGCAGCACCCTCCATGGCCTGCTGTATCAGCTCTGGCCTCCAGGATCCTGCCCTGAGTTCCTGTCCTGACTTCCTTTGATAATGAGCAGCAATGAGTAAGTGAAACCCAAATAGACGCTTTCTTCTCCAACTTGTTATTAGTGATGGTGTTTCATCACAGCAAGAGGAACCCTAATTACGAAGACTCCATAGACTTATAAATTGTTTAATCAAGGAGTGGTGATGCTTGATTTGGGGCTGCGGCTTGTTGGAGTAGGTGTACCCTTGTTGGAAGTGTGTCTCTGGGGAAAGGATTTCAGGTTTCAAAAGCCCAAGCCAGTCCCAGTGTCTATAGCTTCCTACTGTCTTCAGAGCCAGATATATAACTCAAAGCTATTTCTCCATCATGTTTGCCTCTGGGCCTCCATACTCCTCACTCTGCCCTGTGGTCATAATAAACTAAACTGCTGAAACTTTAAGCGTTCCCCAATTAAATGCTTTCTGTTATAATGCTTTCCAAGGTCGTCATGTCTTTTCAAAGCAACAGAGCACTATGGAAATACCATGCTGGCACCAAGTTTTATGGACATCAATACACACATGTTAGTAAAAACTCAGTAATGAAGAAGATCCTTCATAATTTTACTTGTCAACTATTTTATATGAAAAAAGAGCATAATGTTCTTGCTTTCCTCACATGCTGACATTTGGCGGTGAAACAGTAAACAAAACAGTGCTTTTAATCTGTGAATGTTCTATTGTTGACAGAAAAATATCTGTATCGTGAAACTGAATGCCCTATGGTCTATGAGAACAATGTACTTACGTAAACATTTTGGTGGCGCAGACCACTCTCCATTTGTACACGTTATTTCCTTGTTGCCCTGCAGTTGGTACAAGGACTGGCACTGATATTCAACTGAAGACAAGGGTGCGTATACTGATAAAGGGAAGGAGGTGATGTCTCCATTGTTAATAGGTGGAGGAGGCCCACATTTCCCGGTTGAATCTAAGAACACAACATTTGAATGTTTGAGAGATCAAAGTACAGGCTTAAGGGGAAGCAACAAAAATTCATTGCTAAACAAGTCTTTAGTGATATGATTACTTGAAGAAATGTCAATCATATAAACTGAGAGTTACAAGTTCTTCCTTCTCACCAAGAGCAGTTACTGAACTGGAGCAAGCATGTCTGCTCTGAAGCCTTCCAGTGCTAGCAAATGTCTTAACATTTCTAACATACAGAGGCCAATGCAGACAGGCAGAGTTTCTCTGTTTTCAAGACACTGGAGTATTTATTAGTCTACATATTCCTGATCATCATTATCATTTTAAGAAATATGTTTATAGACAAGAATTTAAAGCTTTTAAAGTTACAGAAAGCAAATAAGGCTTTCTTGACTGGTGATAGGGGTGAAGTATGTATAGGCAACTATATGTTATGCTTTTGCAAGATACAATGGGAATTCTTGGACATGATATTTTTGGTAAACAATGTAGGAAAAGGGAAGATATTGAGAATATTAGTTAAGAGATTGGCAGATAAGCACTGAGCCAAATTCCTGGAATCCAGTTGTAGAGAGGGAGGAGTGATGAGCAAAGGGGTCAAGACCATGCTGGGGAAACCCATGGAAACAGAGGACATGAACAAGGGGGAGCTCATGGACCCCAGACTGAGAGCTTAGAAACCTACATAGGATACACCAGGCCCACTGAACATGGGTGTCAATTATGAGACCTATACAGTCTATGGGACCTCTGGTAATGGATCAGTATTAATCCCTAGTGTACACATGGCCATTGGGAGCCCATTACCCATAGACGGATACTCTCTGCCTAGACACACAGGGAAGGGCCTAGACCCTTGGCCAAATGACGTGACAGACATTGATGATCCTCTATGGAAGGTCTCACCCTTTCTATGGAGCAGAAGAGGGATGGGATGGGAGTTGGTGGTGGGGGTATGGGAGGGAGAGAGAACTTGTATTGATATATAAAATAAGATTGATTCTAGTTTAAATTTTAAAAATTAATTACAAAAAAAAGATTTAGATCTCAATTACTGCACAATGATCTGTGATACTTTTTCCCTTCTGGAGTGCTGTATGTGGTGTTGAGGCCACAGGAGAAGACTGAAAAATCAAGAACTGATATTTTGTTCTGTTGAGTAAGAGCTCAACAGGAGCAATATGAAACTGAGCTCCAACATTGTTTGAAAGCAAAAAAAAAAAAAAAAAAAATGTTCAAGATCATATGAAATATTTTAGTGTGGATGAAAATTAAAAAATCAGACCATAAGGCATGAATGTGTATATGTTAGAGCTGATTAAAGTCAAGCAGTACAAGTGCCATGAAATTCATGAAGATACATGTATTGAAACTGCTTAAAGAAAACATTTTGAAAAACAGCATCGTTATGAAACTGTCAGTCACACTGGATTAAGATCCAAAAGAAAGTGACTTCCCATCTACCACCATGGAGGCCATAGTGAAAGCAAGTAAATGTTAGCATTTGAGAATGGTGCTCAAGATACATAACGGGAAATGCTAAAGGATACACATGGAGAATAGCAACCATAAAAAATTTTCAAGATAATTCAGAGAGCTGGTGGGCAGACACACACAGCTACAACCTAGGCCCAGAACCAGGGCTGATTTGGACCACCCCAACATCCACCCCATCTGTGAACTTCTGGAGCACAACAAGGGGCCAGTCCTGCAGATCCAAAGCTGAAAGATCCCCAAGACACAAGGCAACAGCAGAACATCTAAGAAGAGTCCCAGTGAGGGCCCAGCATCAATACAGTAGCAGAATCCAAAGGACTCAAACTGGACTAATGACTCACTTAAATAATATTTGCAATTAAAGACATGTGAACTACAGCTTCCATGATCTATCTATCCACCCATCCATCCATCTTCCTTCCTTCCTTCTTCTTTTTAATTTAATTTTAATTTTATTTTGGGAGGGGAAATTGCCATGGGGTATATTGTATGAAAGAAGAGACTATTTTCAATTTTAAAAGAAAAAAAGTTAGAAAAATGCTTCTTATAAGAATTACTGTACTTCCTGCCTCTGCCTCCTTCAGCAGATCCTACCAGCGTGCACCACCACAACTCGAGTTGAAGACAATGGTTATGGCTATAGTTTTCCTTAGTTAGGATTAAAGATAAGTTACAATGATAGAATAGATGATAGAATATTTTCTTTAATTCTTGATATTGTTAATAGACTAAATGTTGTAATTATAGTTCTTGCTTAATAACTGTTTTATTATATGTAATTACTTTGAAAAGAGATGATGGGGGATGTTCTTCTGTATACATGTTTTTATCTTATTGGCTGATGAGTAAAACACTGATTGGCCAAGCAGGAAGATAGGTAGAACTAGGAGACAGGGAGGATTCTGGAAAGTATAGGCAAATAAGATCCCAGGAAGTGATATAGCTGGGCAGAATCAGAATATAATCAGAGACAAACAGGAAATCGCTCTCTTCTCTGTGTAGATGTAGAAAGCAAAGGAGTTGCAGGACCGGCATTTCCTGGTAATCCAAGGCCATGTGGTAATACATAGATTAATTAAAACAGAGCTAGATAAATAAGAAACCCAAAATGATGGACAACAGCTTTATAATGAAAAAAAGGAATACTGCACTTAATTTTCACTAATGTACAGTAACCAAATTATTTTACCAAATAAGCATTGGGAGATATGATGGCATACCTTTGCATTTTGGTGGTTCTGTCCAAATCCCATTTTGACACATCACTTCTTCTTCCCCAAATAGTTCAAAAGGTTTATTACATTCATACCGTACTCTCTCATTGGTTGGATATTTAGCCATGGGTCTTGTTACTATAGTAGCATTTTCCACGTGTGGTGGATCCCCACAGGAAGTATCTAAAGAGCAAAAGAAAGTATCATTGCCTATCGGTTCATCTTGAGTATCCAATCAACACATAAGATTCGAAGTGAATTTCTCAATGGGTGAGATAAAGAAAATGTGGTACATTTATTCTCTCTCTTTCTCTCTCTCTCTCTTTCCCTCTCTCTCTCTCTCTCTCTCTCTCTCACACACACACACACACACACACATACACACACACAAATGAACTGATCAAATTCATAGGTAAATAGATGTAACTAGAAAAAAAATAATTCTGAGTAAGGAAATCCAGACCCAGAAAGACATATATGATATGTATTTACTAAATGGGTACTAGCTGTTAATTCAATGATAGCTAAGCTACAATCCCTAGAAAAACAGAGGTTAGGAGTACAGCAAAATACCAGGGCAGGGAGTGGTCTCCATAGGATGGGGAAATAGTGTATATATTTATTGACAGAGAAATGGAGACAAAAGAACAGAATACAGGGAAGGACAGCTAAAATTAAGCATCATTTGGGGGATATTATAGAAACCTAATAATGTAGACGCTTCCTAAAATACATACACATATGAAGGTAATCTAAATAAAATAAACAAAAACATAGGAGACAGAGCCCCAATGAACAATTCTTTTCATCAAATGAAGCCTCTATTATTGGGATTGGGTTACATCTAATTGAATAGGCGGCCAAAGAGCCCACATGAGGACTTTCAAAACACCCAGTCTATTGACAAGACTATAGGTTTTGTTTTTTAGTTTCACACAATCTGGAGGCAAGGCTACATTTTGAAAAACAACACCTTCACGAGTCACTGAATATAGCAGAGTCAAACAGATGCCTTCATACAGCACTTTCAGCCCTTAATGCTATGGTCTTTCAGTAAAAGAAGGGACTTTGCATGCTAGCAGGTTAGACACATAAGCACCAACCCATGCAAAAACCTTGATCTGTAATGATATTCTGCCTGCAATTTATAATAGGAAAATGAAGACTTGTGAAATTGACTTAAGAATATCTATAATAAGTATATGTTGAATGTGCATCAAGCTACCTTTGCATACCAGCTCTCCAATCCACGTGCGATTGACACATGTCACAATGTTGGACCCATTCATTTGATAAGAAGGTGCACATTTGAATGTCACTTGTTCACCTGACCTATATGAAGCTTTCTTCTCTTCTGTGAGTATGGCATTTTCAAACCTTGGTAAACTGTCACAATCAGTTCCTGAAATAAAAAAAGAATATATAGGGTTTTGCTTTCAGGAAATCATAGAATGTACAATATATAAAACAATAGTTAGGTTCATAGAGACAGTAAGTATTGCAGGTTTCTCATTTGTTTTAGTTACCTTCTTTTGTTCCAAACTTATGAAAATAAATAAGATAGCAATGATACTGGATATAGAATACTGATGGTTATAATTCTTGAGGTATTTTCATTTTACTTTTAGTTTTATTCTCTCATATGAAAGTATGATATATTTCTACTTTTTAAGTTCATCAAAAGTAAGTTAATTTTAATGACTATTTCAAATTTTAAAGCGTATGTAGTTGTAGTAGCATGGCTTCTAAAACCGTCACTGCAGTGATGAGACTCTCCAACAGAACCGGTGTTTTCTAGAAGTCTGTGGATGCTGATAGTTCAGACTACATGAAGTGAAAAATAAACAATTTGGCTCAATGTATCAAACTGTATTTTACCAGTGATGTGTTTGTCTCCTAGCATCCAGTAAAACCTACTGATATGCTAGAATTACAGCTTACTTTCTTATTTTTGCCATATATAGCTTGAAATAGATAATGATTATACAAAGAATGAAAATAAAATTGTACTTATGCAAGCTGGTGGCTGCGACCAAGTTCCTCCTACACATTTCATAAATGCATGTCCAGAAATTCCAAAACCTTCAGAACAGCTGTATGTCACCTCTTCACCATATTGGTAACTATCTAGCTCATGAGACACAATCCCATGATGGATTGAAGGTGGAGGCCCACAGGGAAGTCCTGAAAATAACACAGTGAAGAAGCAGAGTAAAATGATTCCACATTGTGCTAATTCAGAAACTCACTTCTGCTGTCTTGCATCTGTTGATTCAACCCTGATCAAGAATTTGACACTAAGATGTCTGAAAAATCATGAGTGACAAGAGAAATTTTAAAAAGAGGAATAAGAATCTCAGAAACATAGCATTTATGGGGGGAGGAGCTCACAGAGGAGTTTAACACCTGATGACAAATGAACACAGGAAACTACAATGCACATGAGCAGTGAAAGTCAGTAGACTGCGCATGACATTTAAAAGAGAGGTGTAAGAGTAAAAGTAGATTGCAAGTCAATCAGTACAATTAACAACTGCAGGATAGACTGGTTTGTGCAAATAGAAATTTGTGGTAAAACACATCAATGAGTATGTGTGCCAATCTGAACCATTCCTTCTGGTTTTGATGAGTGTATATCATTGGTAAAGACTTGTTCTAGAACCAGAATTGTATTTGCATGCTGCTCTCACCGACGCAATGAGGTGGAGAACTCCACTTTCCCATGTGGCAGGTTACCCCATGATCCTCAGCCATCCTAAAGCCATCATCACAACCATAGCTGAGTGTAGTGCCGTGTTCATAACTTCGGGGCTCAAGTGGGTATCTCGTTCCTTCTGATGATCTTGGTAATATAACAGATCCGTGGTCTATTTCAGGAGGCTTAGAACATGGGATTTTTGCTATATGAAGGTCAGAAATGAAACAATGATGCATAAATAAAACTTTTTTACTGGATAACAGAAACAATCTCCACAGTTTTTATGTTAAGTCCTAGTTCTTAAATACCCCCCATCATTTGAGTTTTCTTCAGTATATAAGGAAAGAATGTTGTAAAATAAGTCATGACTACTGACCAACGCAGCGTGGCAATGACTGCCACATTCCGTCTCTGCACACCATTTCTTCTGTGTCCTGTATTAGGTAATTGTCTTGACAAAGAACAGATACTTTTTCTCCGTCCCCGTATTTCACTGTGGTTCTCAACACTTGAGCATTTGGAATCTGTGGTGGAGGGGGGCAGGATCCTTTCTCTGCTTGCAAAATACATCAGAAACCAGAGACTTGACTCTATATATTATCTTAAATTATTGAAGTAATAATTTTAATTAAATATCAAATTAATTATGATCACATACTGGTTATATATTTTTTTATAATTTTCACCTTGTATAGAAATTTAGTAACTGTCCTTGTGTTCCTTTCAATGGTTCTCATTAGTTTTTTAATGCAACTCTGCATCTGTTTTATAAAACTTATTTGTAAGTTTAATGTTAGCCTTTCTGGTGTTTTAAATAAATTATAAACTGAAATATATTAAATTGAGGTTTCATGGAGATTTCTCTAGACCTGGGTATGTATATCTATCATCTAATATGTTGTATTAGCTTAAAAATTCTTATATAGCTTTCCAATGAATGTAATATTTTCAATTAATTAATATATTAGTGACCTTTCTCAGGCTATGACAAATTACCTGACAAAAGCAACTTTAGAAAGGAAGTATGTAAGGGTTTATAACTTTATCTCATCATGCAGGGAAGTCATGGCAGCCCATATGTGTGTCAGTTGGTCATACTATATCTACAGAGAAACTAATGCTCCCGTTGGGTTTTCTTTTTCTTTTCTTTCATTCCAAGATTTCAGGCCATAAAATGATGCAGCCTACGTTTATAGTGAATCTTCCCACCTCAGTTAACCCAAACTAGGAATGTTCTCTCAGTAATGCTCAGAGTTGTTTTTTTGTAAATGGCTGTCGATTCTGTCAAGTAAACAATAAGTATTAACCGTCACAATTCGATAAACAATTTGTCATTGACTCTTGGTCTATGAGAGTACAGGATATGTTCACAAATAAGTATAAGTATGCTATTTAAAATTTCAACTTCTCTGAACATCCTACTTAACCAGAACTGGTTAGAGATGTGAAAATTGATCCCATGCATCTGTGTGATAATGAGCAGTTAGTACTGGCATTAATACCCTTTTGAAAAGCACTGTCTAAGTTGCTACAAAATCGAGACACCTGAGATTCATCTTTCAGATTAATAACATGACAATGTACTTATTAGTGATTATTAATAATCATGTTTCTATTTCTGCTTAATTAGATTGGAAGGAAGGACTAGATATAAGTGAATATTTGTGCAACAAAAATATTTTTTCACATTCTTTAAAAAAAAAAAACTCACCAGAAGAACAATGATGAAATGTCTTCCCTCATATATGACAGGGAAGCTGAATCTATAAAGCCTCAACAGAATGTCACCTAAATAGGACCTGCATGTTGGTAATATCAGTTGACACACCAGCATAAATAGGGAAAATCTTACAAGGCCCTTCCCCTTTCCCTATATCAGAGGTTCTCAATTTGTGAGACACAATCCCTTAGGGGTCAAATGACCCTTTCATTGGGGTCACTTAAGACCTTCAGAAAACAGAGATAACTGTATCGATATTGCAGTTACAGAGTAGTCATGAAAAAAATTTATGGTATGGGTTCACCGCAACATGGAAAACTGTATTAAATGATCACAGCATTAGGAATGTTGAGAACCCTCCCTAGATGAAGAGTTACATGCAATTAATGGCTATCTAGGGTAGAAGAATCAATCATTTCTAGGGATGGGTGACCAACAAATATGTTATCCAATCTCAAATTCTTAATCCTAATCACATATCTACAGAAAAACAATAAATGAACGTATCAGGCTTAATTTATATATACAAGCATTTTTTGTATATATAAATATATATGTGTGTGTGTGTGTTTGTGTGTGTGTGTGTTTAGAGGTGATCATGAGTTGGACAGGAAGTACAGGGCACAAGAGGTGTTCAAGTGGAATACGGAGAGGTGGAAATGATAAAAATGCAGGATTCACATCAGAAATTCTGAAGAGAAGTTACTGTGTTTTAAGAACTCAAAACTACGACTATCACAGGTGAGAAGAGACTAGAATAGTGACTAGAGGACAACACAAACAAGAGCTTACTTGTACAGGTTGGCTCTGGATCCCATCTTCCATTGATGCAGATTGAGTGTTTCATCTCCCGCTTTCCTCTACATGTGTAACCCACACTAGCATTATGATTAAATTCATACTTATTGGGTTGAATTGTCTCCACATCAGCTGGCTTTGGTGATTTACACTTCTCCAGTTGATCTGTTGCTATGTGAAAACAATTCCAGGAAAAATAATGACAATTACAAGAAGTGAGCTACCTGCTAAGTTAAAATAGCTATACAGTCAATGTACAAATAAAACTATTATTTATACCTACAAATTGTGCCAAATAAAATGATATGGTCAGCATACAAAATGGTCTATAATGTGGGAACTAGAGTTCATGTCTAGTCTTTTACATCTCAGAGACAGTAAGAGTCATGAAGGGATATGGGTATTAGACAACTACAATAGGAGAGAAAATCATTGTTTCAGATGTTTTACATAAGAAATGTCGTGACCAGCTTTGGTCCCATGATTGAAAACTGTCAAATTTTTACATTTATTGCACTTCCCTTATCTTAATTTAGTTCATAATGTTGAAAATATTACAATAAAAACATGAGTGCATAGATTATATGAATGTTTGCTTGTTTGGATTTCCTTTGTTGATAGATGTGTTGTTTTAAAAAAGAATTTCTAAGATATATTGTGTTTTTAACAATTGTTTCAGAGATAGAATTTGTATAAGATATTAGATGCTTGTAGCCACCTTTATAATCCCTTCATAAGAATCTATAAGAAGTTAATAAAACAATACTATGTCATATTAATAAAACTATTTGGTTGTATTATGACTTAAGTAAGATGATATATATATATATATATATATACATATATATATATATATATATATCTTCATATGTTCTGTGTTATAATTTCACACTGAATTGGAGAGACCTTTTTGGTCCTGGATACATTTGTTAATAATTTGAAATGGAAAGTAAAATGTATATGGATAGAGTAAATAAAAGCAACTGATTAGGTGAAGTGCTATAACTTTCTGCTAAAACAATATTTAAAATACTGACCAGAGTAATTAACAAACTCAAGACACCTGAGAGTTAGTCCCTTCCTTAAGGCTGTTTCACTGGAAGACAAAAGTTATAAAGCAAAGTAAAGAAAAACCAATAATCAAAAGCATGGCGACTGTGAGATTGATATTTGTGATGAGAAAGCTATAGATAAGGAGAAGAATAAGTGGAAGGATAAAAATGTGTGTACTGTAAGCTTAACATTGCAGTACACCTGATGATAATCGAGGAGTGCCATAGGAAGGTCACTGTAGGCAGATCAACCTTCAGAACAAAAGCTCAGAAACCTGAACAAAAATAAAACACAATGTTGTAACAGAATGGAGAATTGTTTTCATTCCTGATGAGTCTGACTCTTCTCCCACATGAAATTATTTGTTAAAGAGTTTTAAAATAGCCTGTGTTTAGATTGTAAAGTAGTGAAGTTAACCAGGCATTGGTGGCACACACCTTTAATCACAGCATTCAGGAGGCAGAGACAGGTTAATCTTTGTGAGCTCGAGGCCAGTCTCGTCTACAGAGCTACAGAGCTAGGCTCCAAAGCAATAAAGAGAAACGCTGTCTGATGGGAGTTGTCATTCTGTAAATATGTTTCTCATATTGGTTAATGACTAAAACACGGTTGGCCAATAGGAGAGCAAGATAGGTGGGACTAGGAGACAAGGGGGATTTAGGGAGAGGTAGGAGAGAGTCAACATGTAGGACCAAGAGAGTAGAACTTCGGACCCTCCCTCCGGTAAGATAAGACCATGTGGAAACACTTAGATTCATAGAAATGGGTTAATATTTAAGACAGAGCTAGCCAATAAGAAACACTAGTAACAGGCCAACAGCTTTATATCTAATACAGTGTCTTTGTGTGTTATTTAGGGCTGGCACAGCAATGGGACCAGGCTGGTTTGAAAACTGCTCATAACACCTCTTTCCAATAACAACTCTTTCCAAAAACAAAACAAAACGAACAAAAAAGTAGAGATTTGAAAAAAACTAAGTGTTTGCTTAGCAAAAATGTAATGATTACTCGTAGAACCATCGATTTATATGGCAAACTGTTTTTGAGTTGGTTAGTCTTCTGTGTCTTGAGAACATATCACTAAACAACAAAAGGATAAGTACCCTTTTGAAAGGAGCCCGATATTTCTCTAGCATTAACCAACACTTAAAATTCCAATGAATAGTAGATACTGGGTATCAAGGACCATTCTAAAGGAACACTCAGAAAAATCCCAGTTTCAGAGAAAAGTGAATGTAGGCACCAGATGTTTTTAGCTACTCATTAAAATCTCAGTCACAAGAAGAACAGAGGAGTTATTGCAAAGTAAAATCAACATGGGATAACATTGCCCACCTAACCCCAGATTATGTACTTATTTATTTTTTGTATAGTTCAGTTCTGTAGCCAATGAGAGGACCTATGGCCTGACCCTCATCACACTGACTTCAGCTTGCAACATGTAGAATAGACAGAAGCATAATAAAAAATTCTGGGAGAGAAAAGTTTGTTATAGGAGAGCAGGAAATAGGTATTTTCCACACTTGATTTCTTAACTCTCCATGATATGAAAGGAGAGTACCATACAATAACAGAAATTGTATTTTGTAACATTGTCATATATTCCTGGATATTCACATTTTAGTCTCATGAAAATTTGTAACTAACAACTAGGTTTATCTTAGTGTAAACAACCATTTACATATTATGTTAAAAATTTACATTCTTGTATAGACACACTTTAAATTATAAACAATAAAAGTTTGGATTCCTATTATTTAACACTTGTTTGTCCTAAGAAGATATTCTACTACAAAAACACATATATGTGTAAATATTACTGCAATTCAAATATTACACTTTATGAAGTATCAATTTAAGGCACATAACCTTACCAACACATTGAGGAAGCTGGGTCCACCTTCCACCAATGCATGACACTGACCCATGTCCAATCATTGTGAAGTTTTCCATGCAGGTCAACTCTACAGACTCTCCATGGTCATAGGGAGGGAAAGAATACTGGCCATATCCATGCTCAAGTTCAGGAATATCTCCACATGTTCTTTTCTCCTCTATAGATAGACATTTCATAAAAGTGTGTTCATGGTTAAGGCATCACATGATACAAAACAGTGTTTAAGTACTGATGCTTTAATTACCAACACATATTGGCAAGGTTGTCCAATTTCCATCAACACACTGGACTCTATTGGGTCCCTTCAGTAGAAATCTAGGCTTGCAATCATATTCCACCACGTCACCATGGTTGTATTCTTTTTTCTTTCTCCTCTTAACTTCCCCATTGAGGAGTTCAGGAGGCTGATCACATGATCGCACTTGACCTATTGTAGAAGATTGTGTAAATATGAATGAAAATGTTCATCTTCCTGACTAAAAATGTAGTTAATGAAAAATATTTTTTAATGAAAAACTCTTTTAAGAATTTATTCCCTATATCACTTTTATAACTCTTTATTAAGTAAACATTATTTAGACTAGACTCACATTTCACAGTTGTAACATGTTTATTAAAATACCATCAAAAGCATATTGAAAGTGGTACAATGCTTACTAAACTCAATACCTTGAAAATACAAGAAAACAAGAGAGCAATTGTAGGTATGTCAATTATAATGATTTTCACACTAAACATACAATTATCAATCTGTAAAATGTATTAGCACTGTAGAAAGCATCTGACTAATGTGTTTTAATGTTTCAATAAATGCTACTGAACTCATCAAAATCTGCTTTCATACTGTTTGGACATACTCTAGGCAATGAGATGGAAGGCTTACCCTATTAAAAAAAAGTTGGTATTAATAGGAATCTAGACAAATTGAAAGAAATCTTTGTCACTGTATCAGTTGTCTGCCCATATAAACACAGTGATACACATTTTAAGAAGCAAGTTAGCCTGGGATTAACCTTGTAAATAAGTGAGTGTGTGTTAGCTACACACCACACAGCTTATTCATGGCTGTCCATGTATATGCTTAAGATTGTAGACACAATGGAAGACTGGGGGATAGTAAGAGAAGGAAAGTAAACTTCTGATCACCATTCATCAAATTTAGAGCAGATACTGACCTTTACATGTTGGAAAACCTGGGGACCATCCAAAGTGGTAGCATTGTGCTGAATCTGGCCCAACTCTGTGTCCTGGTCGGCAAGAAAATCTCAACAAATCTCCAACTTTATATTTTTCTTTCTTGGGATTGACAAATAAGTTCTCCCCTAGTAATGGAATGCTGCATTCTCTTTCTTGAAAAGTAAGACAATTAGAGAATACATTTAATCATTGAGAAGTAATTTTATGTTTGTCATGTACAGTCACAAGGAAGTATCAGTAGCCACCTTCCTAATGAAAAATTCTGCCTATTGCATTAGGTAAAATCCCTAAATTCACATGGAAGTCTGAAAAAAGGAATGTTGGTGCTATATAATATAATAGCTATCTATGACTCTGAATTGTGGCAGAGATGTATTAATGTTAAATTCTAAAGTACTATGTACTTTCAGTATGAAATTTTTCTTTCATATATGAAATTAATGCTATACAGTATGTACATGACATCCATAGATACACTCATGTACTCAATGTATACACATAGTGACAAAGGCAATAAAAATATACAACAGTAGGCAACTAATATTCAACTGGTCAACCCACCAGATGAATAACTCTCTGATAGGGAACCCTGTAGGCAAAGACTGTGGGGTTACTGGCTGTGGATATTGCTTGTTTCTGTCTATAATTTTCTTATGTGGTGCCACAATTCCCCCCTGGTAAGAACAGCTGTGTTTTTGTTTTTGTTTTTCCATAATCCATTGTCAGTGTGTTTTATACTTTTTGGGTACATTTATTTCTGTGGATGGTCAGGACGATTTCTGCTTAAACTGTATATTTTTCATGAGTAGATATAATACTAGGTTATTTTTCATAGCTCAGGCTGAAACAATACTCTCAGCCACAAAGACAGCTTTTTACACCTTTAGACGATTGAAGACCTCAGAGCAAATTCAGAGTAGATCGGTTGACCCTGCAAATGAATGCATAGCAATAATTGTGGTGCCCAATGTGGGGTTCAAACCCATGAGCCTAGGATAAAGATTCTCATGCTCTTAATTAAACAAAATTTATTGCGCCTGGAAATGCAGGATAAATTAATGTAACTAAATAATAAAATCAAATATGATCATCTTTAGCCTTCAAAATTGTCCTTTTGCTTACTTTACATTAAATCATAAGGAAAATTCTAGTAAGTTCACTGTTTAACAAATAAATATTTTTGATTTGAAAAGAAAACTGCCCAGAGAAATTAGTACTCACCATAGCATAAGGGTTTGTCAGACCATCCATCATGATTACATGTTATGGAGCCCTTGGTATCTTTATGTATGTTTTCATATCCAATATGGCATTCATAGTCTAATTTATCGTTGAGTTTAAACCATGTGCCATTATTTTCAGTTCCAGCATTCTCAAATACAGGCCTGTCACAAGACTCTAATACAAGATAAATAAAAGATTTTGTTTTTAATGTGTCAATGTACAATCTGAGCAATTCCCATGAAAACAAATCCGGTCACAGGTAAATATATGACAACAATTAAATACTGTAAAAAACACCCTTAGAAGAACAACAGTAAATCATTTTCCTAAAATAGTTATTAGAGACAAATACACTCCTATTAGCATTTAACATCTCAGTTGAGTTTTATAAAATTTTATTTTAAAAATAATTTCTTGGCTCATTTTTTTCTTGTGTTTATCTCATACTGTAAATAAATAGATAAGTGCAGATGTATTTTGTTTTAGGGAAGTATACTAGTATTTTGTGAGTTAAAGTCTCCTATTTAGTAGTTTATATGCAACATAGAAATTTTAAAAATTGATTAATTAAATTTAAAACAGATGCATTTATTGTATTCTATCAAAGTTTTTTTTTTCTTTCACAATGAGAAAAGCCAAAAAGGCTTCAATAAATGGGAATATTACATGAATAACCTAAGTCATCTTATCATTTAAGATATGTTGAATAGTTCTTGCAAAATAGCACTGGCTATCTTTCTAATAAGGAAATCTAGCTGAACTATCTATAATTAAAAAAACCTTTGTTATCTGTATGTCCTAAAACATCAAAATTTGCTGCTACCTGTAACATTTATTTCTTTCCAATATCAAAACATTTGGGAATAATCTCTAGGAAGGGGACCTTTTGAAATGGACCTTTGATGTGAGATGTCATTCTGTAAATATGTTTCTTTATTGGTTAATGAATAAAGCACTGTTGGCCTATAGAAAAGCAAGACAGGCGGGACTAGGCGGGACAAGGAGGATTCTGGGAGATGTAGTAGAGAGGAGTCAAGATTTAGGCCCTGAGAGAAGAGATCCAGACCCTTTCTCCAGTAAGATAAGACCACGTGGAAACACTTAGATTGATAGAAATGGATTAATATTTAATACAGAGCAAGCCAATAAGAAGCTCTTGCCATTGGCCAACAGCTTTGTAACTAATAGAGTGTCTATGTGTTATTTTGGGACTGATGTGGCTATGGGACCAGGCTGGTGGGTCAATGCTCATAACAGACCTTAACTGATAGTGTCAAATACATATTATAAGGTTTTCACATATTCTGAGATTTAAAACATGGTCATGCATCTTCACCTAAAACTTTATATCTAGGAAAAAAGGCTTTGATATGCAAGGCAATACATCTTTTAAAACCACTAAATTAAAAGTATACAGTATTTAAAAGCATTGGAAAGGGAAAGGCAATAGAGCTGATATACCACAATGCAAGAATGAGTCCAAAAGTAAAAATAAATAGTGAGATATTGTTATTGATATTTAAAAATCATTTTTCATATGAAATCATATTGGCCACCTTGAAAAGGGGAATAAAGCTAAATCCTTATACATCATTAGTATAATGGCAGCAATATAACGAAATTACTCACTGATGCACGAGGGTTGAGACGACCATCCGCTTTGGAGGCAGGTAATTGTTCCTGATGTTTCTCCATTCGGTGTTACATATCCCTCTTTGCACTTATATTGTGTTTTTCTATTTAGATCATATGTACGATCGTATTCAGAAAGAAACCCATTCTCAATATCTATATCTGACTTTAAACATCTCTCTAAAAGGGAAAAGAGTACAAAAAAAAAAGATGATTTAGTTAAGTGTCTACAATACAAAATATGTTTAAAATTTTTACATTCTTTACTGCCAGGTCTTGGGGAACACTGCAGAGGTAAAGAGGTGGTAAGGATAAAAGAGTCAGGAAAGGTACATGACTACTAGGAAGCAGTGTTTTTCCAGACACAGCAAGGAAGATGGCACACGTGAATTCTGAGAGAGGTTGTGGGAACATGCACAGAGCCTGCACAAGTGCAAGCAAGACAAGTTCCACCATGGAGAGTGGGGTGAGTGGGCACAAGAGTCCCACCATTAAGGGCAGCAAAAATCGATTTTCATTTATGAGCATATCCCTGGTAAATCAGCCACTCTCCAGTGGTAACATCACACATGCAAGAATACAGAAACAGCATAAATTGTATTCCATGGTTGTTTTAAGAAGAAGAAAGGGACTGGAGAGATGGCTCAGTGGTTAAGAGCACTGGCTGCTCTCCCAGGGGTCCTGAGTTCAATTCCCAGCTCCCACCTGGTGGCTCATAAGCATCTGTAATGAGATCTGGTGTCCTCTTCTGGCCCACAGGCACACATGCAGATAGAGCACTAGAGGAACCAGTATTTACCAAGCACACAATGTTCCCTATGGAAGCAGACTATTTCACCCTAGATAAATGCCCCAAATGATGTGTCAGACTTTGATGATCCCTCATGGGAGGCCTCACTCTCCCTGGGGAGCGGGTGGGGAGTTGGATCTGGGATTGAAGAGGGGGTATCAGAGAACGGGAGGGAGAGGAAACTGATTGATATGTAAAACAAGATTGTTTTAATTTGCATGAAATTTTATTTTAAATAAGTAAATAAATATTGAGGAGGAAGAAAAGAAGAAAAGAGAGCACAGAATTGGGTGGGTAGTACCAGGGACACACACCAGAGAATAGTTTCGGAAAGATGAATATAATAAAACGTACTATATGAAATTTTCAAAAACTATAAAAAGAACATTCTCCAAAAATTCAAACTATTTTAAATGTCCTATATAAGCAAAAATAATTCAAAAATATTTACTTGGCCCTCATCGAGTGTCAAAATACAGTTACTAGAAGTAACTACTAGAAACTTGTAAAATGAGTCATGTCATACGAGAAAAATTGTCACATATTTGATAAAGGAATCATATTCTAGATGTGTAATAGGTTATAAAATAAATTATAAAGAAAGCATGCAATTAAAATGGGATAATCTTAGGTGACTACTATTATTAGCCCCCTAAGAAGAAAAAAAATTAAAGAACAATAATACACTCCTCTGATGAAATGTTCAGAATATAAAATCTCACTCTGCAGAAATGAAGAGGGGTAGAAGCTTGCTCATTGCTGTTATGGATGCAAAATGCCCCAAACTTCCTGAAAACCCCCATGCCAGATTCTTACAGACCAGATCATGCACATGCCAAAGGACTCATAAGTTTCACTTTTAGATATTTTTCCTAAGAAATACATTATAAATTTTAATTCAATGACTTACCTTCAAATCTTCATAAATAGTGCAAAATTTGCAAAGATCTAAAATAGCCAAAATGTTCCTTTAAATGGTAATAGACAGCTTAGACATTATATGTCTATATAAAGTTATCTGTCCACAAAAAAAGGCAGTTACTATACAAGTCACAGCATAGAAGGATGACACAGATATTCTGCTGAAAGATTATGGCATTAAGTTTGAAAACATGGTGCGCAAGTCTATTGACATGAAGAGGTAGAAATACAACTCCACGGTCACAAAAAGAAAAGGTATTAGCTGCAGTGGTGGGTAGAATAGCAAGGGAACAAGAGAAATCCCTCGTAGGTTGAGGCTAGTTCGAGCTTGATGGGGTTGTGATAGCATAAGCACAACTATTTGTCAGTGTCACTGGCCTGAAGTCTAAACATACTCAAACTATTCATGGATAGAAATTATTTTCCACACATGTGTCTTTTGAAAATGGCATAAAACTGTCAGTTGTTTTAAAATCTTCGTGAGTTACTTGGAGAAAGAAAGCCAAGACAATTCACCTAGAAAGCCCCCACTTTTTTTTTTAATTAGAAAGGTGCAGAAATATGAAAAAAAAAAAAACCAGTGTGTTCATTTAGATCAGCACTATTAACAAAGGCTTTAGAAAGAATGTATAAAATTGAAAATATGAACAAAACCAGCAAGGTGGAAAGGCTATCAAATAAGAAACCAGTACAAATTTTAAGCAGATGACTAATAAAATTATACAAAATGTTAAATCACGGAAAATAAAATTTCGTAGAGATTGAATACATAATAAACAGTATGAAAAAAAAACAAAGCTAACAAAAGCTTCTCATCAGCAAAATGGCACAATAAAAGGCAGCTGACAAGCATTCAAAAACAAATTAAACTTTTAAATATATATTGCATTCATAAATATGAAGACTCAATAGATTATGTAATAAATTATTTCAAAATTGTTCTGAAAATTCAAGATAATAATATTATTCAAATCGAAGTACAGTCATTTAAAAGAATTTGGGAATCTATATTTAAAAATAATACATATAACTCAGACTGGTTTTTAGAATTCTTAATGTTTCAGCAATTAATTACAAATTTATGAATTAAAAAACTACACTTGAAGTCGGGAAGTGGTGGCACACGCCTTTAGTCCCAGCACTCAGGAGGCAGAGTCAGGTGAACCTCTGTGAGTTCAAGACCAGCCTGGTCTACAATAGCCAGTTCCAGGACAGGCTCCAAAGCTACACAGAGAAACCATGTCTTAAACAAACAAACAAACAAACAAACAAACAAACTGCACTTGAAATATTAAAATTAATGACTGCAAATTGACTTAGAATTATATTTTTAAAACCCAAATGATAATTAAAGGAATTCAATCAGCACTATTATGTTTACCATTTTATAGACATTTATTTTGAAAATAAAGAGTGACATCACATAGTCATTCAAAAGAACATAGAACATGAAGTAACCACCATCACAAACATATGATAGCACAAAGATTGGAGAAAAACATGAAAATTGGACAGCACACAATATCTCACAATTTCATTTCCAGTTACACATCACAAAGGATACAGAGACAAAGGATAGCAGAACTTCAAAATGTCATGTTACTACATGAATATGTGAATGATGTGCCTAGCTATTATCATATTTGTTCAATTTTCAGCTATACTTTTATAATTGTTATGAATCAAATGACAAAGCAGTTTCAAAGCTACTATGAATTACACCAAAGTTCACTAGTGTTGTGCTGTATTATGGACTGATGTCTGTTAGGCATGTTTACTTTGCTATATACTTACCAAGAATCCTCAGTATTCAATTATATACACTTTAAAAGAAGCATTTTGCCACAGTTTATATAGATGGAATGGGAAGTCAAGAGCATCTTGTGATCTCGAGCTGCTTACTTACTGACACGGATGCATTTGGGTTGAGGAGACCAGCCATTCTCTGTACATGTAATTGTGTCCTGACCATTTGGAAGACCGTAGCCAGGGTAACACTGGATTCTTACAGACTGGTCCTGTACATAGCTGGCTTTCCGTTCTAAAAGTGCACCATGGTCCACATAAGGGAAACTACATACCCCTAAGGATCATAAATATATCGATTAAAAACCCAACATTCATTTATTAAAAAAACTGAACTAAAATTTGTCTCACAATAGTTAAATGAGCACATGTGTGGCATTCAAAGATAAAACCAATTCCAAATGTTTTAAAAAGTACCATTTATCTTTAGCTTTATAAATGAAATGTTCAAGTGATAAAGACATTCTCATAGTCCCTATTTTTCATGTTCATTTCATGAAAAGCCACTCAAAAGGACAGTAACTAGTCCTTTTGCTCAGAAACTCTTCTGCTGACCTTACTTTTGCCATGAGAAGCTTAACTGTAATTATGTATGTGCTCCTCTCTTTCCTTTCTTTGGCAGAGTAAAGCATGATTTAATGTAGACGTTGACTTACTGAGGCACGGGACTGCAGGCTCCCACCCTTGTGTAGTGCAGCGAATGTAGTCCCAGTATGATCCTGAAGGAGTCACATATCCACTGTTGCAGAAATAGCTGAAATACTTTCCTATAGCTGCTGGGAAGTAGGGTCTGTATCTCTCTTCATAATACAGACCTCCAGTTTTTATTTGTGGAAAATCACATGGTTTCACTTGAAATAAAAAACAAACAAACAAACAAATAAAACAAAACAGAAAAACACACCTATCAGAAATAAACCACTTGATTAATGAATTACTTTCTATTAATTCTAGATAGGGAGAAAGGAATATGGATAAAAATAGGCAAAAACTTTAAAGAATAAAAGAAGTATACCAGAAATAAAATACTCTCGACTCAACTGGCACTGTGTGTGTGTGTGTGCTTGTGCGTGTGTGTGTGTGTCTGTGTGTGTGTGTGGGCAGGTTAAGAGGCCCCTAAAGTCTTTCATAGCAATTCCCTTCAATTAAGGTAACATAACTTCCTCTTTCATGTGCAGGTGTTGGACTCAGAATAGGAAGAACTGTCAGGCCATAAACATTTGTGAAGCACTAATAGATGGGTTGTGGGCCCCTGATATCTCTCTGATTGGTAACTCTGGAGCAAGTTAGCAGTCCTCAAGCAATCCATGCAATGGCTTATTTGTAAGAAACTAAGGCCTTTTGTCAAAGCCTTGTGAGTATGACATGTTGGACAGAGGACCTACAGCCCAGCCAAGGCTCCTGACGACTGACAGCCACAGCCTTCTCTGAGAGCGCCACACTGACTCAGAGCCAGTAGGCAAGTCATCCTCACATCTGGACCACAGAAATGGGGAGAAGATATTCACTTTTTAGAAAGATTTTGATGGCAAATAAATAACTAAAATTAAGTCTTAAATGTCATTCTTTTTCCAATAGTTTGCTAAGAAACTTTGAAAATGTTTCTTAATTTGAAAAATGTACATGTGCACATATAGATTTGTGTAGCAGTAAATTATGAATTTAAGTTTCCTATAATTTGGTTTTACTGTTACTTAAAATCTTAAATTTTAATATTACTTAAGGGGTAAATGTTATTTTGAAAGAAAATCTAGGTAAACTGCCTGCCGATCTTCTTTCTGTTCCCCCAGATCCAAACCCCTCATTCCCAGGTATGTAGCAGAACACCTATGGCCACCATTTCTGCCCCCTGCTTCCTTTCCTTGCAGCTCACACAGGTTTCCCCTTCTAATTTCCTCCTCTCACTCATTGCTTTGTTCTAGTCCCCACCCTGCTAACTCTGGCCAGGACAACAAGTAGGCTGAAGCCAGACCCAAAACTCTCCTGCTGCAGAGAATCAATACTCCAGTCTCATCCCCAGCTCTGGAGCAGGAGAATTGTTGCCCTCTCCCTTTCCTCCCCAACCCCATCCATTCCCAGTAGATCACTATGCTCTTCTCTCCCAATTTTCCCTCCCCCAAACTCACCCCAATGTCCAAGCCTCCAATACCAGTAGGCACTCACTTGGAACACACCAGCTGAGCAGGACAGGGAAACAGGTAATCTGTCTGAAGACCTTCACCATTCCCTCCTTACCCCCAAACAAACCCTCCAGTCTCCTCCTTTGCACTGCAACAAAATACTGCAGCCTTCCTTCTCCCCGCCCCATCCACGTTTCCTGTGGATCCTACAGACCATCCCCTGATGGGAGATGTCATTCTGTATATGTTTCTCATACTGGTTAATAATAAAACACTGTTGGCCAATAGGAAAGGAAGATAGGAGGGACTAGGAGACAAGGAGGAAATAGGAAGTAGTAAGGAGGAGTCAAGATGGAGAGTCAGGAGTAAGAGAAATACATAGATCAGCAGAAATGGGTTAATAATTAAGGCAGAGCTAGCCGATAAGAAACAAGTAACTGGGCCAACAGCATTGTATCAAATACAGAGTCTCTGTGTGTTAATTGGGGCTGGCGCGGCAGCAGGACAAGTCCAGGCAGCGGCAGGCAGAAAACCCGTACGCGTTACAATCCCCTCCTAACCTCTTCTCCCTACTCTTTGCTTTATCTCAGCCCTCAACCCCGTAGGCACCTTCTGCTATCCCACAGGCCTTGCTTTCCGGAAAACAAGGAAGGCTTCCTGAAGATTTCCTACAGATCTGTTCCACCAGATATAATCCCCCAGTCTCAACACCATCTGTGCTGCAGAACACTTGCGGTAGCCTTCGGTGGATTCCACAGATCATCCCCTTCTTGTCTTCTTCCCCACACTCTTTGCTCAGTGCAAGCTACCAACCCCAGAAGGCAGCCCCCAATCCCAGAAGGCACCTCTCTGCTAAGCCAAGTCCCCATCCATACCAGCTGAGCAAGCCAGGAAAATAAGCAAATCACAGCCATCACACTCTGCAAAACTCCTTTGAAGAAACAGAAACCAAGGAACAAAATACCCACCCAATAAATATAAATACAGAAATTAGCACCTAGACCTTTAATCATCTCCAAACCAGATTCTTAGATGCAAATGTAAAAATACAATTAACACTAGGGATAGGTCCTGTTACACTTTCACTGTCTCCAAATAGACTACGGTACAAAACTGTCCCCATCTGCAGAGAGTCTGTGAGCTCCTGCAACTGTCTATATTGGGTGAGATGCCTTGCACATAATGTGGGGGGTGGGTTGGAGAGGCGACGCTTGGTCCTACCATAACTAAATGTGCCAAGCTTTGTGATCTTACCCCTTCTAAATAATGCGTTTTGGGGAGGCAGCGAGGAGGGGAGGGAGGGGAAACTATATTTGGTATGTAAAATGTTTTAAAAACTTAATAAAAACATACAATTAACAGTCAGGGCAGTAAGTCTCCATTACAGTGAAACTATCTTACCATTGGAAGCCTTGGCTTCAACACAGCTGAAGCACAAGAAACAGACCTTAAAACCACCTGTATGTTCGTATCCCCACATGGTCTCGACCCCTTTGCTCATCACTCCTCCCTCTCTACAACTGGGTTCCAGGAGTTCAGCTCAGTGCTTAGCAGTGGGTGTCTGCTTCTGTTTCCATCAGCTACTGGATTAAGGCTCTAGGATGGCATATAATGTAGTTATCAATCTCATTATTGGGGAAGGGCATTTAAGGTAGCCTCTCCACTATTGCTTAGATTCCTTGTTGGGGTCATCATTGTGGATCTCTGGACATTTCTCTAGTGCCAGGTTTCTCATTAATCCCATAATGGCTCCCTCTATTAAGTTATCTCTGTCCTTTCCCCAACTCAACCTTCCTGATCCCTCACGCTCTCCTCCTCACTCCCCTCCTCCCCTCCTCTATCTCCCACCCCCTCCCCCTGTGCTCCTAGTTTACTCAGGACCTCTTGTCCCTCTATCCTTCTTGGGGGTCCATGTATGTCTCTCTTAGGGTCCTTCTTACTTCCTAGCTTCTGTGGGGTTGTGAATTGTAGGTTGCTCATCCTTTGCTCTATCTAATATCCACTTATGAATCAGTGCATCCCATGTTTGTCTTTCTGTGTATGGATTAAGTCACTCAAGATGGTTTCTTCTAGTTTCTAGACTGGAAGGTAAGGGACCTGCATAAGACCAAACATGGGTGTCAGTTGGGGGCTTGGGCAGTCTATCGGGCTGCTAGTAGTGGAACCTGTATTTATCCTTAGTGCATGAACTGGCTTTTTGGAGCCCATTCTCTATGGGGGGATACTCTCTCAGCCTAGATACAAGGAGGAGGACCTAGGTCCTGCCCCAAATGATTGTGACAGATTTTGGTGATCCCCCATGGGAGGCCTCGCCCTCTCTGAGGAGTGGAGAGAGAGAGAGGGGGGATGGGAGAGAGGGAACTAGGATTGGTATGTAAAATAATGTTGTTTTTAATTTAAATTGAAAATTAATTTAAAAACACCTGCATGAAGATAATATAGGGCCTTAAAAAGGAGATTGTTAAATACCTTAATGAAATCCAGGAAAACAGAAACAATTACAGGAAATGAATAAATCCCTTAAGATATCTAAGAAAATACAAACAAACTGTGGAAGGAAACAAAACTGCTCAAGATCTGAAAATGGAAATAGAATAAAAAAGAATCTACAAGTGGATGGAATTCTGGAAATAAAAGATTTAGAAATTTGAACAGGAGTTGTGAAGAAAAGCTTCACCATCAGAGTACAAACCATGTAAAGGAGAATTTCAGGTGTTGAAGATATAATTAAAAAAAAAAATGAAATTATCAGTCAAAGAAAATGTTAAAACTAAAATTTCCTGACACAAAACATCCAAGAAATCTGGGACACTATGAACAGACCAAACCTAACATGTGAGGAAGGAGAAAAATCTCAGCTCAAAGGCCTAGAAAATATCTTCAACAAACCCTCAGAAGAAAATTTTTTCAGACAGAAAGGAGATGCCCATATAATGTACAATTAGCATACAGAACACCAAATAGACCGGACTGGAAAAGAACGTCCTCCTGGCAAATAATAATCAAAACACTTAATATACATAACAAAGAAAATAATAAAATCTACTAGGGGAAAAGACCAGGCAATTACATAGAAGGGGAGTTAGTAAGGGGATATTCGCTACTTATCTCCATTTGCCCACGTTTAAAGGCATAATTCCATGGTGATGAGCTTTCAAGATGTGAAAAAAAAAGCTTACAACTACATCTTGGAGCAGGGATCCACCCAGTGCTTGTACAGGTTACAACAGTTTCTCGGGTTGCGGGATGGAAGCCAGATGTACAAGTGTATCTGATGTCATCACCAGCTCTGTGTTTAATCCTGTGAGGTGTGTAGACTCCGTTTGGAATATAAGGAGGTTTGCATGTCATTTCTGGAAAGAAACCCATACAATCAAAACTGTTTAATTCTCACTAATGCTAATGATATGAACATTAAGTGGCGGATGCTTGAGCTTATAAACGTAAAAATGTCATTGAAATGATCACATCTTCATATGCCTGAAATATTAGTCAGACTTCCTTTCTCTCCTCCTCTTGTCTTTGTCCCTCTCTGGTAATAATTCTTCTCTCTTAAAGCCATTACATGTAGTGCTCCATGCTCCATCACCAGTGATAATCTTATCATATATAACTTCAGCAACGTTTACCATTTTCTGTTCCTTTGATTACCGCTGCTGGCCTCAGACTCTTGCTAGTCCTGTTTATTGATACTCACAAGCTGCTTCTAAACACTTTTGAAGATTTCTTACCCTTTCCTCTTTGAAGTAAATGTATCTTCTGGCTTACATGGAACAACTTGCTAAATTTGGAAGCTGTATCTTTCATTTTATGGGGAAAAAATAATTTATTTTTTTTCCTCCCTTAAAAATCAGTAATTTGGGCATAGAACAAGTTCACACATGTACATAATGAATTCTACTTATGCTTTTCCCAATACTGCCCATAAGTAACTCGTTCCACCCATTTTGTCCTGAGTATTTTCCAAATCATGACTTTTGGGTTTGTTTGTTTGTTGACACATTGAGTTTTGATATTCTCATTTCTATGGCTGCAGTAGGAAAGGATACAAAAAAGACGTTGTGATGGTCAACTAATTCCAACAACTCATAGGGGAGCAGAGGCCCTTGTTGCTTACACCGAGAGTGAGCATACAGAGAAAAAGAACCACGTACACTATTACTTCTCATTCAGATGCATTTTCTTACAGTGATGGTAGAAGACAGCAAAGGACCTGGGCAGCCTAGTCTGTAAAAGGCTAGTTAAATGTTCTCCATGAGAACTACTTAGCACAAAAAATAGACAGAAGTTCTCTCAAGTCTTTGTCCGAGTTCAAGTGCCTTCTGCCTCTTCAAAACTCAAATCCTTAAACATTCTGAGAAGTTGTTCTAAACCCCCTGTTCTGGCTATGATCAGCTATATGTATTATATTATAATATTAATTATATTATCTTGTTTGACTTTTGCTCTGTCATGGGTTCCAACCTTTGTAAATTTAGCTGTGACTAAGAGTGTTTTCAACTATATGCTGTCAGGGAGATTAAAGTTCCTTGGTTTGGACATAATCATATACAAACATAGGTAAGCTTTTTCTCTGCTTCAAGAAGACAAAAGCAATCATTAGAACATATCAGTCAGGGTACACAACGTTCTTCTTAAGAGCAAGACAAAGACAGTATAAAATACTTTGTGAATTGTACTTTGATGTTTTAAGTGGACAAATGATCTATTTAGGAGGGCACCTGGAATGAAACATATGAACGAGGTTAAATGTCAGAGGACTACTTCAGACACTGCTTCTATGATTAGAAACTATAAACTCCCTGAAAATAATGGTTGAACTCAACGCCATCAGCTACACACAGATCTGTGTGAAGATGTGTCGCTGTGATTGGTTTAATAAAGCGCTGAATGGCCATTAACTAGGCAGGAAGAGGTTAGATAGAACTTCTGGGGACAGAGAGGAGTTGGAGAGGAAGAAAGAAGGAGTTGTCAGCAGAGGCAGAGGAAACAGATATAAAAAAAAGGAGAGGTAGAAACCAGGATTCCCACAGCAACACATAGATGAATAGAAATGGGTTGATTTAAGTTAGAAGAGCTAATGGGACAAGCCTATGCCACAGGCTGAACTTTCATAAATAATAATGAGTTTCTGTGCCGTGTGTGTGTGTGTGTGTGTGTGTGTGTGTGTGCATGTGTGCATGCATGTATGCATGCGTGTCTGTGCGTGTGTGCATGCGTGTGTGTACGTGTGTGTGTATGTGTGTGTGTACGTGCACGCGTACTCACTCACACGTGCCGGCAGACCAAAGAAAAGCCTGACTAATCATTCTTTTAACTCACTGGTCAATTTCTTAAATAATAAAAGACTTATAAAATATCGGTAACTTCACCTTCACAGGAGGGCTGAGGGCTCCATCCAGAAGCTGTGCAGAGGGCATCCCCTCTTTCTTTGAACTCAAAACCTCGGTTGCATTTATATTGATACCTTTCATTCTCCTTGTAAACTGGCTTCTTAGATATAGCTTGTCCATTTTTAACTTCTGGTGGTGTGCAGGAAATTTCTAAATACAAGAGAGTAATTGTATAATGTCTGCTGCGAAAGGAAATGTGCAGGGCTTTGCTCACATTAGGTCAATCAGCCAAAATTGCTTTGACCTGACTGTTTTCTTAACCAAGTATCAAATTTGAAAAAAGTTGAGAATACATTGCTAATTATAGTTAACATTATTGTAAATTAGCCTGTTGAAATAAATGGCAGCCTATAACGGTCCTCATATTCTTGTGGAAATGAAAACAGATACAGGATTGTGGGTTAATATTTTCATTGAACAGTCTACAAAGTAACACCTCTTCTGATTATTGACAGTAATTTTAACACACTACTCGTAAAATACACTACTCTGGGACTGTGGCACTGGCAGCTGGCCTCTCTCTCAAAGCCTCTCCTCCCATCTTTTTATTTTATTGTTCCTTGTTGATAAATAAACTCTGAATAGTCACTTTGAAATGTTTCATTCTTTCCCAAATCAAGCTGAGTAATTTAAGACGAGTGTAGACAGCAACTGGCCTATGCCTATCCTCTTACTGATTTATCACCTCTGTTCAACTGTGGGATAGCAACTCTCTAAGAGAAAACATTCCGTCTTGGAGGAAAGCTCCTAAAAAAATAGCGCACATGTGCTAAAGTACTGGTTCTCAACCTTCCTAATGCTGCAAACGTTTAACACAATTCCTCATGTTATGGTGACCTCCAACCATAAAATTACTTTTATTGCTACTTCATAACTGTGATTTTGCTACCATCACGAATCATAATATAAATGCAATGTAAATATCTGATGTGCAGATCATCTTAAGTGACTCCTGTGAAAGGGTTTTTCGACCCCCAAACAGATCATGGCCCACAGGTTGGGAACCACTGCTCTAAATAATAATAAAAATACCCCATCCTCCAGGGAATCTCATTAAGCTCAGGAAACAAACAACTGAGATGCTTCAGGGAGTCCTTTAAATTGATCATACTGATTAGGCTCCTTCTTCCTGAAGGATACACAAGCAGTGACTGTTGCAAAACTCTGTCAGCTGAGTTTCCTAGAAGATGCTCAGACCTCTGTGCACTGTGCTCCAGCTTTACAGCTTTTCTGAGCCTTCACCCATGCTGGAGTGAATGGGCCTTCGATGATGAGTAATGCGCCACACTGAATGTACATATCGGTATATCATTATTTTCATAAAGAATCGGTGTTGTTAGAAAGACTAGTTCACACCAAATGGTCAATCCTGAGGGGATGGAATGATGTAGTTACAATCCCAAAAATTAAAGAAAAAATAATGGCCTCCTTTAGTGTAAGGTAGACATGCTAAAAATGGTGAAAATATTGGAGATGTTAGATAATATTCAAAAACAAGTATAGTACAGGAATGGTGCCATGTGCATATAATCTCAGCACTCATGAGGCAGGTTCAGGAAGATTGTTGTAAGATGGAAGCTATTGTAGCCAGCCATGGCTACATTGTGAGAGGCTGTCTTAAAAACAAAGAAAACAAACAAACAAAAAACAAAATCAAATACAAAACACAACAAGGGAAAAAAAACAAAAAAAAAAAAAAAGAAGAAAAGAAAGAAGCAAAAATCAAAGAAATATTGATTCCCAATTTATCATATCGCTTTGCTATAAGTCAAATGTTTACTTAGTGGATTCAGGTCAGGTGAATAAAACTGACAGTACACTCGCAATACAAATAGGTGTTTGTGTTTGTGTGTGTGTGTATGATGTATCACTTCCTAACAACATCAATCAAAATTAGAAGGTGTTAAAAATTAAACCTGGCAACAAATATATATATATATATATATATATATATATATATATATATATATTCCTTCCAAACAATATTGATTAAAATTAGAATGTCATCATGAAGCATGATTGGAAACACAGAGTGAACCTTTAGCTTCCAAAAATCTTTGTAAAACTCTGGAAGTCAATTTCATTATAACACACAGAAGAAAGGCTGAGGTGACGGTGAATATTAACACCAGGCAGTAACTTTTGTTTACATCTGAACCATTAAAGTCACAGTAATTATTGGCATCCAAGGTATTTCATCTATAAGAGGGCATGACGGATATCGTTGTCCTGAAGGTAAAATAAAAGGGATCATGCCACAAAAAAAAAAAAAAAAAAGGCCTTCAATCAATTACAGGGAAACAGTTATGCTTAATAAGGATTAGGGTGATGCAACTATGTTTTAATTAAAAATGTACTTTAAAAACATGTATATGTCTCATAAGAATCTCCAAAACCATTCAAATACCGAGCACACGCACATGTGCGTCTTACCCACACATCTTGGCTTCTCATGGCTCCAAAGGCCATTTTCTGAGCAGTGGATTTCTTTCTGTCCTTCAACCTTGAAGCCCGCATTGCAGGCAAAGCGCACCACTTGTCCAAAATAATATTCCTGGTCTGGTTCTGCCGCGCTGCTTACAATTCTTCCATTCTCCGGTTCTGTCACTGGTAAACACTTAGCGGCTGAAAACACAGGCACCACATTTACCAGGGGAACTCGAAAAGCTTGTAGATGAAATGTGTATGTGAATGTGAACGCTAGTGGAGAGAACCGCTTAAAGCTCTGAGAAACACGCAATATGATTGGATGAGTGAGGTCAGAGTCGCGCAACACGAGTGGTATTGCCATCAGTTGCTGTGGGGATGGAAAGAGGAAACCATCACCTTGAATGATAGTTTGAGTTTTGATGATCTCCGAGTGTCTTCTAAACTATATATATATACACACACACACACATATATATATTTTAAAAAGAATGTGAATTCTGGAATAATCAAATACACATTTTGTACTGATGCCTCGGAGCAATGCGACACTACAACTCCTCAGAGCGTTCCAATAAGATGTAAAAGCGATGGATTTTGAGATATTTCTTCTGATAGAGAAGCTGTCCTTAATCCTTCTTTCCTTTCCACCTTGGTGTTCATATTATTATTTTACTTAAAATGTCTCCGTCATGAAGATATTCAAAGTCTATGTTGCCTAAAGAGACTTTGGATGCAGTGGCTATCCTAGGAGTGTTTCCTCTGCAGGCCAGGTGGTGGTCCCAAGGCTTTAATTTTACACAAGCATTTTATGTCAGTGTTCCCTGGAACACCTTCTCATTTCCTTACCTGGAATTTCTCCAGGCATGAGGATGTCCAGTGTGATCACAATCTCTTTCTCTCTGTCCTTCTACCTACCCCCCCCATCTACTCTTCCTTCTCCCCTTTATTACTTACCCTGAAAATAGGGCATAGCATTTGAATCGACCTTTGCTATTTCCATGGTAACTAGAGATTTGGACCATTTTCCCCAAACTCACAAGCAAGACCTGTATTTCCTTATTTTTGCTGTTCGCGCTACATATGAGCAAGGCGTAAAAGAAGAGAGAGTTCTTTCTTAATTCTTGCTCTATTTGTTTGTTTGTTTTGCTAAAGTTAAGGTGATGGGAAAACCTCGGCAGCAGCATACTGATAAGAGATATTTCAATCATATTCTCTACCGCAGTGGTGGCCTAGGTCACTGTAACTGGATAGTTATTAGAGGACCTTTTATTAAGCTGGTGATGGTTGTATGTATTACGAATGCTGAAAATCTCAAATGAATGAAAAATCGGCTTAGGTATTTCTAGTAATCAGTACACTGGTCATAAAATCATATCAATCTTTGTTTGTATTTATTATGTTGTTAGATAGTTTTGAGTTTTTCTGGTTTTATTGATGACTCTTGTGTGTCCAGGGTCAAACCCATGACCCCAAAGAATCTACATTAGCCCTGAGCAATTTGCCACCCTCTAGATTTAGTATACTTAATATATTGAAATACAAAATAGTTCTCTATCAAAACTATAGTTCGTTTTAGCCTAGAAACTATAAAATATTATGAATAAGATAAATATAAACTTCAAGAATATTTTCTGTAAAATGTGAAAAATATTTATTTTAGGTGTTTAGTCATACATGTTAAATAGCTAATTTTTTTTACCTTCACATAATGGAACAGTATTGGTCCATCCATCTGAATCACATTCACGGTAATCAATCTCACCTAACAGTCGATACCTAGAAATGAAAACAAAATAAAATTGTGTTGAGACATCATCTATTTTTATGTACTTTAATGCTCTTTACTGTGATGGATACCCTCCAGTAAGAGATTTTTAAGGGAAAAAAAAAAACATTTCTCTGTCTTATATTACTCTTATCTTGCTCCTAATTCTTTATAGAAAGAAAACACTTCAGCAGAATATCTTAGTCAAAGAACTTAGAATTAAGGGTTTAGTCAGTGCTTGCTGTAGAGGAGATGGAATAATGGATTATAAATCTGATACTCTATCTCCCTTATGAGGCAGAATGTGTCTTCTTCCAGCAGAAAAACAAAACAAAAAAAAAAAAAAAAAAAAACAAGTTCCTGGTGAAGACTTTCCATCCACAGCAGAGACCACCCCTTATGCCACGCTCCTTCAGACATTCTATAAAATTATACACAAAACTTTCCTGGACCTATGTTAATGGAGGGAAGGGAGAAACAGAAAATGGTTGTTCATACAGAAAAAAAAAACTTCTTGCAATGTCATCTCAAAATCACCTATATGTATGATTGCTCAAAACTAATGAATCTGCTAAATAATATGAAACTAAACCCATACCCAGCAGAGAAAATGAAGACAGAGACATAGGACTAAAAATGGTGAGCAAAAAATCAGGGATGTAATAAATCTACTCCATCCTTAGCTTTCACTCTTCCTGGCCAAAAAAAAAAAAAAAAAAAAAAACATACACACACACACACACACACACGTTCCTCAAGATAGATAAGCATTCTTCAATAAAAAAATTAAGTTAATGAGAACCATTTTTGCCTACTGATCCTACCTGGTGTGAAGAGTTTCCTTAGTGTCAGTAATTTCAACAGCAGATTTCTGTTGGTAATTGAAGCTCAATATACAAACTTATGGACATAATAGGATTCTATCAGTATTGGGTCTTCACATATACAAGATGAAAGAGGCAAAAATAGGTTCAAGAGGGCCAAAGTCAGAGGGATATACTCAGATGATTTCTTCGCCAAATTGTAAATGTTATGTTTTGAGAGTGGGGGGTTCAAATGAAGAAAGCATATGAGTTTGATTCCCTCTTTTTTTTTTTTTTTTTTCAGTGCAAGAGTGAATCCCAAATCAGGGAGGCTAGCCTGGGGTGAGATAATTCCTTGTTGGTTCTGTGCAAAAATGTATGTAGTGATAATTGAAAATTGGTACAAAAATGAGTTTGAAAATCTACGTGTACTGGGTTCTTACATGATCCGATTATTATTTTTTTTTTGAAGGGCTTCAAATGTGGGTCATATTTATTTCCCCTGCGTATCCCATGATGTTGATGAGAAATTTCCCCTTTGTCAGAGAGGGGTTAACAATGAGATAGTAGTTTATGAACACTGAATATTTGAGTTTGGGAATATTTTAGAGCTAATCTAAAGCCTGAAAAGTTTAAACTGTTAGAGTTTATGGTCTCAATTTAGGAAATAAAGAGCAACTAAAAAGATTCCATTCACAATGTTTAATTTTATTTATTCTTGTTTGCTATATGGAGTTAATTCATCCCTACGAATTTTTAAAAATAATCCATGGCAATGGAGATAAATAATAGAAAATGAAGAACTGAGAACTCATTGATGGCGTCAACCTTGAGGCCCAGTAGCTGGTCAGAGGGCAGAGTCAATGATTCCGAAAAATTAGTGTTTGGGTCCCACATAATAAAAGTAATTTGCATACTACTGAACTTTAACAATAGCACTCGGGAGAGAGACTTTTTATTCACAAATAAAAGTCTTGCTTTCTTGGTCTGATTTTGGGGCCCCAGCAATAGAACCAGGATCTGTCTTTGATGCATGAACTGGCTTGCTTTTTTGGAACCTCTTCCCTATGGAGGATGCAGGGAGGAGCTTGGTCCTGCCTCAACTTGATATGCCATGCTTTGTTGACTCCCTTAAGCTTTCTGAGGAGTAGATTGGGAGTGGGGGAGATGTAGAAAGGATGAGAGGCAAGGGAATGAAGGAGAGGAGGGAGGGAAAACTGTAGTTAGTATTTAAAGTAAATAAATACATTTAATTAAAAAGGTAAAGTCAGAAAAGTCTTGCTTTCTTTAAATGCTATAAAATCTTTTCAAGAGGGTTACCATATAACACAGTTGTTTTCACAATTCCTATTGTCCCAAATACATAAAATTTTCCCATTTCACATAATAGTGTGCAAATAATGGAATGTAGTAAGGGCTAGTTGGTACACACTTAACTTTTCTGTGTACTGACTTAACACTCCCTTATTTCAACATTATGCCAGAATAATCACAACTCACTTAACTTTCCAATGCTATAAAGATAACATGGCATTAAAATAAAATTAGTCACATCCTAGCCTTATTTATGTTACTTTTTAAATGCTAATAGAAAAATTCAGTCTCGTTAAAGCACAAACTTGTAGATTTTCTACATGTAACTTAATACTGACAACATACCCCTCATTGCAGGTATAAACAACCTTTGCACCAAACTCAAACCCAGTTCCAATTGCCAGCCTGAAGGACCCAAAGGGTGTATCTCCAGGATGCCCACATGGCCTTTCTAAAATTAAAAAAGAAAGAAAGAAAGAAAATATTCAGTATTAGAATACAGTCTATGGAACACACCTCATGTAGTGTAGGAGTCAGGGGAGCACATTTGGATATCATTGAATAAAAAGGCAAACTAAAAACAGCAAAGAACATTTTATAGTTGAAGCTACGTGTCTACTTCCATTTTTAATTTTGTAGGCTCACTACATTTTAAAATGATTTTTAATATATATATATATATATTAGTTATGGTGGTGATACAATATTATAGTGTTACAGCATAAATCATTTATTACATCAAAGCGAGAAGTTATCTGAAGATTCTCAAACATGAAGTACTTACTCTGACAGATCCTGGATGGGTTAGAAGCCACCCATTCTCCACGCCTGCATATTTTAGTAATACTCCCAAGTGTTCGGTATCCAGGGCGGCATTTGTAGGTGGCCTGAGTGCCTTCTGGATACGGTTGGTCAGGCCAAGACCCTGACAGAATTTCTGTATTTTCTTTTGGAGGAGGACCTTTACAATCTACAATAAAAACACACTAATATTTGAAGTACTTCTTTACATAGACATAATAACCTTTACAATGTCTTTTCTTTAATGGTATTGTAAACAAAGGCAACATTTAAATGCTCACCATTTTTGGGGAAACGGAAGCTTGGAGGCTCACAGAGACTGAACCAACAGATGGGGAATCCTACATGGGTCTGACCTAGGCCTTCTGCATATGCTATGGTTGTGTAGCTTGGTGTTCTTGTTAAAACCCTAACAGAAGGAGTTGGGGGAACCTCTGACTCCTTTGCCTGTGCTTAGGACCCTTTATCCTCCTACTGAGAAGCCTTTTCCAGCCCTGGTATGAGCGTTTGTGTTTAGACTTAAAAATGGAGGAGAGCTTTGTATGTATCATGAAGGCACAGACAGGGTGTGAAGCAATCAAAAATAAACATAATTATAACTTTGAAGACAACTGGTTCCATTCGGAAGAGACTAACGGGGATCTCCTGGGGTGCTGGGAATTCTCTGTTTCTTGGTGGGAATGGATAGTAATCACTAATATGCTGTGTTCATAGTTTATTCCTTAGTGTGAATTACATAATGCATATACAGAAAATTAACAAAAATAGTATGTGTTCTATACTCCCTTAACTTTCCCATAGATTAACTAAAGGTAGTGTATGAAATGAATGGACAGAAAATTAGTACGTTTGTGCCTCTTGGTTGTATTCATTCATTTTCATTTTCTCTTTACTCAAGGGCATGGGTATTTATTTAAACATTGAGTAACTTTCCCAAGGCACCAGAAAGTGGCAGAATTGAAACTGAGCTTAAGTTTGGCCGACATGGGAGCTCATGGATTTTAACTGCTCATCCCTTATGGTCTGGGACTGGGAAGTAAATTAGAGGTGCTGGGCTTTCTTCTTGTGTTTTGTAGGAGAAATACATTGCTTACCTACCGAGGGGCATCCTACCTAGAACTTGTTTCTATGAGACGTCATTATATAACATGTTGTGATATTAAAAAAAAAAATACTCCTTTGAGTATTTTCCTAAATTTTAGAACATTTGTCTTAGTGAAAGCGATACATTAGTTTTTCACTGTGTCAGTACTTAAGCTTTTGTACACTAGATGGCGCGAATACTCCACCACAGCCCCAGCCAAAGTGAAGCAAAACAAAAAACCCTGGGTTCTTCAAAATGCAAAGCTCTCTGAAAACGAAGAATCCCTGTGCTTTCAGAGGCTGCTTAGTCCGCTCCCTGCAAACGTATGTGTTGCTGTTGTTTTTGTTTATATTCTCAGCATAGTATGTACAAGTAACTCGCATTATAGCTGTAAACAGTTTAACCCTTCGCCATGTTTCTACAGTAAGGGTTAAGGCTGTCCAGAGAGGGTGACAAACAGCAGGATCCCTTAAGCTCCACGGAAATATTTTCTCAGAGTTCTAACTAGACTGTAAGAAGTTCTTTTGACTCACATAGTCAATCTGTCAAAGTGAATGTACGACGACACATTTGCTTGAAATAGATGGGAAGTTGTTAGCAAAACGGGGGCAGGTGTTACAAAACAGGGAGCGTGGCAATCCTTTCAAAAGAATAATAAAAAAATAAATAAAGTTTTCAGAGAGATGACTCATCTTAAAACCTCTGAAGAGGGGCAAGCCTCATGCTTCCAGCTACCGGTGAGTGAGTGAACGCAACTTCTTATACCTACTTATTTACTCGGATTCTGACAAATAAAGCCTAGTCCCACGTGTTTGCAGTAACATAATTGACAGGTGTTTTCTGAAATCGCCTGTGTTGATTTTCTGTTTACTTGGCTGTATTTGCCAGTTGCAATTTTTTTTTTTTGTCGGAAAAAGAATTATTGTGTACAGGTTGTACTATCTGAAAACGGGGGTAATGGTATAATTTTTGAAAGTGAAAAAAGCAAACATGATTTTTTAGTAACCATGGTTCACCAGCTTCTTCATATTCATATTTTAAAGAGCTAGTATTGACACACAAAACAGATATGATTCCTTTTTTTTCCGATGCCAATATGTCTCTTAATTACTATTTGAAATGCTCTTGCAAAAATGAGATAATCCTTAACGAATTTGCATATCTTGTGAAACATATTACTTGTACCCACATTTTTGGTAGATTAAAGTCAGAGATAGCCTTTTCGTTCATTTACTACAGCTTCTAAAAGGATTTTAGAGACGAGGAGGAAGTATCATTTTAAAAATATTACCTCTTAACAGATGGTAGAATATACTATTATTGAAAACTATAAGTTCCTTAGAAAAAATAAAGCACATGAATAAAATGGAAATACCAAAGTAGATATTTCCATTAAATTTCCATTCTGCCTTCTTATTGATATAAATGAATATTAATTTTATGCACATATGTGAGCTAAGTAGTTTTTTTGTTAATTAAACATATTCAGAGTAATTTACAAGTAGTTCAAGAATATAGAATTTATAGTTTTTTGAACGAAGAAATAAATCATCAGTTGCAATAAAGTACTTTAAAAAACAAACTACAAAAATCTCAGGTTCAAATGACACAGCAAATATTTGAAAAGAAGTAAGTTTCTTCTTACAAAATATACAGGGACAGTTGCGCTGTTTATTCGTAAACATGTTAACCCTGAGGGAAACACAGATCAGTAAGGACCGCCGTGGTGTGGCAACCTTGAAGAAATCGGTAGGAGCAGCTGGCATTTGTGTGGTTGTGAGGAGGTGGCTTGAAATCCAGTCAGCTCTTCTCAAACGGGCACTGCTTGGACTGCAATCTCCTAACACCAAGTATGGTTGGTTCCAGGCACAATGTTGTCTTTTTAAAATACACTGCTAGTATATATTGAATGCTTTTTCCTTGGGCTTAAATGGCTGCCTCTAAAAGCCACTTTAGCTGCAGGACGGAGTAAATAAACCCTAGAAGTTAGGGAGCACCAATGCTGAGTGTTAGTTACCAGTAGGGCCCTGAGGAAGCCCTGCCCATAATTCCTGTAGAAGTTAAGGTGACTTTTCTTGAATGAGTGGAAATGTGCTCCGGTTTCACAGAACCTCTTTATTCCTGGCTGTATGATGTCTCCCCAAACATTAACCTCCTCCTCTTTGCCATTCAACTCCTATGCGGAGTTCAAAACCTGCCTCCATGAGGCTTCGTGCCTGTAATCTCAGTATGTTGGAGTTGGGCTGCTCAGTCTGACTCTGTTTCAGAGAGACAACATGAAACTAAAACAGCAAAAACATCTCAGCCAAATATCATCCTCTCCCTCTCCTGACCCATTCTAATAATTTTTTTTTTTAATTTCCACTTTTAAATTAGCATACAAAGAATTGTGTTTTATTATCCTGTCCAACCGCCACCCCCCACACCTCCCGAGACAGGGATTTTTCCGTGTAGACCTAGCTATCTGGAACTGACTTTGTAGACCAGGCTGACCTTGAACTCACAGAGATCCACCTGCTTCTGCCTCCTAGTACTGGGATTAAAGGCGTGCACCGTCCTCACCTGCCTCCCCACCCCCTCCCTGCGCTTTTCAAAATAGTTTTGTTTTATTCTCTCTACTCCTCCTCCTTGCCCTGCCTTGTGCTCATCTACCCCAGCGGTTTTTCAGCTTCCACATCACCTGCTCTGTCACGCCTTCCTTCCTCCGCCACACTTTTCCCATTTCTAGTCACATGCCCTCCGCAGAGTTCACACCCCCATGTGTACATACATGTAAATGTAAAGTATATCAAACAAATAAACATTAAGCATTAAAAACTAGGGTACAACTATAAAAGGGAACAAACATCTGGATGCATCCATTTTCTTATTAATTTCATAATTATGACTATAATTAATGTGACATTAATATGAATATAATTAATATGAATAGAATTCCATCTTGCATACACAGCACACCTTTCCAACTTTCGGTTTTCTTCTTTAGCGACTTTATGGTTTAAAAGACAAGCTACAATATTTGAGTAGTTCTTTTCCTGTCCAATAAATGACTGCCTTTTGGAAAGTATGGTTATATTGCCCAGTACTTAGAAGTCATTGAAAAGTGACCCTGAATGAAAGAAAGCATGAACACGAGCAGAACTGTAGAAGCATTTCCAGGACATACCTCCATGTAGTCAAAGTGCACAGTTGTCGCTGACAGTGACAAATGGGAAACTTAAAAGACAAGATTTGGCTTGGAGTGGTGGTGCACGCCTTTAATCCCAGCACTCAGGGAGTCAGAGGCAGGCGGATCTCTGTGAGTTTGAGACCAGCCTTCCTGGTCTACAGAGCAAGTTCCAGGACTGGCTCCAAAGTTACCCAGAAAAATCCTGTCTAGGAAAACAAAAACAAAATAACCAACAACAAAAGACATGATTTGGAAGAAAGAAAAAAGAACCAGGGAATCACTGTCTGGCGAACTTGAAGCTATTGCACGCACTGACAACTCTCCCAAACCCCTTTGTTCATCTGTCTGTGTCCCAAGTGTGAGTCCATGTTGCAGCTTTTGAAGTCAGGATTCTGTTGCTTTTAACTCATAGTGTAAACAGTTCTTAGGAACCTTTGAAAGGGCTTTTCTATAATCATCCTCTACCGGATTTCCATTCAGCACCTTTTGTGAGAAACCAAGCTTTCTAAGTTAAGAAGTCCAAACAAAAGTGCCCTTAAATCCTTGTGTTCTTTCCGCTGTTTCGTGGTAAGGATGTTATTTTCTGTTTAGCTACCTGACTTTCTCCAAACCATTTCTCCCTTTAATTTTAACCAGAATGTGACAGTTTTCTCCCTGATGGGTAAGGTGTCCATCAGTCAACTAACCAAACACCCATCTCCTCAAATGAGGAAAAGTGTGCTCAGGAGGCAAGTGGTAAAGACTGACTGACAGAGACAACAAACAAAACCGGAATCATCTGGAGGGAGAGGGAGGGTTCAAAACTGAGCAATCTAAGGCCAAAGAGGAAGACTATTTACCATGTGGAAGTTTCCACCTTAGAATAATTCCAGTTTGCGGCGCTCAGGCGTTGTGGTTTAAAGTTGCATTCAGGTAAACGGCAGGCACATTTCTAGACGATGACTGTGCTGAAAATCAAGCCAGGTTTGCCTCCACAATCCACCCTCCACCCCACCCCGCCTGTGAGTGAGTAACTTCTCCAGCCTTTGACACCTACCACAGCATTTCACACTGAAATGCTTCCTGTCTCGGAATGACTTTGTTCTGGTGCCCCTTACCACAGCCCCATTCTACCCTCTGCCGGTGAACTTTCACAGGAAGTTACACAGAATAGCGCCAAACTTCACCATGTTGTCCCTTCCGCGTAAATTACAGGCTGGTTGGGTTTGTGGCGCTAAAAGCATGCCAAGTATTTTAAGAGTGGTAGAAAAGACGAGTGGGTGGATTACTGCACAGCGCCGAATAACACCCTTCAGGGAAATGCAATACTGTGCCCGAAAACGTGTGTAGTTTGGGGGGTGGGGGATACTTGTCCCACTGGAATTCAAACCTAATTTGGATAACCAACTAGTATTGCCCAGTTTTCTAGTTTATATAAAGATCTATAAAATTCAAATGCTCTATTAGGGTGGACTTGAGAAGAAGCAGAAGACGGTATAACTGGATATCTGGACCCTGGGGCCTGGGTGACTACCACTTGTGAGATGAGTATATGTGTAGACTATGTGCACGTGGAATCTTATCACATGGGGCACATGCTTTCCTGGCCTCATCTCTGCAGACACTTCTGAAATTTCTGAACTCAAGGGAGAATGTCTGTGCTGTCTTCTCTGCCACAATCCTGATTCTTTAGCCCAGCTACGTGTCCTGGTGTGTGGGGGGTAATGTGGGAGTGTCTCTCTCTCTCTCTCTCTCTCGTGTGTGTGTGTGTGTGTGTGTGTGTGTGTGTGTGTGTGTGTGCATAACTTCAATGGCTTGTGTTGAAAGGACCACTCCTTCGCTCCAACTCTGAGATTCCAGAAGGAAGCGACGGCAGTAGGTCTTCTGTTGTTTAAGTAATTATGAAGTGCCAGCTTTGCAAGCAGAAGGGGACTATTCAATTTGCAACTGGTGTTTGGGTCATATTTGTGAATTCTTTCCCTTTTGCTCCAAACAATGAGGGTGAACAAATGCCAAGGATGGATGATTTCTGAGTTTTTAAGGTGTCTTCTGGCTTTGAAAAGATGGTGATACTCCTAGTCGAGACTCCAGCAATGAACTAACCATCCTCTATAATTTTAAGTAAAAGAAATGTTTATAGGGCACATGCCTGTAAGCCCTGGCTTAGCCTAAGGCAGGTTTACAGGCCTTTGATGTGATAAAGGGACATGAAGGCAAGATGCCAAGGTTGGTCTCACGCGTAAACTAAACCATGGTAAATCGTGTGCAGACGACCTGCACAAGAGGCTCTTGATTCGGAATTCCTGTTCTTGGGAGGCTAAGGCTGACCAGGAGTTCAAGGCGAGCTTGGGCCATAGGTGAGACTGTCTCAATTATTTCGGAGACAGAAAGCACGGGCGTGGCAGACCTCTGTTCATACAATTCTGCGTGCAGTGATGCATACTCAGAGATACATGTAACACCTTCTTTCAGCTTTTCATTGAGTCACTTGGCACATGCCAAGTGTTGCTATTCAGTATGACCAGGTCTAGAGGAATAGAGGAGGATGTGCTTTTCAGTTAGGATGTGTCAAACCCTACACTTGAAGATGCCTTCACCTTCTCCATATAAATTTTCCCTCTTAAGGAAATGCAGAAAGTCATTTGACTCCTTGACATTATGTCATCGCATTTTAAATAAAAACATAACTAACTTTTCCTTTAGCTCCCCAAAGAGTAGCTATTATAAATTCATAATTAATATATATAACACCAAGCTTTCCACACCAGAGTCAAACTAAGCTTGAAAACATCTCATACTTAAAACAACACAGTATAGAATTAAATTAACTCTCCATTCTATGATTAAAATCTCTAAGCCTGATAGGACACCTTCGCGCTTTCAGCCTCCAGGGTTAAAGAACACTCATCTCCCCAGAAAGCACACAGCAGTTATTTGGTTGTGTTTCAACACAGGTTTAATAGGTTTGTTTCAGCAACTTTGGGCTGCGACCTAATTTCACACAATATCCAATTGTGAGGGTTAAATGCGTTGCTTGGAAAGCTTGGGTATAATCCATTCCCGGAACTGAAATTACACAGCTTGACTGAGGAACTCTAACGTTACAGTTACAGGTTGTCCTGTAAGTTTGACCCAATTCTAAACAGCTTGTGATTTTGCAAAAAAAAAGCAGCATTTTCTGTTCTTGGCAGTTAAGAGTGTGGACACAGGCAGGCACTGTATACGAAGGTATTAGGAAACCCTTGACTTGTGGAAAAAGAAAGACAAAAAGGAAGCTGGGTCCATAGTTCTTCCTATTTAAAATTTTTTTTTTCGTTAAAGTTGTTTTTTTGTTTTGTTGTGGTGGTTGTTGTTCAATATGCATCTGCCATGCTTGCATGTGGGAAGGGAAACATGGTCTGCAGGAGGTGTTTTCCTTCCTTTCATCTGGTAGGTTCCACGGATTGAACTCAAGTAGCCAGATCCTGTGGCAAGCAAATTCATTAACGTATTCAGCCTACATGCTGCCCCAGTTAACATTGGTTCTGGATGGATGTTGGTCTCTATCAGGGCAGGAAAGATTTATGAAACGCTTGCAGTTTCTTCCTGGCTTAGGAGAGTCTATTATGATAGCATTTCACAACCATCTGGTTTTTTTTTTTTTTTTTTTTTGTTGTTGTTTTGTTTTGTTTTGTTTTTTAAATCAGCCCAGTAGCCAGTGTCTGATGTGGGGAATAGAGGAATAGAGACAGAGGCAAATATTGAAGTACGTGTGTACCTATTTTAATTGATCCAAGCTATTATGTGTGGTGAAATTCCTGTTAAGCTAATAGGCTGTTGAGACACAGCTGACTAGCCAAGCTAAGAATGAAGAGGGAGGGAGCTCTGTGTCCACTGAAAATCCATGGGACTTCTCACAGCTGTCTCTGCATTACGGGTGCTTTGTGGATGCTGTGAGGTCACTCTACATAATGATTTAAATACCAAACTCCAGCTCTGGCTCTTACTACGAAGCTCTCTAAACAGTAGAGTATACAGTACAACTGCCCAACTCATCAGCATGGGTTTGCATACAGACTGATGAAAATTCAAATCCAACAATAACAAGAAAGCCAGCTGGGAACCATGGTATATAGGTGACGATTTAGAACTGTTAACACTAAATTATCATGTAACCTTCATGTCACTTCCTTTTAATACTGAAATTCTACTTTCTAATTATATAAACAGCTTAGTTTCAATTGTATCATTTCTTAGGATTTAAAAATAAGGTAGAAGTAAAATAGATATTTATATGTAATCTCCCAGCTAGCAGTATGAAAGGAGAACATTAAAAAAAAAAAATAGACAAAAGCATTCATTAACATGACATAAGAAAAGATTGAGTTATATTTAATAGTATCAACACTGCTTTAGAACTCTTGGCCAATATAATCACATTTCATTTTACTAATACATATTTCCATAAGGAAATGACTGCCTCGGTCTGCAAGTGTCTGAATATTAAGACTTACGAGCTAAAGTTCAAAGAATAATATTAGAAAATATAATTGATATAAGTTCACTGGTCCTAAAAGTGTCAAACTCACTGAAATATTCTTTAGGACTTTACTAAAAGACCCAAATGAGAAACTGTATCTGTCTTTCTCATCTGGATTGGTAAGTACCCAGTTAAAGACTGTTTGCTAATATTCTCCACTGAGTAGAGGCTACAGCAAATTGCCAAGAGTTGGCTAAGTGAAATGTCTGGGAAAATGATTAACGGGTGTTATTCACTTGGTATTACAAATGCTAAGTCAGGCACGACAGTCAATCCATCATGTAACCTCAGCACACTGGGGTTTTGGGGTGGGGGGCTGATACAGGAAGGCTACAGGGAGTTCAAGGACTAACTACACTATAGTGACACCCTATTTAAAAAACAAAACAGAACTTAATTGAATGCCCATTCACCTATCATGAACTAGGAAAGAAAACCCCTTCATTGGATAAAGTGAACAGACTTGGTATAATTTAACTGAATGATAGAGTCAGAACTCCCGATACTGACATTGGACAAGAGCTCCAACACTCACATTTCCCAGACCATAAATGGCTTTCATTAGCTACATGCTCCATACATATTCGCAGAAAAAAAAAAAAAGAAACCAAATAAATGGGATCTTAAATTTTATATGCAGGTTATGTGCCAAATTTTATAATTGTTTTATTCTCATACATGCAGTTTTTAACGTACGAAACTTTTTAAAACCGTGGCACTATCAGCTGTAAGTGATGTTTTTAGGAAGTGTTATAATTATGCCTGAAATAATTCCAGTCACTAAAAAACTTGTAAAAGCTTTCATAAGGTATTTACATATTCCTTACTAGTTATCCATGAAGTATTTCAGGGACACTCATGAGAAGTGGGGGAGGGTAAAGACTATGAGTTAAATGACTATACCGAATTATGAATTGCAGAAACACGTTTAAATCACCGTCTTGAGTTTTGCAGCGGGACGCACCATCAGTTATAGCAGCCAAATGAAATGCCTTCCGTTTTTAAACTTAGCTCCCTCCCCAAAAGCCATTAAGCTACAGACCAGTAATTCCTTCCCATTTCCTAGACTCCCTTTGAATGGTCACCCTGAGAAATACTATCTGCAAATGTTTTGTAAGGCGCCACAGCCAGGAGGGAGAAAGACGATCTGTTTTAAGCTTACCTTCTGCTACACAAACAGTCCATAATATAAGCCAAATGAGTCTTGCTGATAGTCTCATGGCGAGAGTCTTTCTGGGACGCAGAGAAATACAGCACCATCCAGTTCTTTTCTGCTAAGAACTGTGGTTACTGTAGGGAAAGTCTCTCCCCAAAGGGGAGCTGGAAGTTGGTTTAGGAAATCAGGATCTCTAGATGCTCCGCCTCCATCCCCACCCCCACCCCCCAGCAACTTCTGCAAAGCAAACTAAAAGCACTGACCACAAGTCTATCTAGCAGCAGCGTGGGCGTTTGATCCCAGCATTTAGTGCACCCTGACAGTGACCGGCTGGATTGTTCTTGTAAATGCCTGCTTGTTTTCCTTGGAAACAAGTTCAGGTTTCTCGGAATGTGAGAAGCCAGGGCTGGTGATCGCCTCTGGATTTCATAACCACACAACAGAAAGCAACGAAGGCTCTTAAAAAAAAAAAAAAAAAAAAAAAAAAAAAATCAGTTAGCAGACTTAAGTGAGACAGTCTTTTCAGGACCCACACCCAGGCACTGTCAGGAAACTTTGTTGAGATCGTCAAGCTGAGAGACTGCAACGAGGAGACTACTGCTTTCCTAAATCCATGAAATCAGCCTTCCAAGGAAGTCTTCTTATATATCTGAGGTAGCTGGCCCGTGTTTCCTTGGATATAAATGAAATAACTCAAAAAAATCCAAACACTTGAATTGCTACTTTTCCAGCCTCTCATTGAGGTATCTTATAAGTAACTAATATAGAGGCATGGAACACGCCTGCGGCATGCAGAACCCTGGGAGATAGGTACTCAACGCCCAACCTGTTAAATAAACTTGGGACGCCTGTCTTCATTTCTATCCGCTGTGCTCTCCAGTTTCTCCCCCACCCCACTGCCAGTGTCTCCAAGAACATGGTCAGTATCGGTCTGCCCTTAGTGTGAGCGCAGAAGGAGCAACTTACTCCTTTGTTCACTTAGAGTCCTTCACTAAGGACTTTATTTGCGATATCACTTTGCAGGACATGGCTCCTGGTAAGTTTTTCTGTCCTGTGTGTTGTTCAATTTGAATATTGCACAGTTTGGAGTTATCCCTGTGTGTGTTAATGATGGAAGTAATACAGACATAGCGTCACAATGGTAGTCTGCAAGGAGTTTGGTAAGACGTTGCTGTCCCAGTCATGAATGGACCAAGCACAGTCATTTAACCACATCGTTAAGACCGTAAGAACCTGCAAGACTAAGATGCTAAACGCAAGGCTCTAATACCGCCAAATCATACACTGAATCTACACAGATAGGAGATTTCAGACAGTTTGCTAAATGTGTATTGATGCAACTGCCAATAACTACTGGAGTAGTTGCTTGCCTTGTGGCTGTGACAAGACACCTTACCAGGGCAACTGAAGGAAGCTGACTCACACTTCTCTTAGACACAGCCTGTCATGTAGGGGAAAAGACAGTCACAGGGACAGGAGCAGGTGACCCCATGGCGACCACAGTCCTGTTGCAGAGAGCACTAAGGACTGTTTGCTCTCCTCACTTTCTTTTCCTTCAGTCTGGAACCCCTCCCCGTGAGAGATCCTGCCCTGAGAACAGTTTGCAAGACCTCAATTCAGAATGCCTAATGCTAACCACCTCACAAGAGCTAGTTTACCACCCTGAATGTTGTTCATTTTATTCCAAACAATTGGACAGAGTTTGTTTTAAACTTTGACAATACTAAAAATTACAAATCTTGGGTGGCGAGAACTCCTGATGACTTTTCTAATACTTTGCTAACAAGTAACAAATTTTTATCAAATATGCAGAAGACGTATTTTTTCTTTCTTATTTCTAGTAAAGCTATTACAAAATTGAGGCTTATAACAAAATAAAAGTGTACACTAAAATATGCACAGGTACAACTAAATATATATAAATATATATGTACAACTGAAAATATAAAAAATTAAAAGTATCAGGTCTTATTGTGTAAATAATATGCATATTGTATTAGTTTTTAAGTTTTACTCATCATTTTTTGCATGTTCAAATCTATTTCACTTTATTATTATCCAAGTAGCTTTGAAAAGACAATTGTATAACTCCCATGAAAAATGGCCTGAGGATAACTCTTGCTGGCTCTGGCCAGAGAAATCATGTGTGAGCTTGAACACTTAAAAAGGGACCCAATACCCTCTAGTGAGCTAATCTGGTGTCTGGAGACAGATAAAGGGTCCTGATGGTCTCAGTTGCCAGATTCACACAAAGGTAGGCAAGAGACAACTGTGCTGAAGGCCTTTTCAGTGACGTGGGCAGTTTATATGTACGATTGTTATTTTTATTTTACTCATCAGTTTTGTTTTGTTTGTTTTTCAAGGCAGGGTTTCTTTACCTCAGCTGTCCTGGAACTCACTCTGTAGACCAGGCTGGCCTCCAACTCACAGAGAAACACCTGCCTCTGCTTCATGAGAGCTGCCAGGCTTTACTTATCAATTTTAACTTATAATTTACTTTATAAATTTAACTTATAATTTGTCTTTAATTTTACCTACATACTTACTTTAAATTTTTAATCTTTTAGAATTTCATTGTAATTGAGTGATTCCTATGCCTCTTTTTCCTCCTTCCACATCTTCCCATGTCCTTCTTACCCCTCTGTAATTCTTGACCTTTCCTTCTATAATCATCATATATGTAGATGCATGTGCACAATCACTCTACTGAGTCAAATTAATGTTGCCACATATATATGATGTGTTTAGGGATGAACACTTAAGATTGGGAAATCTGTTGGGGGGGAGGGGGCTGGTCCCTGAAGATAACTAATTCTCCCGGCTATTGACTGGTGGGAGATGTCATTCTGTATATGTTTCTCATACTGGTTAATGAATAAAGCACTGTCAGCCAATAGGAAAGGAAGATAGGAGGGACTAGGAGACAAGGAGGAAATAGGAAGTAGTAAGAAGGAGCCAAGATGGAGAGTCTGGAGAAAGTAGAATGCCGGCCGGCTCCCTGGTAAGAGAAATACATAGATCAGCAGAAATGGGTTAATACTTAAGACAGAGCTATCCGATAAGAAACTAGTACCGGGTCAACAGAATTATATCTAATACAGATTCTCTGTGTGCTAATTGGGGATGGGGCGGCGGCGGGACAAGACTAGGCAGCAGGAGGAAAAACCATACTCCCTACAATCGACTGCCTATAATTCTTCATCTAAGTGTGAGATTTCCCCCAATCCACATTGGCTTTTTGTCTGGTGTCATCTTGAGAAGTTCTTGTGCTGGCAACCATTTGTTAAATTTATAAGTGAACAACCCTGAGTTGTCTAAAAGATACTATCTCAAAACAGGTGTCATGAATCTCCAGCTTCTACAACCTTTCCATACCTCTTAGTGATGTTCCTTGAGACATGGGTGTAGGGGTTGTGTTGTATGTGTAGCAGCCACACTGGAAATCCACAAACATTTACTCTCTGCAGTTTGATTCTGCAAGGGCTTCGATCTGTTACAAAAAGAGAAAGCTTCTTTGTTTTTTAAATATTTTTAGATTTATTTATTTATTATGTATACAATGTTATACCTGCATGTATCCCTGCAGGCCAGAAGAAGGTACCAGATCTCATTATAGATGGCTGTGAGCCACCACGTGATTGCTGGGAATTGAACTCAGGACCTCTGGAAGAATAGATAATGCTCTTCTTAACCTCTGAGTCATCTCTGCAGCCCAAGAAGCTTTTTTGATGATGGGAGAGCTGAACTTCCCTATGGGTATTTAAGGACAAATATTTAGAGTACAGTTGGAAGCTGTATTAATTTGTCAAAATATCAGTAATAGGTTTTCTTCTACGAGCTCTATAGCTGTGGTTTCTTGGGTAGGGTTGCAACAGTTGTGAAGTCCCTCCTATTGATTCAGCTTTAAGTCCAATTAGATTGCTATTGGTTACTCCCATGACATCAGTGGCACTGGTGGACCATTTAGTGATATGTTGCTGATCCTGTTGTTTTGAGTAGCAATTAGTTGGGCGTGCTATGGACAACATATGTACAGTTAGTTAAACATAAATGCACAACAATACCTAAGGACATGTTTTAAAGGGAAAACGTTACATAGAACCAGTATCTCCCAAGAGGGCAGTTTTGCTCTGATCCATGAACTCATGTACATAACAACAACTACAGGTGCTTATTTGTAACTAAATTTAAGTTTAAGTTAAATAAGGAGAGAGTAGATGGTAGCTAACACTCGTGCAACTAGCCCATGAATGAGAATCTGGAGTAGGGAGAGAAAGTAGAAGACTAGACATGAGCAGTAGACTAGGCCAAGCCATGAGACAAGAGAGGGGGCACCAAGGAAGAGAGTCAAGAGAGAAGGAGTCAAGAGGACTAAGAGAGAGAGAGAGAGCCAAGGACCAAGAAAGAGCCGAAAGCCAAGAGCATGCATGGCTGAAATGGTAGGGTTATGAAGGAATGAGTAGCAGGAGGCAGAGAAGCCAATGGGCTGGCGTTTGGGGTAGGGGACAGGGCCAGGAGAGCTGAAAGGAGCCACAGGCACTGAGTGAGCATGGATCCCAGCCTGTGCTCTGGTATTCTGATAGGCACCACGGTTAGCCATTTGTATTAGGTTCTTTTTGGACCTGACATTGAGGTGAGTGGTCGCTGAAAACTATTAGTTTAAAAAGCAAATAAGCAAGGAAAAAAAAAAAACTTACAAAGCAGAGCACAAAGTGAGGCAGTCTGGGATCCATTTCCAAAGGCCAAGTGTGCTGCTTCCAGTGCAGAGAGAGGGAAACTGCAGGGTGGAAACCAAAGCCTAAAATAAAGGCAGTGTCTAGACATTTATAATGTGCTTTTAGCAGAGAGAGAGAGAGAGAGAGAGAGAGAGAGAGAGAGAGAGAGAGAGGAAGGGAGGGAGGAGGGAGAGAGAGAGGAGGGAGGGAGGGAGGGAGGAGGGAGAGAGATATAAAATTGGATGGCACATACTGTCCCTCTGCATGCTGGGGGGAAATGTGGAAATGTGGAAACCAAAGGAGGCAAGAGTTGAGCAACAACTCAAAACCGCGATCTTCAGTGGATGTGTTCTTAAGCAAGTGATAATCAAACTAGACAAAAATCCGGGAGTTCACATACCACATAAATGACGAGGAAATCCTCTCCTTTCA